GGTCAACGTAGGGGTTTCGTTTACGTGTTCTACTCGGCTGTTCTGCAACAGTATTCACCAAATGGCAGTATGGGGTGACCTTGGCAAAATATTTTTTCTCCATGGTGCGTGGCCACCAAGTGTCCCTATTGTTTCCTGTGCTTTGCTTGCCGCCCCTGTGCCGAGTGCAACGAATGCTCAGAAGGACTATACATTAGTATGCCTTGCGCAGTCTGACCAATCGAAAGTCTACACTGCGTAGTATTTCCGGGCTATGCAAAACTGTCCATGGCAACGCGTACTGCAGCCTGCTCCACACCCTGGAAACGAGGTTGGGTCTACGGTACTCGCTGTTTGAAGCCCAAGCATGTGACGTCGCGTGATAGAGTGCTGTTGCTTCCATAATGTGTTTAATAGACCGCTTGCAGATGCGTTCGATAATCGACGCGCGAAGGCGCGCGACGCCATGTTGTGGGACAAGCGTATATCTATCTATGCACATTTTGTCCCATAACATGGCGTCGCGCACCTTCGCGCGTCAATTATCGATCGCGTCTGCAAGCGGTCTATACAGCTCCATGCTTCCACCACCAAGGCTGAGCATTGTGAGTTCACTTTTTCTTCCCCGAGTAAAAATTGTAGCCTACAACAGTGATTCTATTGCTCAGAATACATGTAGCTTATTCAATTACTCAAAACTCAAAACTTTAAAAGACGATCTTTTGCTGAAATTGGTTTTAGTGGTTAGAAATTGCCTCAGATCACACCACAGAAATTGCTTTTCTATAACTGCATGTCTCCTTAACTATATCCCCATTTACATTTAACTCCCCACATTTTCATCCCCAACACTACGCTCTACCCGATCTATGATCGGGTAAATCAGCTCGTCATTAATAAGATAGGCCTATACCTTAGGCCCCCCCCCCAAAAAAAAGAGTCCGGTTTCTGGTAGTGGTGCGGCGTGGTGCGGCGACGCGGCTTTTTTTTTTTTTTACCTGTTTTTTTTTTTTTTTTGGCTTCAAATGTCGGCTGATGACTGCAAATGGTGCCCGAATAAACAGTGCAAATATATGGGAGTCCAGAGAGGCCACATAAAGCTTATTCTCGATCATAACCCCATCTAAAAACACGTTAAAATTGTGCAGCAGCAGGATTCCAGTCAAACCAGTGAGTTTGGTGGTTTTGAGACATCATCTTGTATTGAAAAAAACCTTTTTATTTTGCCGACGCGCATGGCTGCGGCGACGCGCGCGCATACCAGAAACCGGAGACTTTTTTGGGGGGGGGGGGGCCTTAACAACACTGTTTTATTTTGGCAAAAACGATCATTCCAAATGGAATATAATGTTCAATACCTATTAGCATTATCGAATTTTCGAAAAGATCATCATAAATATCAACCGTGATAAACATAGGTTTTAAGTTTTTTTCTGGTTGCGAAAATCTAAACCCTTGGTTTTTTGGTGACTCTTTAATGTTATTTCCTTCAAAGATATCTTTTCAACATTTTAGCCCCTTGCTTAAACAAAGCGCAATCAAGCAACTTTTTAACGGTATTTTGACCTCGGCAATTATATTGTTTTTGTCAGAAATATGAATTTTACGAAGCTAGTTCATGTCGTTAATAAACAATCTGCAGGTTCCTGGAACCCATTACAGCCAGGGACTATCTGAAGAGGCGAAAATAGTCTTGCTTAGACGTTGAGAGCATTGGACAGTTACACACATGCAGTATCTATTCTCTCTGCAGACGCAATAGTTCTTAAAATTTCATTTAATGTATAAATATTGAATTCTCCTTGAATATGTATATAATTCCCAATTTGTAAACGAAAACATCTGACCCAATAACCTCAGAATATCACGCGAAAAATGGTTTCACTTCACAGCGGCAAAATATCGCGCATGCGCACAAACTAAATGGCACTGACGAACATCATGCGTATCGGTGTTTGCGACCATTGCGCCTATTATGGTGAGATTAATGGAAACGACACACATTGCGTGGCCAAGCTGGAAGGATTGCGTGCTCTGGGACTCCCCCGATGAGTAACGGACTGGTTTGTATGGAGCGTCACAGAGAACAAACATTGTCAATGCGTGCTATTATATCGACAAAAACCTGACACTTACCCCTCTTCTATCTCTGGAACTAGCTACGGAGTCAACGTTTGTCCCTCTAGGGTTCGAGCTTTGTCGATTTGATTGTGAAGATGCCATGTTTCGTATTTGTTGCTGGAGAAACATAAAAGGGATGTACTAGTTAGATATGCATTGCGATTATAAATACCGGTACTGAATTAGTTGAACTTATTAATATTATGTATTAATACGATATCTGTACATGGATTATCCATGCTTTTTCCAACCACAAAGAACTTGCCAACAACGCTGTGGTATTTACCCTCCTTGGCCTTCCAAGCAAATCAACCGGGCATATGCCGGGTCAGGACCCGTCCCTATAATAACAGAAAAAACTCCCGATTCATAATTATGGACTCGTGTCTGTCCCACTAGATGAACAGTCGCTCTTCTGAAGAGGATGCGCCTCTTGACTTAAATCCTTTTAAATATATGAACTATAAATTATCGACTAACTCAGAGAGGAGCCTCCCACCCCATTCCCCTCCCCTCCCCAGATCCCTTTGTCACATCACGACTTACCTGCTGAGATATACAGCGTGTCTAAAAAATGTAGCACCAGCAGTCACACAACTTTTTTTTTCTGAGGAAACTAAATCTTTTCGTTGGTGTGAATATGTACTTAACCTTGACAGATTTGTTCTGAGTGATGTGGGCCTTTTGTATAAAAGTTACGGCAAAGCTTGTAAAGACTGCCAAAATCTTTTGGGGCAAATTGGGCGACTTTTCAGATTATCTGATATCTAATGAAAGGTATTCCCACAGGCTCCTTGGTATGTGAATGGCTTTCATTATATGCCAGATAATCTGAAAAGTCGCCCAACTTGGAATTCAAGTTCTTTCCGTGATTTAAATAGATGTATCTCTGGACTAGGGTGTCTAAATGAGATGGAAATTAAATACCATAGTGCAGAGTATTTACTATACCTTCAGACTCCATGGATACGTTTTTTGCACAAAAGAGAGTGCTAATTTAATATGTATAACTTAATACTGCTACTGACTGCTACATTTTTGTTGACACCCGCTGTATTTGAAAAAAAAAGGCAAAGAAAATAATTTCTAAAATTACTTGAGCGATTAATTGGCAGTCCAGCGTATTATCCGAAACTGGGCCAGTATCATGAATAATTATGTGCAAATAGTGTGAAAAGGTCAGTTCTATATCCTTAGAACAATGATGAATGTGATATCTTACCTGATGTGATATTAGAACATGCCGCAGAAAACACAAGATATGATTATTAATGGTGACATGGATCCATCATATCCAGCTGCCTGAATCCAACAGTCCACAAAGACAGTTTTCCAAAAGCGCTGAACCTTTCCTTATGATCCCTCGTCTTTGAATGTGGCGTTTATTCCGTCCAGACATTCCAGACGCGTTTGACTTTGAGGGAGAGCAGCCATTACCCACTTGTAGCAATCCGACTCCGCTGTGTTCCTAACTGTGATTGCTCATGATGTAGATACGTGGTCGTGGAGAGAGCTAGCCCTTCCTTATCACACGAAACTTGTAGTTTGAGGGGGACAAGGAGTACACAGGAATTTGCGGTTTCGGTTGAAGGACCCAACAGGGCTAGGCCTGCAATAATAACTACTGCATAATAATGCTGAGAGCTGTACGTGGTGCGTGGAACTACATGCAGGCCCCTCCCTCATTGGAAAATACGCCAGAATTTCTCACACTGGGAATTCCCTTTTTCAAGCCCACGTGTCTGCGCTGTTCGTGCATGCGCAGGTGGTTACCTCATAAATCATGTGTACGATGTCAAAGGTCAAGACATTGCTAGTGTGTGAGTACATGTACATGTACAGTACAGTACATTGTACACGTACATGTACCGTTGCATAGAGTATAGCTCCAGCAACATGCATGACATGTTCATTTCAGTCGCCTGAATTTTTCGAGCTATATATTTTGACTGTATATCGTGTACACTGAAAATGTCAATACCTACCAGTATTTTATTTCATCGGTCGGTGGCAGGGCCCGGCGGTGCATGTACACACATGCAGCGTGGCCCCGATGGTTGGCAGTGGGTGGCCGTGGTATGGGTATGGGGGAGGGCTATAAAATATGTAGAGGTATCAATGAGCAACAAGTTGAAACCAGAATCCAAAATTGCTTAAATAAAAAAATTTAATTGAAAATATTTAGTGGTGTATTTTAATACTGTATTTTTTTTCCAGAAAATAGGCGGGTCCAATGCGCAATAACGAGCGACGAGCCGACGTGCTTTTATACGGTGAGAACATATTTGCCTCAAACCAGGGGGAGGGGGTGTATTTCGAACTCAAGATTTGCGGGGGGGGGGGCTCACAATTTTTGTTTTAAAAAAAAATTGGGGTTTTTTTTAAGGGGCGGACTATTTTGACGGTGGTGGCGGCACTTACACCCCTTGCACCACCAGTTATTACTACTCGAAAATGGGCCACATATACTTAATCACCAAGGTCAAACCATGGAACCAAAAATATTACTGAAAAAAATGACAACCTCTTCAAAATACTTATGTTCTGTTACCGCGCGGGTCAAGATTTAAAATGTTCCCCTGCCTTAATTTGACCTTTTGGCCTTTATGACTTTTCATTGTAAACAATTGGAATACTGATTTTTTTTTCTAGGGGCCACACCGCAGTGCTCGACAAGATTTACAACGTATACCCGAAGCCGTCAGCCTGATATCGATTGTACGCGAACGTGATTAACCCAAGAGTTTAGGTCATGGGTCAGTCAGACCCAACAAATTAGGGTAATTTTGAACGACTCTGTTTTTCCTTTTCAAAAGGGGCTTTGAAGAGAGGTCAAGTGGCCGACCTCCGTAGGTAACCTCGTGTATATGGAAAACTATATGCTCTGATGAACTACCATCTTGTTGAAGTCACTCAAATACATGTGTTTTATTACATTTTTGCGAATCCATCTTTACGCCAGCTTCAGTCTTCAAAACATGTTAATGTATGCATTGCATGTATGCTTAATTACTTGGAACTTAAAAACTTGAACAGTTTATCTTATTTTGAAGAAAAATGAAAAAAAAACCACTATTTTAAATTTCATACAATTTTGAACATCAAATGCAACCCCTTCAGATCTACAAATCTACTTCTCTTTAAAATATTTTTTTTTAATAACATCAAATATTTACATTGGCAGGGGGCAGGGGCATGCATAGTGAATAATAAGAGGGCCAACTGTTGAACAACATGTATTTATAGATTCAGAAACTTTGAAGATATTTTTAATTAGCACTTTTTTAAATTTCAATGTAGGCCTTAAAGGTACATATAGGGTAAACTACTTTGGTCTGCGCTTCCCGATTCAACAACCATCTCTTTTTCTTGGCACATTCTTATAATCATGGCTGTCTCTGCCCTTTTACAATCCATTTGTGATAATTCCCTGTATTGTTGACACCAGACAGCTGTAGTCCATGGCATTGCCAGCAGATGGCTTGCCAGCACTGAAGACGCACCAGTTGCCGCCCTGCCTGGCCAACCAGCCCATGACTATGGCCTGGGAGTAGTTCAGTTTCTTTATAGTGTCCTCACAGAGCATCTTGCCAGGGTTGGACTCCTCGTAGAACCGCAGGCTGGGATTTGGGTACTTGGAGACTGTGGGAGAGGCCCAAGCGCTCAGAGTGAAGAACAAGTGGGTGATTGAACTTGGGATGCTGTGAAGATTCACGTTGATCAAGTGGTGACCCTTACGTGCATAATTGTCCATAAGATCTCCCGAATGCCGCATAGCGGACTGTTCTCTATTCCTGTAATCAAGAACACCTAGAAAATGGCCCCCTTGGAAGATCAGAACACTCGCGTCAAGATAGTCTTGTCCGCTTGCTGGATACCCCCAGTACAGGTCGAAGACAACCTTGTCCAGACCAGAAGGCACCGAGTAAAGAAGCCTCCGGACGTGGATGGTCGTTTTAGGAGCAACCTGGTAAAAGGCAAGAGTCGCCTGGGCATGTGAATCGGTGACTTCCTGTCAAAATGAAATAACAGACAAATGTATGCAGTCAAAACACAGACCGATTGACAACTTAAAAAGTGTTGAATCGATAGAATCAGGATTATTGGTACAATGATTGATAGGCCCACATGTAGGTATGAGACACTCTTAAGTAGAGTGTCCCTGAAAGTATACTACATGTATTAAGCCCGCCCAAAGAGAGCTATAGGGGATGATCGAGTCAATTCGAACTTAGGCCGTTTGCTCAGAACGTTCAAAATATCCCCATGTGCGGTCAATATTTGCAGAGTTTACTGCAGATTGTGAGGCAAATATCCATCCTGTTTGATTTTTTTCACCTCTCGAGGCAAAAAAAACTTTTAAAAAATGCGGGAATTTGTGCTAAGAAATAGATTACCTAGCCAATAAAACCACATATTCTGTTGACGTGATTTTGTGTGCAATTCTTCGAAAGCCTGCTGGCGTTTGTCCCCATTTTTGAAATCACGCGGCCGATAAACAAGAATTCTATGTGCTTTCATTGTACAGTTAATAGCTCGCCACGTAGTTGGGGAGTTTTTCGCCTCGCGTGCGAGGCGAAAAAAAAATTCACACAGGATAATGGAGCCAGCCATCATGATCTTTTGGACAATTCCAGTCCGATCAAAACACACACGGTTTTTTTTTTTGTAACACGATAATGTTGCTGATGTACCTTCATTTCTTTGCCGTTGTAAATCAGCTGTTGATTCTCCAGTGGCACCTTCAGATTCTGTCTGACAATCTCCCTGAGTCTGGAGACTGTCATGGACGGATTCAGCTCCACACTGGTGCTGTCGCCGTTCAACATGGCCATGCTGACGTAGCCTCTCTCGCCGGACGCCATCGCTGTGGTCTGGGGCACAAACGTGGGCTCGTACTCGGGAAAAAGGGCCTTGAGTTGGCAGTAGCACTGTTTCAGACGACTGGAGGTTTTGCTGACTTTGTTCTCACACTGAGAGCACTGCTCGTGTTGTTCAGCATGTGCTGTGACACACTGCAAAAATATCGGAATCAAACAAATATTTTAAAAATATAAAATTCAAAATATAATCACAACAACTTAGGAGATAGACACATTTGTTTGCGACATGCATATACAGGTAACCGGTGGAATATTTCAACCATGCTTTTGTCATCCTGTAATGATTTACTGCTACTATGATTTACTTAATTTGTATGAGATAATCTGGATGCAGATTTTTGGATTACTTATATTTTTAATGTTCCAATAGTGCATGGTATGGTTTTCACAAGTTTGACAAGTTTGGATTGTTTTCATTTTCAAGCATGTTACATATATTGAAATTATTTTTCTAATATTCTTTTCATTGTTTTATGTACATGTTATGCAGTTTAAGTTTTATTCATATAAGGACCATGTACATTATGTTATTTCTTCTACACTAGTTACTTTGTTTTATCACCCTCTCTGTGTATTTATGATCCCTGTGTGGTTTGCCCAGGAATGCGAGGCCCAGGCCAAAATCCTGTGGTTTAGCTTGGTTCAGTTTTTAGCCACCATCAAGAAAGCACATGTTGTTAAGCCTCTTATTGGAGTTTTACAGAGCTGCATGGCAATGGCACAGCTGTCATTGACCACTGAAAAAAATAAAATACATTGTATTACATCTAAATTTGAAGAGCCTGTTCTCACTGCTTACATATATATTTATTTATTTTGAGGTAGCGTCATAAGATAACACCAAGGTACGTTACATCAGATGATCAGAGACAATTTTATAGTTACCCTCAGACAGTGCAGAATAGCGTGGTCACAGGATTCCACCAAGGGCCACGGTGGGAACTCACGGGAGAGTTTCTGGACGCCGCACTTGTCACACTTCATGGCGGAAACTAGGGTACTACGTATACTTCAGGAGAACCACGTAGACTACAGCAAATCGTGGGTAAAATGGACCTATCGGCGGGGCCTGATGAAACCGTCTGTGTAGTCGTTATCGGTGACGCTACTTCCCGTTCATCGGGTACCTCGGGTACCGCGTGTACACGGGTTTTGATTCATTCCGTGAAAGATGCAGTGTCCTTGGGCTGTGGTTGGCCTTGTCAATATTGCAAGAGTTTGTCACTGTCAGTATGTCTTCGTAAATTCATTGGTGTCTAACAAGTTGCCCTTCAAACAGTAGAGCTGCGAGTAAAGACCGCAGGGAAATACTCCAACGTGCCACTTGCAATAATGATACCGTGTAGTGTAAAGTGCACTGCCAAATCCCTATTTTTGTTCAATTGGCGTTCCATACGCCGAGAGACCATTTCGCAACACGGGTTTTCCCACAATACACGCAATAGGTTATTTCTCACTGCCGCCAATTTGAATATTATAATGTATTTTGTCCCTGCGCACGTAGCCCCTGAAATAAGCTAGTGGTGTCAAAGGTCAATGATTTCTCATTCGGGTTTTTCCCAGACTGTGAAACGAGTATATGCCTGAAATGGCGTGACACGGGTACAATACAAAGTATAGTATTGTGTACATAAGCAGGGATCATGTTCAACTCCATTTACACATTTAATTTTGATAAAATGTTTTGATGTTGGTTTTGCCATTTACCCACATCATTTATCCCGTCTTTTTGTTTCCAAATTCTTTTTGGATGGCAGTTTTTCCCAAATCCATAACTGTATAAACTTCGTCTCCTATTTGTCTAGTTATAACTTGTGCATATTTTGCCTGCATGCTTTTTAAAGACATGTTTAGGGATATGTTTTGCATGTTGGAAACTATTGTTGTACTAAACTTGAGTCGTGGGGACTGCTGATCTATGACCTTTTTTGGTTGATAATAATTTAAGTCATTTGCTTTATCCAAATCAGACGTGTAGTTATGGTTGAGGGAAGAGTCGATCAAACTCATCCCCAATTCGACACATGTTCACTTGTATGTAACTGTCAATTTTAATCTCAAACAATCCCAAACTAAATTTAAAAAAAAATCAGTACTTGATTCGACTGGCTATGGTTCAAATTCATTCCTCGTGCCCCCATTTAGATTCTTATAGCAGTTGCGGCATTAATTATAGGCTTCTTAGTAAATAATAGGGTCCACTTTTTTGTAACTAAGAAGGACCCACGCCTCACATCTGGCTGGCTTCGGACCTTCAACTTCGAAAAAAAAAAATCTGCAAGTGTCCTCACTTCACACTTGTTAATCATTATAAATATATAACACAAAAACAGAACAGACAAAAATCAATTAATACTTTTCTAACCAACCAGAGAAAGAAAGCTAATGTAAATATCATTTCAATTTCATTCGAACCCAAAATGTCTCGGCCATGAATTACTTGGATGGCTTAAACTGGTACATCGATCATCTCCGTGTTTCATTACAGGCAGTCTGTAATTCGTTCCTACAATCCATTTGCGATGATATCTGTAATTGTTGCATACAGCGGTTTGTAGTCCTCGGAGTTCCCAGCCGAGGCCTTGCCGGCACTATACACACACCATTTCCCTTTATTTCTAGACAGCCAACACATCACGATGGCTTGGGACTGGTTGGTCTTGGTGATGGTGTCCTCACAGAGCATGGTGTTCGGGTCAGACTCTTCGTAGAACCGCAAACTCGGGTTTGGAAACTTGGCAATGGTCGGCGACTGCCACGAGCTCAGCGTGAAGAAAATGTGCGTGAAGGTGCTGGGGACTTGGTGCAGGTCCACGTTCATCAGGTGGTGGCCTGTTCTTGTCACGCTGTTCATCTCGTCGCCGGAGTGTCGCAGAGACTCGTGCGACAGCTTCCGGTAATCCAGGTAGTCGACGAGTTCAGTGCCGCTGAAGATGATGGCCGTGGCGTCCAGGTAGTCCCTTCCGGTGGACGGGTATCCCCAGTGGAGGTCGAACACCACTTTGTTGAGGTTGTTGTCCGGGGCTGCGTACAGGAGGCGCCTGACGTAGACGGTCGTAGCCGGCACTACCTTGTAGTGGCGGAGAGTTGCGGCCGCTTTGTCATCTGTAAACTCCTACCATAAGGAATCAGAGAGAGGAAAGAGCAAGGAGAGTTATGGAAAAAAATTAAGCACGCAGAAAGTAAGACAAAACCAAGAGGACAACCAATTTCAAGGTGCTGGGGGAATAATATTGATGACAGGGTTTGTTTATCGAACATTATATGCAACTTGAATTTGAACTCATAACCTGATTATGTTAAGCTAGCAGATAACCAGAACAATAATTGGCATGCTTTCTATATTTTGATTTTTTATTCTGTCAGTGGGAAGGGACATTACAAATTGTGATAAGCCTACATGTACTCCGTATGAGGACTGTTTATTATAGTTTTATTACTTTTCCTATTCAATTCAATTCAATTCAAATAGACATTTAATCATTTATGTCCATATACAGCTAATACACAATAGATAACTAAATGATTATTCATAATCATACAAACAATTGAACATTACATCAGAGACCTTACACAAATCTATTTATGGAGTTTATTATGATCTTTACATTTCATATACAAATCAGCAAGGATCATCAATGGAAAATGGCGAAACTGTCGAGATACCTTCATCTCTGTGCCATTGTAAATTAGCTGTTGACTCTGGGGTGGCACCCCAAGATCTTTCCTGACAATCTCTCTCAACCTCGCCACAGTCATGGTCGGCTTGAGCTCCACACTGGTGCTGTCGCCATTGAGCATGGCCACACTCACGTAGCCCGTCTCACCAGTCGGCGTGTCGGTCTGAGGGGCGGACGTCGGCTCGTACTCGGGAAACAACACATTGAGTTGCTCGTAGCATCGTTGAAGCCGCTTGGCGTCTTTGCTCACTGGATTCTCACATTGGGAGCACTTGCCGTGTTCTTCAGCGTGATCTGTAACACACTTTAAAAAAAAATACATCGATTTTACTTGATGTTTGAGAAAATTTAAGTTGCTTGTTGAAAGTGAAATGTGAACACAACTTGTCCTTTAAAGTAGTATACCTAAATTTCACTATTATAGTTGTCCTCCTTGTCACTCTATGTTCAGCAAACTAACTTCAAGATATCTCCATGCATTCTCGGTATATTGATTTTTGCTAGACTTCTGTATTTCATGAAGTTGCATTAAAAATGCATTTACCAAAAGACTTGTATTTTTGGTAGCCATCTTCCAAAAAAAATTTTCCATCAATGTACTCCGTGCCGCAAGAATGACAAACGTGTTCAAAATGTGTAGGCTACATGACATCTGTTTAATCGTGGCAGATTCTTACGTCATTTTGGGAGGCTTAACTTCGATGATACTAGAAAAATGCAATTGCTGTCGCACACCAAAAACAGAAAAGGCAAGGGCAACGAACGTACAGTGAGAAAGATTAATGGTAATATTGATCATTATAATCATCATAGTGATGAAATAACATTTACCCGGAGACAGTGCAAGGCAGCGTGTTTGCAGGACTCCGTCAGGGTCCACGGCGGAAACTCGTTGGAGAGTTTAGCCACACCACACTTCTCGCATTTCATGATAAACACACTGTGGAGATTTGATGGTTGACTGATGACACTTAAAGGGAAAACAGGTGGGAAAATCAATGTAGGATTGTCCGTTTAAAGGAACTTCAGTAGAATTTGGATCGCCAGTTACAATAATTAGGCCAAGTAAAAAAAGTGTTAAGCCTCCCCGCCCACTTCCTTTTTGGAGGCCGCCTCTTTTGATAATTATGATAAATTTTAAACAGTGACATCATTTTGGCCTCTGTCTCTGTTGCAACTAGCCCATTAGCTGGTATGCCATTTCCCGAGTCCATGACGGCCACTTAAAAAAAAGCTGGCGGCCATCTTGAAAATGGCCCGGTCGGGCGGCCATTTTTGAAGAAAAAATGGCCTCCTTCCTTTTTTTCAAAAAGGCAGGACGCTAAACTTTTTTTTATTTGGCCTTATTGATGTTCACATAAAGCAGCTGAATATTAAAAAGACACTATATAATCGTTTAATTCTCAGAATTATTTTTCTTCAAGTGTCGCTTCCAATTTGGATAACCTTCAAAGCTTTACAAAAAGATTCTTCAAACAAATATGTCTAGCATCCTCTTCAAGAGCTTAATAAACTAAGAATGCAGTGCCACGTGCGGAACAATACAACACTATGCCACCTGACATACATGGCATATAGTATTTGAGGAATGGCCTTGATGGCACCGCAGTGGTTTCAGCTACAGAACCACAATAGATTACGTTGGGACCAACTACATTAAAACTAGCAAAAGTAATGCAGTCGTCACATTTCACCATGTTTTGTTTGCTTTTCACAAATACTGACTACACAGCCTTACGAGCTATTAGTTGACGACCATACTCCTGCAGAAAATAGTGCTCTGTATATAGCTTATATCTTCCATGTTGTCAGCAAATGCCGTACTATCCACTACGGTGACTACTTTTATAGAGCTGATATATCATTGCGTCTAACGATCCATTTAAGGATACGTTCGTACGTATACGTTAGCCTACCCTAGGCCTACAAAAATAAGTGAACTGTATTATGATATACATACTGTTTCACTAATACGTCCAACCAGGGGTTTACTTCCGCATTTGCACTCGGCGTACCTCCAGACTTGTCGGTAATCGGTAGTTAGTATTGTGCATGCCTGAAACTGTTTCTCATCGGGGTTTTCCCAGTCAACATCTAACGCGGAGACTTATGGGAAAATATCACACTGCCATGGTAAGCATCAAGTGCGCCCTCTATACGAGGATACTTGGGAGACGACGGATCATCAGTGTATCAACAAAATATTTTCTTTTCAACTTGAACACACAGTTTATTCTGTACCTTTTTTAAAAATTATTTTCAAACAGTAGGCCTAGATATAAATACTACCGTCGTACGCTAACAAGTACGCTATATGGGAATGATAAAGTACAGACATTGCGCTAATTAATTACAAGTGTTTATCTGCCATCTGTCGGTATAAGCGTTTTACCACAAGCAAGTTGGCCGACAGAGTAGGCCCTACATCGAGTTTGTTACTCATTAAACGAACCATCTAATCATTTACAGATTAAGCCATTATTATCGACTTTCGAAATCGTTGACATCCCTTTCTGCATTTGCGTTTAAGTTAACATCGGCTTGCATGGCAAATTATAGTACGGTGGGGGTTGTGGCCTTGGCCCAATTTCATAACACAGCTTAACAACAGAAAAGTTGTGCTTAAAATATTAACAGATAAATGTGCTAAATTTAAGCACTATTTCATGGTGTGGATGTGCTAACGGTTCAGTGACGAAGCTAGAATTTTTTTTGGGGGGGGGGGCACACGAATATCATGGGGGCACCATAGAGCTATATTAAGTTGTATTTTTTTTTAAGTTAGCAAAACGCTTACTGTTTACAATTTCTTATGTCAATGGATATAACGAGGCATTATGGGGCCCAACTGGGAAAAACTGCAATTTAGGACGTTTGCAATATGTGCCCCCCCCCCCCATAGAGCTATTTTAAATTATTTTGCTTACTTAAAGAAAAATACAACTTACAAAAAAAATACATTTTTGGTTGGGGAAGGAAAAGGGACATTATCAGTATTTTGGTGTGTGTGTATGGGGGGGGGGGGGGGGGGGCATGGAGATTTCTATTGTGACCTAACCAATTCATGAACTTTGTTCGGTTATGCATGCTTGCGCTTTCCTTTTACTGCTCCACTGAATATAGGCTCTGAATAATAGGCTCTGTTAGCAGAAAATAGAGGCTCTGTTAGCAGAAAATCGTGTGCCTAGTACGTAGCAGCGACATGAAATTGGGCCCTTGTCCGGAAGTAGGTGTCTAAGCTTTATCCAGTGAAGTCTTCTGTTTGGGCTCTAGGGCTCTTGGTTCGTGGGTACCGTGTACCAGCGAGTGTCCGTGTGGAGTCAGCGCGTTCATCTTTATCCTCCGGTATCGTCGCTTCTCCTCCAGCACCTGCATCTCGAGCCGGTGGCGCTGTCTCGTCTGTTCTCGTACCTCACGGGCCAGCTCTCGCTGCTCGTGAGCCGTCTCCATCTGGACGGTCAGCAGCGCCATCTTGGCCTCGTGTTCGTTGCGCGCGTAGTCCATCGCCGTCCACTGATGGTGGCTGCTGGGGTTGTCGAAGTCGCTCATCACCCCGGCGGCTGTTTCGTGTCTGTAATCGCTGTCGCCTTCGCAGTGGAAAACCTCTCCTGGATATAGATTAAACAGATAAAATAAGATCCATCAAATCACCCATTTTCAAATATACCATTTTGGATGGCAAGAAATCGAACCTTTAATTACTTTTTTTTTCTAATATAAAGCCTTTTCAGGAACACGACTCTGCATCATGCGTTAACATGATCATAATAACGTGTCCCATCAATTAAACAATAATTAATAAATGCAAATTAATCTCTGGTTAAATCAACAAACATTTCGAGTTACTTAATTTTGAAGATTACGTCACTTGATAAAACCAACTTACAAATAACCTTTAATTTCTTTTTACCAAAAGTAGCTGTTCAAGTTTTACTCCCTCACCAATGTTAACGGTAAATATTGTTCACAAAATAATGGAAATTAAAAGGGAAATGCACACCTATCTCCTCATCATCCGAATCATGCACATCCTCGAACTCCGCCTCTGGGTCTGTCACCTCACCGTTGCTTCTCCCGGGATGTTCGTCCACCTCCTCGTCATCTTGGCCTCCTTCGGTGAGCGGAACTGGCGAGCACAGCTCCGCTCCATCCTTCCCTTCCTGACTCTGCTGCTCCTGGTAAGACCACGCGTCCTTGGGCTCACTTTTGACCACAACCGTCCCAAGAGAGGACGATGGCATACGGCCACTGGTGGTTGCGCAAGCCCCGTTTGAAACCATTCCATCCGGTGTCTTGTTAGGGATACCAGGACTCCGGGAGTTAGATTTCCCCATGCGCAGCGCCACCGATCCCGCGGTGGGCAAGTTGAGCGTGGAGTACCCGTTAGAGCTCATGGATTTCTTGGCCCGCATCTTGAGGTTGTTCCAGTATTTACGGAGCTGGCGGTGCGTCCGTTTGACCACGTTGTGCTCAGCGTTGAACCCGGCCACGATCCGAGACCAGGCTGCGTCCTTCCGTCGCACCGTCATCCCGTCGTTTCTCTTCGACTCGACGATCTCGATGTTCGCCTCGATCAGACGTAGCAAGACGTCCCTCTCCAGCACCGAGAAGTTTAACCTTTTCGACCTAGACTCCATATTATCATGGAGGAATAAGATGTTATCAAGCACAGCAGAGTATCAGTCGCGTTGAGCTGAGCTATAGTAGTAGTACTTTTACTGCTCGAGGTCAACATTCAGTTTCCGCATGTACATGTACAATATTTTACGTTCTGTGCAGCACACTCTCCCTGTATTGTTGGCGACACTCGAGTATGGTTATTATGCACGGCTATAACCGCAGTGTACTTGTGCTCGGTACATAATCACGCGTGGCCAAGGCTGACCTTTTGTAAGCTGGCTTTACATTATGTGCCGCTGGTAATCGGACTCAAGCCCGCTCTCATATTCACACAGTGCAGTATACACGCATCTCGAGTCCGTGACTGGATCGCCCAGTCGTTGCGGATACCAGCAGGAATGCGTATTATGCCGACCTCAAGTACCGTAAGAGTACGCTGCATTATCATCAGCTGTCTGGTGTATACATGCCTCAAGTATGACTATCTCTACCTGAGGCGTGGTGGGAACTAATAGGCAATGACAACTGCTCGCGAATAATTATTAACAATGAGCCCCAACAGCCAAGTGGGACCCTGATAGGCTATTTTACTGCGCTGAGGTTTTGAGGAAATACGGAAATAATTATGAACACAGTTGTTTCAATCGAGTCATCATATACTGTAAACTTATTTTCTATAAAACACAGTGATAACAACATTATTCATGAATTAAGGCATTGTAAAAAAAAATATAACAAAGAATGAACAATACTATATTGGGAATGGAATTTTGAATGAGTGGCTTTACAATAAAATACGGCACACACGGATGGAATTTTGAATGAGTGGATACTGAATATTTGCAGTGCGACCGATAACACAGTTACATAGATTGTTGATTATACAGACATCGATTTGCATTATCATTTAAGTGATATGTAAAGCACGCGTCAATGAGATCTGGCATATTGTAATTTTTTTTCACAGGTGCCGTTTGTACATGTCTCGTCCAGGCTCGCTTTAATAATCCAGTTGTCTTACAAAAAGTAACTGTACGTTAATATTATTATTATTATCATTAATCTAAAAATTAATGTGGCCTGACGTTGCGAACTTAGCAAGTTCTTCTTCAGAGGCTAAAACAGAAATTAACATGGGGGTGCACACAAACATGCAGGGCTGAAAGAAGAAACACTAAAGGAGGATTAGGTGGGAAAGGTGTGGAAAGATGCAGGGGAGGGTGGATGAGAGAACAAAGAAAAAAAGGGAGATGGCAAACCACAAGGGGTCTGGTGTAAACTGGGCCAACATTTATTATCATTATTTATTTCTGAATATGAAACCAAGGATTCCTCAAAAGCGCATTATAATTATAGGCACTGTAGCTCGCAAGCCTGAAGAAACCTGCACTGAGAGGAGACAATGAGAAGAAACTACGTTTTTGGAGGATAGGAGGGAAAAGCCCAGAAGAATATTCTGGGGAAAACCCACATGTTGGCCCAGGCAGGATTTGAACCCGGGTCACAGCGCGCGGGAGAAGGTGACGAAAGTACCGCTACGCCAACCTGGCTTATATGGTTTAGCGGATGTCACTTGGGCGCGCGTAACCATCTCTGTATAAATGCGCGTCGCAAATGCCACATTGAAATTGACACAAATTTCACCAGCAGAACGCACTCACTATGGACAGATATTTATCGCTTAAAATTCAGTAAGAATCATAACACAGTGCGTCTACCCGTGTGGATTACATAGGATCTAACACCTGCCCTCAGATGTGACGTCAGATGCAATGCGTCTATGGACAGTCAAAAGAAAAAGACCGCATTTCAGTTTGGACGCAGTATATTGCTTTCGTTACCATAAAAAAATAATAGCAAGGCTGTTATAATAATAAGCTATCCCGGTTGAATCGCGTCAACGCAGCTTGTGAAATATTGTCCAATTACATGATATACAAATGAACGTGGAACGCGCAAAATCTGAGACACAAAACTTAACGTACACATTTCCATAGGGGCGTGGCTAACTCGCAAACGGCGAAAGGACGTGTACATGACATTTTCAAGTTGCACACACGACACATAAATATGCAATCGATCAAGGTGCTGGCTATATCTAGAATAAACACGGGGGCAGACACTACTCACAACATTTGACAATATCTTTACACATGTAAAGGAAAACTTATCACAGATACACAACATACGGTAACTTCACTTGATATATTGCTCAATCTGTTCAAGAACGTTAAGAAAACCAAAAACATTGGTCTGATATCAGTTTTGTTTTTATTTCTCACTGATAATATAAACACAGATGAAAAAAAAGTACAACATGGGATGACTGATTAACATTATCCTTATAATTACGGTCTACAAATTTGTAATAAGGCTTATACTAGTGTATTGCAACATGACACTGCAATCCAAATTGGCACACACTGCAAATGACTCCTACTTGAGACGGCAAGCTGTTTGGTTTGCACTCAGTGAGTTTTCTTGTCGCTTAAATCATTTTAAATATCACTACCCGAGTGATTGTGAGAAGCAAGTGCGATGGCATTTTTATTTTTTCATCAAATCATGTACAACCAAGTTCATCACAAGAGGTAAAGAAAGTGTGGTAAAATCCCTTGCTCAAGGACACTCGTTCTATGTGCCTTGGAAGGATTCGAACCCTCACTGTTGAAGTCTCTGCAACATCGGAATAGTTTAGGCTAAACTGGCAATTTTTTTTTTTTAATTAACTCAACTTGTTGACAAATCCTCAAACAAAGCACAAAGGAAACTTCCTACTTTCATTTTGATAAATATCAGGTTGAGTGAAAGAAACCAACTTTGTTGGGACTTGAACCCCCGACCTCAATTAAAAGTTAAAACTTGGCCCATCATCGATCAACTTCCTGTCATATTTGAATCAACTTTCAAGTCCTTTCCGTGAACCTTAGAACATGTTCACTTATATTTCTTGTTTCCACAGAGTGGACTTTACACATGATTTTCCAGGTACTTTTAGCTCTGGAAAATATCTACGGATACTTTTCTTTGAAATTTCGTTTCATTTTCTAGTATTTAATTAAAAACATTATTAACACTCTAAAAATAATATAAATAAAAAATGTCTGAAATATTACCCAGACAATAGTTTCAAAACAACAAAGTCATTATTTATATTGCAGACAATAGTTATAATAAATATACACTTCTTTTACAGCAATACCTTCATCATCTTGAGCGTTTGGCCGTTTTGACCAGACCGTTTTCTTGTTGATATTGTAGGATCAGTGCTTCTTGCACAGCGGGTCGGCAGGGCTGGTAGTGGCTGTATTCCATGGTGTACTCGCCTTTGCCTTGGGTGGCAGACCGGAGCTCGGTAGCGTAACCGAACATGTCGTTCAGCGGCACCTGCAGATAAGGGTCAGAAAAGTTTTGGCCAATATTATCGAAATGATGTTCCATCGATGAAGTGCAAGCGAAATGTAATTATGGTCTGACAGGCTTCAATATTTTAAACTAAATTATTAATGTTTTTAATCAATTATCAATTGTCTTTTAAAAGTTTTGTCATATTGCCAATTTTGCCATACATTGTGGTGTTAATGATATTATAAAACACAGTTTTCTTTTCTTTGAGTCCTGTTGTTGTTGTTGTCCTTGTTGTCATTGTTCTTGTTGTTGTGGCCGCTGTCGCCATTATTGTTGTTATTGTTGAGAGTAATCTATTTCTTAATTGAATGCTAATATATTTCTTATCCCAGTTGATACCATATGACATTTGTGTCTAGATTTTTCATGGAAAATATAAATTAATGAAGTTATGATAGATTTGATTATAACTACGAATGTTTACAAGCACATGCCCTAGACCGGTATCCTATATTGAATCCTTGTAATCAATTTCTAATCAATTACAGACTCACGTCACAACTGATGGAGAAGTACCCCTCCCCGCCATCCGAGCCCGAAATCACCCCGTTGCGTTTGTTGATGCCAGCCAAGACGGTACCGTGAAACTCTGAGGGCGCTGTCACTTCCACGTTCATGATCGGTTCCAAGATGTGGCATGCTACTTCACTCATTGCTGAGGAAAAATACCGATAAAAATGTTGAAAAATGTTTTTCGGTTGTGAGTTCAGGAGCCAACTATGGGGTTCTACTTTCTTTGTACTACCAACCAGGTGTTGGAACATTGAAGGTACTAGAATGCGCCAAATTGGGCTACAAGAAACGCGTTTTTAAACAGAATCCCAAGTGTGCTCAGGTGGGACTCGAACCCAAGACCTCTTTCTGATGAGTGCAGATGTCTTTACCACTTGACTCCTGATCTTGCCTAGGTCAGCTGGCTGGTTCGAATCTTATGCAGCAGCAAAAGCATATTACATCAAAAGCATATAATTGAGACAAGGACTTTATAAAACTGACCTTGCTTGATGGCTCCAAGACCAGCCAACCTGAAAGCTAGCTCACTAGAGTCCACCATGTGATGCTGACCGTCTTGAAGACGCATGCGGATACCTGTGATCTTCTGGCCTATTTGGAGGCCCTTCTCTGCTCCTTCATAGAAACCCTGGAAAAAAAGGAAAGAAAAAGAAATGAAGAAACAGGTGTTTGATCATTTTAAAGAGTCAGGTAAGTTCATTGGAAATATTTGTAAAGCGCTTTGAGATTGTTGATACGATGGAAAGTGTTACATCAGCATTACAATTTGGTTTTATTTTTTTATTTTAAAAAATTAAAAAAGACAGGATCTCCCCAACTAAGATAACAAGAAAGACTCTTGGAAACAGGAACACTGACTTTTCATAATTAGGCAGGTAGCAAACATGTTCAATTTACAAATGGCAAATAAAAAACAATAAAGAAAAAATAAATTAAGCTTGAAGGATGAAAGGGAATAAAATATTAAATGGAGGTAATGATTTTTTATCCAGAAAGTGGCGAGGGGTCGAAACCTAACTTGGAAAGAAAAGGAGAGGCACAGGCAAGTACGCATAATAAAATCAAATTCAATGCAGCCACAGTTAAAAGCAACAGATACCAGGGAGTCAAAGAAGAGTACATTTTGTACATGAAATAGTCGAAGAAAATATTGAAGCTCACCTTTTCCACTGCTGGAACAAACTGTTTGGGGACATTGGTTCCCAAGGTCTCGTCTTCGAACTCTATCTTGGTGTAAGAATCCGAAGGTAGAGGCTAGAAAATTACAAATCAAGCGTGTCAGTGTATGTTTAGTGTTTTATTTGTACGTTTTAATGGTTAGTTTGCATTAAGTGAAAAATCTAACATAAAGGGGGTTTTACAAAACTCCATATGTCAAGTGTGTTAAGCACAGTTTACATGTGATTCTTTAAAATATTCATTCGCATTCACCTCAATCACACCGATAACTTTACCGTACTGGCCGGCGCCGCCCGACTGCTTTTTGTGTAAGTAGTCAAATCTACAAACAAAAAACAACAAAAAAAATTGATCAAATCCATATTCTGAGCTTGTTTTCGCCATAACGTGCTTACCGTGCTGAAGCAGAAATTTGGACGATGACCAAATCATCACAGAATCCTTTATGTTAAGGGATGTACAAATGGCAAAAGCAGAAAACTCCTGCCCATGGTTATGCGACCCCTGAAATATGTTCGATTTCGATTAGATTTTGCGAGGATTTTCATTTATGGTGAGAAAATCAGTGAAATCGAACCCAGGTTTAAAGTAGAATCTCTACTCTTTGAATATCACAGGTTCAGGAAACTTTCGATGACTGTTGTCATTTCCTGATGAGACCGATCCAAATGCAAACTGTTATTATTCTGTCTGGGTTATCACAGAATCCGGACGTGAAGATTTACTTACTCTATGGGTCGCAAGATGGACTCCCGAAAGGCCACTTTGGGTTTGCCTACAACCACAGGGCAGTTGTATTCATTTTCCATCCTCTGGGCGTAGATTTCAAGATGCAACTCTCCCATGCCGGACACTATCGTCTGCAAAATAAAACATGTCAAAATATCATCCAGGTAAGGGAAAACAAGGTTTTCAACAATCACAAAAGGCAGAGTGGAGTTGTCAAATTCAACCTATTTTTTCCACTAGGCCAAAGTGCCTATTACTCCATATACTGCCCAAATCTGCCCCAGCACTGTACGATTTTAAGGCCTGCCCAAGCAATGAACGGTTTAAGGATTTATCAAGGAGTAAATGAAATGTTAGAGAATGTGAAGCAACTACAATATAAATACAATGTAATACATGAGCTAATGGATTAACACAAACCTCTTTGCTCTCATTGTCAAAGTGCACAGTAAACGTCGGGTCCTCACGGGTGAAACGATTGATCGCTTTGGAGAAATTATCAATGTCGGTCTGAGGACAAGAAGATAAATCAAGTTGGAAAAGATGACAATTTTCTGATGATCCATATTGGGGGGGGGGGGGGGGTAAGACAGTTGCAAACACAAACTAGGCATGGACAGATGTAAAAACAAGGGATACTTGTTCTTGTGCTTTTACAAAATTAACGACGAAAAACTTTAATAAAAATCTCCTAAAATTGGAGGTGCATTGATTTGTCGTGACATGATCCTACCTTTTTCTGTGGCCTGATGGCAAGCGAAATGACAGGTTCTGGGACGTGAATCGATTCCATGGACAGCTGGAACTTGGGTTTGGAGACGAAGGTGTCGCCGCTGGCACAATCAATGCCAAAGAGGGCGCTGATGTCACCAGCATAGATGTCAGTCTGGTCCTGGTTGCCAGAAGAAAAAAAACCAAAAAATAAACCACAAGATCTTAGACTATTTTGAGGAGGGAGAATGGTATTTGGAATGGTCAGTTCTTAAATCCGCTTCCAAGATGTTCTGGAACATTTACTGACATGCAGGAAAATGTTTGTACATGTTTTGCTGTTGGTGATGGATTTGACTCAAATGCTCTAAATTTGAATAAACATGTACCAACATTTTTTTTGGCTTTTTACATGTTATTAAAAGGAGGATTTATATAAACACTTTGCAGATTTAGTGGATCTTCAAGAGGTCTGAAACAGATCTTGGTGAAACCTGTCATGCCTGTATAAAAACTTTACGTGAAGTTGACTGCTTACAACAGTATTCCACTCATTAAATGACATTCATTATTTCATCTTAGAAAAATTTAACACCTGATGAAAAATAATGTGGTCTTGAAAGATCTAAAAAGTCTCGACTGTAATAGATTGAGGATTTTTCAGATTCTCACCTGCATTTTATCAGCATGCATGCGTACCAGCCTAGACACCTTGACTCGTTTGTTTGTCCGCGTGTTGTAGATGTATTGACCCTTCTGTAGATGGCCCTGGTATACCCTCATGTAAGTCAGCTGACCAAACCGCCCAGCCTGTACAATTATCCAACGCACGCATACATTTATGAATTTATTACAAGTTTAGGCACTCTCCTGAAGACGGTCAGAGCATACTGACCGGAACGTCGAGTTTATACCTCTGGTTCTTTTCAGAACCATTCTCTTAGTTGAGAAATTATTCGCACATGGTGTTTCCGCAAACCTTTCATTATTTGAATTTATTACAGTTATTAGGTTTAGTATTTGAACTGGGCAAGCTCAAAAAAGCTTGGACGCTATTCATGTCAGATTTTACACTATTTGAATGTAAAATCATACAAACTGAAGAAAAATCCCGATTCTAAAATACAAAAAAACCTAAAAATTTGGGACTGTTCAACAGTATATTGAAAGCAACAAATTTCAGATTGCAGTTTGTTACCACTGTCCTCATTGATTTGTGTACAATTATCGGCTAATACAAAAAAAACTAAAAATTTGGGACTGTTCAACAGTATATTGAAAGCAACAAATTTCAGATTGCAGTTTGTTACCACTGTCCTCATTGATTTGTGTACAATTATCGGCTGTTTTTTATGTTAAAATTGTACTATATTTGCTACGGTTTATTTGCTACATTGATTTGTCAACCAAAGGGAGAGCAACATACCTCAAGTTTGAAGGCGAGAGCGACAAATGGGTTCAAATCATCTCTCCTTGGATCCATCTTCAACTTTTGATCCTCCCTGGAAAGGATATCAGAAACAAGAATCTGCTTGATGAAGAAACCTAGAATGCTCTGAACAATTCACTCTTCTAGAAATGCTGAAAATTGAATACTTACTCGTCAAAGGCGTAATTATCCACTTCAGTGGGATTGGGGAGGTAGTCCAAGACTGCATCAAGCAATGGCTGTGAGAAAAGCAAAGAAACAAGAAAATAATTTATCTCTTGAAGTCATAGATTTGAGTGGACATAAAATCATTGAAAGAATGCAGTTATAGTGATGGGTGTTAACGAGTTCACGCAAGGAATATTTTGTCATTGATCGGACTCACGCGCGGGCTGTTTTCATGAATCTCGATGCCAGATGGGTTCAGGCTGTCATCTGCGGGTAATACATCCTGATATTTCCGGCTCACTGCGAGCGGGTCACTGACAGATATTTCCGGCCTCGCTCGTTGCGTGTTTATCCGTCATCCGTTCTGAATACCGCAAAATCTTTGTGTGTATACACACCATCCAGTTAACTCAAGGCAAACAATGAAATGTAATTTGTTTATGTAATATATCAAATGCTTTGTACCTGTACTCCTTTGTTTTTCAGGGCTGTTCCGAGAAAGACTGGAGTGAAGGCTTGTTTGAGGGTCGCACGACGGACGGCTGCCTGTAAAATGTAAAAAGAGGAAGAGATATTTTGGGAAAACATAGTCTTGGTTTTTATTTTTCAGGAATTCCATTTATTACTGATGTCTCAAATGGGACAATTTATGCAGATTTGTTGCCGGGAATTTAAAGACTCATACATTTTTGGAAAAATATTATTTAAAATATTGCGCGACCTTCTAAATTTGGTCAAAAATCTAACACAGAATAGGAAATACAAACCTTTATCTGCTCTTCGTTTGGTTCCAATTCTGAGAGAAACATGTCACCGAGCTCCTCGTCCACATTTGCTACACATTCTGGAAAGCCAAGAAAATTAATCAATTCATAAGCAAAATTCACAATTCCAAATTAAAATTTGAGACTAGATGGAAATAATTCAGAAACGGCAATTTGTGTATTCCAATGGTATCAGTTGTGAGGCAATCGGAAGAGTCCAAATGCTTGGAGCTGTTATCCGGAAGATGCTGCTTAACAAATGTACGTGCTGACCAAATTATACGTAATCTTATTACAAGCAATATGTCCTGGTTTTAATGCAATTTGAGAGGATTCCTTACCTATCATTTCTTGTCTCTTTTCTTCCATTTCCGCTTGCAATTCCTCAGGAACCTCCTTCTGAATAACATTCTGCCTGTACAGATTATCACAGAAAATAAGACAATAATTCCTTATGTGATTTAGAACATGCCAGTTTACGGTAGCACGTTTTAAAAATGTTGACAAGGCGATGACAGTCAAGTGTCTTGCCCAAGGCCATAGCATCAGAATTCTTTGAATAGGACAAACAGTTCCATCAGCAGTATATGCCTGGATCCAATAAGATCTCTCACTGCATTGTGTCCTTCACTGTAAAAAATGTTTCAGTGATTGTGAGGGCCCTTGTTTCCCCCGTCAACTCACCCCTGGTCTCCCTCGAAGTAGATGGCTCGTCGATGGATCAGGTCCACCACACCTTTAGTACTGGACTCCAGGCCAATGGGTAATTGCAAGAAGGCTGCGTTGTGGTTGAGCTTGGAACGGAGCTGGGACAACACACGGTGTGGATTCGCCTTGAGCCTGTTGGGGAGAAACATTTTTTAGTATCTGATGTTACAGTGAGCAAAAGATTTCTGAAACAATTCCAACACATGGCTATAAAAAAGGGGACAAACCTGTGTTAACAGGACTGGAATGCTCATAGCTCTTTCGTTAGCGATTGGGCCAGACTCATATGCTGCTGTAGGGGGATCGCCACACCTCCTCCACAGCAAGTCTGTTATCTTCCCAGCACTGAATAATGCCAGTACCCATTTAACACCTTGGTTGAGAGGAGTAATTGAGGTAAAGCGCCTTACTCAAGGGCACAACACGCATGGCCACGGCGGGGCTCAAACCCACAACCTCACGATCACGAATATTGTTTTCCATCGCTGGACCACACGTGCCCACAATGTAAGATCATACATTAGCTTGACCCGGGCTAATAATTTATTTTAAAATGTACCCTTTAAAAAAAACCAAGACGACGAAGCTGTGCTCAGAGCTGAAGACGTGATTTCAAAAACACCCCAAGTTTTGAGGTACTCCATAAAACTCACCTGTCCAGTTTATTGATGAATGCGATGCGTGGCACGTTGTATCGCTTCATCTGTCTGTTGACAGTGAAAGTCTGGCTTTGGACTCCTCCTACAGCACACAGAACCAGCACGGCACCGTCTAGTACGCGTAAGGCTCTCTCTACTTCTACAGTAAAGTCAACATGCCCTGAGGAATTTCAGATAAAAAAAAATTGGACATTTAAGTACCTATAACATGCCTTCCGGTATGCACTCATCCCAAATAATTCAATTTTCTAACTTGCTAAGCAGCTATCTCCTGCTAAGCAGTGTTATGAGATGAGGTCCTGGGGCTCAGACCCACCTGGTGTATCAATGATGTTGATATTGTAGTCTTTCCACTCAACGTGTGTCGCAGCCGACTGTATGGTGATTCCTCTCTGTCGCTCTAGCTCCATGGAGTCCATCGTGGCACCAACATTGTCCTTTCCTTTCACCTTAAAAAATATGTATTAAAAAACAAAACAATCAATCATTTTAAACTAAATCACAGCAACTTTACAAAAAGTGCTGGAGGTTTTCAAACTATGGTTCCATCTTCAGCTTTGGATTTACTGCATGCCTGGCACCAGGATCATTTGATGAAAATATTAGCAAATGCTGACAAAAACACTATGGTAAAGATGCAGTTGTTGAAATCTGGCACAATAATACCTTGAACTAATTTCAAACTCTCACATGCACTTACACCAAGTTACAGTACAAAATAGTAAATGGTCGTTAATGTTATGGTGTTAATGTCAAACTGTAAGTTTGCCCGGGGGGGGGGGGGGGGGGGGGGGGGGAGTGGTCAATAGAATGACAGGGAAAGGAGGGACTTGATTTTGGCATTACGTACCTCGTGCATCTGTTTGATTCTGCCTGTGTAGAACAAGAGCCGTTCTGTGAGGGTCGTCTTTCCAGAGTCAATGTGGGCCGATATGCCAATGTTGCGTATCTTTCGCACATCCTATAAACAGAATACAAATTACTTCTTAAAATACCAATACAGAAAAAAGAACAAATAAAGCCTACACTTTCAAGCTATCTAGAAAAATAATTCAAGAAATTTGAAGGAAAGATTCGCATATCTGGCCAGGCATCACTAATTTTTCCCTTCAGCATGTTCAGTGACCAATCTGCCATCAGAAAGTCATGAAAGTGATAATCAATAATATATCCCAAAAAGTCAAATTTAGCAATAGCAGGGAAAATATTAAGGTATTTACTGAGAAAACACTTCAAAATTTTCAGATCAGTCTCATAGGGTTTGTGCACAGGATGACAAGTAATGGCCAGATATGGGAATCTTTCTAATTTGAAAAATCTTTTGGTCCCAAAATTTTTGACAGAAAATAGGAATGCCCAACAATGCCCAAACGAAAGCACACTTACGACATTTCCAGTTGAAGAGGATGCATGCCGGTAACAAGCACTTGTAGGTAAAATCTGAGAATAAAAGAAAAACACATTTGATATGGAACAAGTTACGAGTTAATGACATGAATCCGCTGTCGGAAACACACGGTAAACCGTTCCAAACAACGCTAATCTATCACCTGTTTTCGGAAGTCGAAAGCAAATTTCACATTGCGTCTAGTTGCTTCATTCAGAAGGGATGTGAATCGGAGTAAGCCCATGACAGAAGAAGAAGTTTGCCTTTTACAACCAAGAATTTGCAATTTTATCTCTAAAAACTGCTATTCTTCATCACAAAATCCCGGTTGCGCACACAATTTTAACACACGTAACGCATGGCGGTGTGACGTGCATTATGCAATCTTTTCTTGAGGGCGCCCTTTTCGATCAGTGGTGGCGGAGGCATCATTCATAAGTATTTCAAAGTTTAAGAAAGTCTTGTGGAGTTGTAGGGGCCCCTGCAGTGACGAGGGAAAATTGTGACAAAATGTCAATCCATCAACCCGTTTGCGGGAGGAGGACGTGTTCACGGTGATAACACGCACTGTCTGATTTACATAGGCGCTCGTGCCTCCGATCCGGATGACGTCTGAACGCGCTAATCCCGCGTGTCTAAAATAATTTGTACACACACACAAAGTCACCTCAGTCTGTGGAGGCGGACCGTGTGTTGATCTTGAATTGGCCGCTGTGCACGACCATTTGTTCTACGATTTACGCTGCAGTCAGATCCAGTGCACACCTCGGAGTATTGAAAAATGAGGTTCTGCAAGAAATCGTCGTACGAATATTGAATGGATGTCTGACAGCCTGCACTAGTTCGTACTGGAAACCGCAACCCTCAAAGGTAAGTGCAAACAAAATCATAGTGACTTTTGTAACTTCATATTTTTCGCCTCAAGAAGACAACTGATGTGACATCTCGATGCTAAACCAGCAATGGCGTAGCCAGGAATTTTTCAGTGGGGGGGGGGGGGGGGGGGGGGGGGACTGGAACATTTCATGGATGCGAGCGCGAAGCCCGAAGCCCTTACGGCGTGGGGTTCGGGGCCCGCTTAAGGGCCCCGAAAAAAAAAATATTCTAGATGTTCTGTGGTGTGATCTGAAGCAATTTCTTACCACTTTAACCAATAATTATCTTAGCACAAAAGATAACTAATATTTTCTTAGCAAAAGATAATTATTTTAACATCGTGTTCGAGGTTGGAGTCATTGAATCAGCTATCGGTATTCCGAGCTACAGGCGTGGGGTTCGGGGCCCGCTTAAGGGCCCCGAAAAAAATTGGATTCTCGATGCTCTGTGGTGTGATCTGAGGCAATTTCTTACCACTTTAACCAATAATTATCTTAGCACAAAAGATAAAAATTTAAACATAGTTTTCGAGGTTTTGTCAGCTAAAGGCATAAGAAAATTTTTTGAACATTGCCTTCGAGGTTGGAGTCATTGAATCAGCTACCAGAATTCTGAGCTTTAGGCGTGGGGTTCGGGGCCCGCTTAAGGGCCCCGAAAAATGTTGGATTCTAAATGCTCTGTGGTGCCATCTGAGGCAATTTCTGACCACTTTAACCAATATTTTCTAAGCAAAAGATACATTGTAGTACATAATAGGGCCCTGTAAATGAGACACGAGTTCAAAAATCTGGGGGGGGGGGGACATTTGATATTGTGTCCCCCACCCTTCAAAAAGTGTGGGCTGGGGGGGGGGGGGGACATGTCCCCTGTCCCCCCCCCCCCCAGGATTGACGCCCATGGCGTCATGTAGATCAATGATAATTTTTTTAGAAACTAAAAATCTCAGTGGGGGGGGGGGGGGCGGTAGCTACGCCACTGTAAACCAGCCATCACGGAGAATCAAGGAGTAAGTTTCATTCTCAAAATGTTAATGAAAAACATATGTATTGTCGGAAAGAAAGAGTAGGCCTAGTTTCAACATTTAAAAATTAAGGGTCCACCACTATGCACAAGACATTTAGCCCCTCGAACGTTTTGTAATACTGAGGGCGTACATCATGGTTAGGTTTGGCTCGTTGTGGCTCTAAGTTTTCTACATACGTTTATTATAAATCACATATTTAATTAGGCCACTTCACGATCAATTATAAATGGTAGGGCTACTGGTTTGAAATGAATCTACGTTTCTTGTCACACAAACAAAAACATAAGTTTTTTTGCAAACCGTTGCCCAACAGCTTCGGTTTTCACTACGTCGAATGGAATCTTTTGTGACTTTTAATACTGCCACGTGAAATGGAATGAGGAGAATAAGATCTATACCTATGTCCATTGTCGGTTTGTATCCAGCGAATGAAAGTGTTGTTTCGTGTCTATTTTTTTCCATCTGCCACGGAAACAACGATATGCTAATTCAGGCAAAAAGACACTTTCCCTGGCAATGGTGGATTGTTTTCGGTGCCGAAAGCTATGACCCTGACTTCAGTCTCCACCATCTGGATCTTTTTACATGTACGCCGTGGTGCCCGGTTGGCAATATCTGGATGCGTCTGTGTTCAGTCTTCAAGTCTACGCTGTCAGCAGGACGAACATATGTAAGTGATGATGGCAATGACAGAGCGAAGACATATTCACTCTCTTGCTCGAAACGTCGAGAAGACTCATTCGAACAAAAAAAAAGGACTCACGGTGAACTTTATGGCGATAATAAAACAGTTTTTAACATGCCTTACTGACAATGTGGTATGACATATTGCATCAAAAAATACCTGCAAAGGGAAGCCAGGTGATACTTTGACCAACTTTTGGCAAAAAAAACCTATCCAACAAGAGAAACATTTGAGAGCATTGGACACCCAGAGCTTTATATGATGGACATAACTCCTTTCCCATAAGTTTGTATACATTTTTTTAACAACCCCCCCCCCAAAAAAACCCCATCAAATTGAAAGCTTTTAGAAGCCACAAACCTGAACTTGTCCTGTTCTCATCTACGTTCGTCTATACTGCTGGTTCTACGTGAGACCTTCAGATGGAGAATGCGGCACTACAGCCGCTAGTCTCGGTAGGATTCAAACCCATATTCTTTCTGAGTATGCGAAATACACGTTTTCTGTATCCACAATGCATTTATTTCAGCATATGCAAAATCCCGGGAAAATGGTTAATGTACATACAAATGCGACACGGTATTTATTTTGACTATTAAAAGTGTTTTAAGGAACAGAAATACGAAAATTACATTTCCCTACTATGCATGGTTTCCATAAAAATATTCAATTTGCTTTATATTTAAGTGAAAGAAAAATTAACCTTTTAGCCCAAAAAATGCTATGTACAATTTAGAATAATTCCAAAAAAGGAAACTGTGATTGATGAAACTAAACAAACAGCGTGGAATGAAGCCAACGTTTCGGTCGTTATATTCAGGGTCATCTTCATGCAAAACACATGCCTTTTGACATAATACCAAATCATTGTCCAAACTCACGATCATTTTTGTTTAAATGTTACGTGTACATATTGTTACTCAAACAAGTTTAACATAATAGTCTTCAACATAATATAAAAGCGAGGAATACCCTAACACGGCTACAACTATTACTATAAATAATTACAAATTTGTAATTGCTATTGTTGATCATTCTTTCTCCACAATCCTTTCACGCTTACTGTTCTGCTATAAAATAAAATAAAAATTGCAAAAAAAACTATAACCTCATAAGACATGTACATGTACATGTTTATATATATACATGTACATGTACATGTAAAACCACACTCCATTTTTGTGTAATGCATAGAAACATGAACAACAGTATCAATATCTTCTCTAGTTCCTAAGTGGCACACATTTATGCATTCCTTTCCACTTTAAATACCCACAAAAGTTGGTTAAAACATATCAAGTTGGTTTGTTTCCCTCAAATTCATACCCCATATACAGATAAAATACATGGCCAATAATAATATTTAAAAAAAAATGTCATTAAAACTCTATTGTGTTATCGTAAACTTGTATTTATCGGATTTTTTTTTAAATTAGCAAAATCGGCGCATTTTATACACGTCAGTGCACGATATTTTTGAATCGTTTTAATTCGTTGATTGTTTAAAACATAAAACTGCTAAGCCCAGATTTCGTCGAAGTCCAAAACAAGCTAAGACAAATTTCATGGAGGCGCTCAGATGGAAATAACATATCAGCAGTTTTCCTTGATCAAGTTGGGAACCAGTTACGACCAAGTATACATGTACATTGATGACACTTGGCTGGTAACCCTTTACGGCTCAGCAAAGCAAATTCTGGATAAAAAAACAACATTCTTTCTGACAAGCAGCCTTCATGAAACTTATCCTTGTAGAATCCTACTTACTATAGTTTCTACATGTATTTTATACACAGGTTCTGTGTACAGTTAGCCTGATTGAAAAGAAAATCCAAGGGTGAGGCACTAATTGATATGGAAATCTAGCCGTCCAATAGGAATTCAGCGCTTCACTGATCATCCACTCACCTCATGTTTATTCATGACCCACTGCCATCCCAACCAAAACACCTTTTGTCGTACGTCCTCGATCAAAATGACCTCGAGTATCTAGCCTGGTACTTTCCCACTTTTTATGTGAGAAACTTATGGAATAATAACAATGAAAAACTGCAAACAAAGGAAACAGCTTAGATTTCCTTTACAGAAAATACATGTACGTCTACAGATCATTTCTGAGATTTTAAAAGGCCGTATATAGTGCCCCTAATTTCTGTTTTGCGGTATTAAATAACATTTTAAGCAGCTTTCATGTAAACATTGAAATGCGCGTCAAAGTTTTATCTAGTTTGGCACAGTCATGAAAAATTCATCACAATGTAGTAAGTGTTTGAGTATTTCTGTACTTCAAAGTTTTCTAGTCTAAGTACGCATAGAAATGTTGAACGACTTTTTTCACGTTTTTTTCCTTTATTTTTTTTACAGCACTGGCTGCTACTTTATCCAGTATGACAAAAATAACTGTGTACTTCATCTTTCATATTTTATACAAATCAATATGCCGAAAATATAATGTGACCACCACCCAAAACCAGGCAGAAATAGATTTGTGTTCTTTTTAAACATTTATTTGTACAACTCCAAAGATGACGGTTGCATCTTCAAAAACAATTTAATTTATGTGAAAAACTTACTAAAATTGTAGCGCGCAGAAATCTTCGACAGCTACATGACTGTAGGCCTACTTCAAACTTTTTGTCTGTAATCATTGGGGTTTTTTTTTGGGGGGGGGAGACGGCAATACAAGCGAAATTGGTTTCTGGTTTTGAGAGGTTGGTCATCTGATATTTATGACAGTTAAAAGTCGCTTACTTGACGAAATCAAAACCAAAGGTTGGTTAGTGGTTTTTAACCGACTTTCAGGATTTTATTCCCAGTCCGGGCGGATGTCGAATACCACCGGCTGTTGCTGTTGCCGTCCTCGGCGCCCGTTGTTGACGTCCTGCCGCACGTAAACCTATCGGGGGAAAGGGATCACACTCATTAGTTGTTTGGAGTTATAATTTGTTTGTCCTGACTATTTCTACAATTCAAAATACTGATCTGAACGTCGCTTATTGGACCGCATTGAGTAAAATGCCTAACTAACTCACTGAGAGTGAAACTGACTGAAGGACAGTGATACTGATGGTGTGCTTATAAGACAGGGTCTTCATGTATAATTCAACATGTAGTTTGTAGCATTGATGTGGAATTTTCATATGCCATTTTCAATCATCGAGGGCGCCATTTTGCGGACACAAACAGATGTGATTCCCAGGTTATTGCAATAAAAGTTGAAACAATTCGAAAATTACGATTTGACGATTGTATTAGATTGAAGCGAGGTTATCTAATTGCTTCAAAAAGCAAGACTTTTGTTCTATTGTTTGTGCACCGAAAATGTAGTAACAGCGTCCACAATATGGCCTAGTGAGAAGTGACAATATAAAGAAAATAAACAAAAAACCACGGACCTCCTCTTGGGGCGAATCGTCATAATCATCGTCATCGAAGTTGAAGCGCATGGAGTACGGCTCGGGTTCGGGCTCGCGGTTGCCCTGGTTGGATCGGGAGACGATCAGACGCTCCGGCAGGCCAGGCAGCTCGTCACGAGGGCGGAGGTACTCGCGGGGGCGAGCGTGGCCAGAGTTGTAGTAGCTGGAGATGTTGTAGAGGGGCATGCCGCGGGGGGCGTGGTCATCCCACTCCTGGAAGTATTCTGAGGGGATGAAAACCACACCAAAATCATGACGTAATTTTCTTTCGATCAGAACGGGCAAATGTCTCAAATCAAAGTTTTAGTTGTTTATTTGCAATATTTTAACTCGAATCATTGAGGCATGTTCTTAGTTTGGGCCAAATATTCCGGTTATATATTGAAACACAAAATAGAAGTATTATTTTAAAAACAAAATGGCAAGATTACGAAAGCTGAAAATAATTGTCCAAGTTCTTGTTACAGTTCTTGCTCTAGAAATTGTTTTCAAACCCTGATACTGGACAGTGTATTTGTAAAGACCTGTAAAGGTTAAGGCCAAAAGGAACGAGTTCGAGAATGTTTAGTGACTCACCGAGGCCTCCCATGTCCATCTCGCGGGCCCTGCGCTCCTCCAAACGGCGCTGGTTCTCCTCCACGCGCAGCCACTTCTCGTAAGCAACGCGAAACGCCTCAGAGACCGTCTTGGTGATGGTGTCACACTGCTTGTAGCTGCTGCATTCGAAGACATGGCACAGGAAGCGGTTACCACGACCGCGGGCTACCATTGAGAAAATGGAAGGGTAGCGCGGATCAGCGGCCACGAAGTGGACCTGGTTGATTGGGATGTGCTGGACGTCTCGGGTCTCTGGAGGAAAGAAAACACAATCACATAAACATGAGACAATGACCTTTGACACAATATGACCTTTGACACAAATGACCTTTGACACAATGCTCAACAGGAATGTCCTGAGCAGTTTAAAGCAACCAATCAACGCAGTGGAAAATAGGTTAATACGTCTTTATTGCAATCCAGTCAGTGAGCAGTTTGCAGCATGTCTAATTATTTTTTCACGTAATCTTAATAATAATTGGTTTTAAACGCGAGTGTGCGCCGAGTGAATATTTTGCCTAAACTCGGCGAGGTGAATTTCGATAGTTCTTCAAACTTACGGGTTTCTAATAGGGCTACGCTCTTAGCGTTGATGTGCACGGTATAAAGCGGAATGGCAACGCCTCTTTCCCTGTACACCCTGGCACGAGTACGGATCTCCTCAACCAGCGCGTTAAGCTCCAAGATACTCGGTTCAGAGGTCTTGACTCGGGTGGCGCCCAGAAAGACTATCCTGAAGAAGGTCTTGGAGAAATTCTCTGGGTTGGCACTTCTGGTGTTGGCCATTTCGTTTTCATCTGATGTGGTGGTGGTGGGCCGGGCGGTGGGCCGGGCGGCTGGCCGTCTGCTTTGACGTGCTGGTCGGCCGTTAGCGGGCTCGCGGACTTGAAGCTTCAAGCGGGCTGGCATGGCGCGTCCCAAGCCGCTGTCGTCCCGCGTCTGAGAGCGATTTGCCGGGGTGAGGATCAAGCGGGTCGGGGAGCGCGACATGGACCGTGCCCGGCCCCGCCGGCTTCCCCCAGGCCTCACGCTCGGTCGGTTCCGGCTCTGCCGCACGTACATCGTGTTACTCATTACTGACAGCGAATTGCGCAAAGCCCACTCCAAAAAAGTCCTTGAAAATGACGCAGAAAGTTTCTTCGTCAATTCTTCGGTAAGTTCTGGTCCTCTTGGAAGATGGAAAGTAGCTTAGTGTCTGAAATCCGCAGTGATTTTGTCAAAATCAACACTCCTATACTACAAGAAGTTCCAGGCTTGCACAAAAGAACACGGTTTGTATACAGGTGTGTGACGGGGTTCAAAATGGCTTCCCTAAAAACCCAGAAGTTGCAGACTGCAGGCAAGTTCTAGTGCGACAGGTAGGACGTCGATTGTGTTGCCGAGGTGAACCGTGACATCCTCAATCGCACAGGGATTATTGGTAAATTTCGTATGCAGTGCGGAACAATGGAGTTTTTTTTATAGCAAAATTCCGTCTCACTGGCTAAGAAAAAAAGGCATTTTGGGACATAGCCTGGTATCATCCAAGTTCTACCGTTTGGATCGTGGGCGTCGGGGGAGTACCTTTGGGCGTCAGTCGCATCCATCTCAATGTGATGATGATTAATATCAACAAATTTAACGAGATTCAGAACATGGCATCACTTGTCGATTGTTCGGTGGTTTTTTTCCTAATGACGATCGGAGCACATGGCCGAAACGTCGACTTAAAAACACCTATGGTTCTTCTCAAAATCACTTCTTTCTTAAATAGTTAATCTCTATACATGCATCTATCGACAAACGTATGCAGGTAGCAGGCGCGGTTCTACGGGGGGCTAAGGGGGGCTTTAGCCCCCCCCCCCCCCCCCCCCCAATTTTGTCTAGCCCCCCCAAAATAAATTCCGTAAAAAAAAATTGCATTAGCAAAAAGCCGATTGTGATGTACATGCGAACGGTTTCCCCCTAAAGAAATAGTCGTGACAAGGGTGCATTAGTTAATACAGTGTGAATGATTTTATGATTTTATTGGCGTTCCGCATTGAAAATATGGCATGAGCCATGATTTTGGGACCTATAGCAATTTGGTTGGGGAAAATGGAGCTTGTTGACAGTCTTTTTGCAAGGACGCAAAACAGCGGATCCGTCACGCCAGCGCAGAAGCGATCCAACTGTGAATTGTTCTAGAAGGTAATTCCCTGGCATGCGATGTCGATTTCAAAATTGTTGTTCTACGCTTTGCATTCTAAGGGTGACGTCATAATGCTGATGGTTTCCGACTAAAGCCATGCATGAAGTGAATTACCACATATGGTGCGTGGACTGATAACTTGCCTTACAGATTTGGTTGGTTCCTTTTAAATAAATTGAATAAAACCCAAAGAATGTTCAAGTTTTGGGTGAAAGCTTTGGTGAGTACGAAACAGGTAATTGTCGACGCCAAGTGCAATCGGCATTTTTTGGTGTAATCATGCAGGATATTTTATGACAAAAAACACCCAGTGATTTCACGTGTAACGGGATACCAAATTTGGTGTCCCAGAGAGGCAAGATTAAAAACTATGTGCAGTATTGTTATAGTCACGTGGTATTTTCTGTAGTGGTTTGACGGTATCCAGAGGGAGGAAATGCAAATTGACAAGTATGGTGTTCCATATGTGCCATCGGCGTCGCATTTTTCGCCAGAGCTTATTGCGCACTCGCACTTTTTTCTCCAAATTGTCATTGGTTGTGTAATAAAATAGAGAAATTTTACTTATTAAACAATGCGTAAAGAATTATTTATTATTATATTTGCAAATGTTTTTTGTCAGAGGTGGAATCAGAAACTTACAACTTAGGAACCGTACACATCTGGGGCAATGTTATTCACCTTATAAAAGTATAAACTGCGCCTATTTTTATTTGGTCAGCCATAATTATAAAGGCCCATACCCGTACCCGGATGTCGATGGCGGGGAAAACGGCGATAAAAGCAAGGCCTTCATCCGTTCCCGAGAACACCGGGCCATCTTTTCAGGAAACATTTTTGTGGTTTCTATTCCCAACAATACGCTGCCAACTTCGATTGGGATTTTCGCGCTTGAATTGCATTCTTTGCTTTGTTTGGACGAGGTTCATATACAAAAATGGCCTCACGCATCAATAAATATGTTTCTCGTACCATTTCAGAAGTTGCATCCAAGGGCGGATCCAGAACACAATTTTTGGGGGGCAAAAAAAAATGTTGGTCCCCCCAAAAAAGTGGGTCAAAAAAATTACGGCGTGGGGTTCGGGGCCCGCTTAAGGGCCCCGAAAAAATTTTGGATTCCAGATGCTCTGTGGTGCGATCTGAGGCAATTTCTGACCACTTTAACCAATTTTTTTTTGAGGAAAAGATGGTGGTGTACTCATTGCCTGCCTTTATTGCGATGTCACATAAAAAAAAAAAAATTGGTTTCGTTTTGCAAATGAGGAATAGTCTGGTGCCTGTATGTACGTTACACTAGCGTTTGGTTTTGTATTCGATGTCTGGGCTACAAACACAATCAATTCGTCGCGCATATTATCACCCTCATAATGTATAAAGAGGATGTTTATTCAATCTTGGGTATAGCTTTTGTTGGTCATTTTGTATTTCCAACAATCAAATGATAATGATTGAAAACATTTTTCACTATTCTTTCATTTTTGCAACGTTGAACTTCCTTAGTTTGCCAACCGTGGTTGGCAAAACGTGCCAACAATAGAAAGGTCTATCGGCCATTTCGATCCGTTTTAAAATACCCAAAACACATAATAACCCTGTTACTTGATGCTACTGTTACAGTTATGCTACGAAGTCACTAAACAGTTTATGTAGTGACCAACTGCAAACCCGTGCAGAAATTGAAAACTTCTTCGTGACACACTTGACTCGGAGACACACAACCTTTGCTGATCACACAGAAACACTTAATACAGCTAAATAAGTTAACAAACGAAAACCCCATCATGCAGACATACTCTCTAACGACATTATAGTTTTATTTACACAAGTAAAAGATATGGCTAGCCCTAAGTATTATTTTCTGTGAAATATATAGCTCCATCTTTAAAATGCATACTCTTGTGAATTGCGACATTGTACTCGACATTGCACTCGTAGGTCTAAAAGAAAGGACCTTGAAACTTGTGACATTTCAATTCGGCAGAACATACACAGCGTGGGAATTATTATTAATATCGAAACCACGAGGAATTCATGCGTTTGGAATGCGCAAAACACAGCCTGAAAATGTTTGAATACGTTAGGGTCAATGATTGTCTTCTCGACAAACTTTTTATTTTCAAAAATGCACACAGGGTAATTTTCTTCCAGATGTAACTGTCACCAACACGAGTACAACTTCCTGTCATCACTTTTATTATATGAAAGTGCTGACCTTGTGCGAATGATGTCACCAGTCATGTAGAGAGATGCACAATATGACTTCACTGGGGTCAAATTTCGCATAAATGTTTACTGTGGGAAATTGCATACCCTCTATATTGTGTGAAAACTTTCAAATTCCGGTTTTCGAAGTTCTTTGAACTCACTGGTTTTGATAGTGGAATTGAAGGCAGTTATCCGATTTGAAGTTTAAATTTCTGCATTTGCTTAGCAGTCGGTGAAGAATGAATCTGACAACACTGCGGGGTGGCGGATAGTGTGACTATAGAGGGCGTTTTTCCAAGATGTACATATATTACATAATGTGCGATTTCTGTGAAAAGGGCGGTGCACAAGCAAAACCTTTGAACTTTGAAGTCAAAATCTGTTAACTCAAAAACCCTTCTAACTCAAAGCAAAAACTTAGTCCCGTCAATAGTTGTTAAATAGAATTATTGAAAATCCATTGGATAACTCAAAACTCTGCTTTACTCAAAATTTGAGCCCATTGCCCTGAGGTTTGACTTATTGAGATTCCACTGTACAACACCATTTTGGAACAAAAATACTGTGCAGCTTTTGGGTAGCCTAATTATTGGGGGGGGGGGACGCCATTGATGTCCCCAGCCCTATTAATTTGGGTGCAAAAGTTGTTTGTGATCTACAGTTCGATAATGACCAACATATTAAGGGTATCAATAGACTACCTCAACAGCGATAATCAATTTATGTTTAGTTTACATGTAGTGATGTACTTCCACTTTGGTTACAAAATGGCGGACATCTTACAAAATGGCGGACACAGTAGTATTCAACTTTAGTAAAGGTTGTTTGAAACAAAAAACAAATGACCTTTTCATGTTGTTAACATGTTTTTATTTCATTGTACTTAATGTTGGTTCACTTTTTATTTAATCTATCGAGCCTCACTCTACTTTCCACCAGCTTTCAAAATGTTGTAAGAGGAAATATATAGACCTTTCAAATTCAAGTGGCTGTAACCATTTATTCTGGGGCTTTTTACCACTTGTATAGGTAACCCTTTTTTTAATTCTATCATTCTAAAAAGTACTACGAAGAAAGATTTTACTTTAAATTAGTGACCTACTCATAGAACTCGTTCACACGCATTTCTTTCAGAGATAAAAAATACATGTACATATCTCAAAAACTATTTGTGCCATTCCGGTATACAATTTTTGACATTGAGAGGTTTACCGCTTTGTCAAAGTAACCTTGCCAATATGAAAGTTTAATAATAAGATGTTACCTTGACATGCCTACCATAGAATTGCAGGAAGTGATAGTAAATCAACCTTTCTCAGAACACGCGGTAATGGTACATGTACTGCCTGATTTCAAGACAATAATTCAAGGAATGAAACATGAAGTGTGCATTCATCTGCACCTGTAAAATACTGTGCAAACTCCTTGATATAGGATCAGGAGTTTGCACAGTAAAGTAGGCCTACATTACACAATTATACAAGTTATTTGTCGACTCCTTCACAGTTACTTACATAAGTCTTGAATAAAGTCATGCGTGTGTAACCTGGAAAAATGACACACCTGGGGAACTCGCGAAAACTAATACAACTATGGGGATTCTAACCAAACTAAACTCAGGATCTTTGAAGAGAAAAGGCGCGAGGAGACTGAATTAATAGGGACAAGGGACACAATTCTAGATTTCGAACAAAAAAAGACAAAAGGAATTTATTTACAAGAACTTCAAATCAAAATCAAAACAAAAGATGAAGACCAAAAACTTAAGACTAAAACCAAAGACTCAAACCAACACAGTGTGTATATTAGTAGACCTTAAAGACACTTCTGGCAGAAAATCTGTAAAACAAGATAAGAGAGTAAAGAACATAATAAGAAACAGTAAACAATGCAAACAACTCAAGCTACACTAGGTCTAAAGTAATATAAACAATGCCATGTGGAACTACTATACAGTCTTGCCAAGAACACTAAAATTTCTCGTGAATACCTAATGAGCAAGATAAACAGTGGTCCCTGTCTTCTGAATGCCAGGTGCAGGACTAATCACCAAGGAGGTAATTCAACATTCCTGAATAGTAAACTTGAACAGGTCCAAAGCAGATAAGAATAACTAAATGGAACAGGTGGCTAAATACAAAATAAAGGAAAAGCAAATCTACAGTAAACGAACAGCTTGGACAAGTCTAACTAATGAATAAACATGGCAAACTAATCAGTAAGAAGTCTGTGGGAAAACCACTCCTCTTGGCTTTATACATGTACAATAAAACAATAAAGGTAATGAAGAAAACACCATCCAAAATACTGAAATCAGATGTCAAAAGAAAAAGGCAATGCAATGCATCTATCCAAGTCATTCCTCGGAAATTAAGTCAATGAAATAAATCAAACTTCTGACAACACAGTTTTCCTCGAAAATAACAGAACTCTAACATGTCTAATGATCCTGATCAATCAAAATCAAACAATACAAGCTAACTTTCTTCAAGTAATTTCTAAATAAACCCAATCTCAAAACTTCAAGTGATAATTCCTACAACTTACAAGGCTGTTCAGGAATTCTATAAAACTTGATTGTCAAAACTCTGAACAATACCAAACCAGATCAAAACTTCTAAAAAAACTTAATAATACACTTAATGAGAAAATACAAAAAACATATATCAGAACTCACCAATAACTCGAGCAGATAAACTCTCACACAGGGCAAAGCGCACCCAAGAAAATCAAGGGGGAAAGAGAGGTAATAAAATGCACGGTCCTCTCTCTACTGCCGCTGGTCTGCTACTGATCATGAGGGGTCTGTGGTCTTACAGGGTGGGCAGGGCACATGGTCTTGAGACAGGGGGAACCAATGGCATGGGAACAATTTACATACAATGTGAACTGTTACTGGGGAAAGCTAATCAGGGGTACACACTTCTACGAAAGGGTAGGGGACATCTAATAAAAGGGGTGATTTATTCAGGGGACCTACTCCTATCCTAAAACACTACAAAAAATACAGTAAAAACTACAAGTAAAACTTGGCCCTGCCACACTCACGCCATCTTTAAAATATTGCTGTCCCCAGCAATGGCAATAAAAATCAACTTAATTCAATTAAACATGATTAAAACAAACAAACAAAATGCTAAAATACACAATACACTTCAATATATTATTGAGGACATTTAAGTCAACCACAAATTTAAACTAGACAAAAATACAGTGATCAGGGTCCTCTGTCATCCCGGAACTCTGGAGGCGGTGAGATCTCACCGGACGCTTCCCTCCCATTTCGCTGTACGCCCCTGCGATGACACCTCATGTATGCCATTGCTTCATTATGAAGACTAGGCCAATAATACCTGTCCTTGACAAGCTTCAGGATTCTTCCATAGCCGAACTTGTCCATGCTTCCGTGGAGACTATGAAACACTTCCTCTCTCTGCTGTCGGGGAAGCACTGCCAGGTATCTACATGTAGCCTTCCCGCCGCCCTTCTTGTACATCAGAAGTCCTCCCTTCACCTCTAGTCGACGCCATACTCCTAGCAACTTCTGCACCACTCTGGTTTCTTGGGACATTTGCCTCCTTGTCATCAGGGGGCTTGCCGTCTTGAGCTCAACAACCCGCCTGATTGCGGGATCTTTCAGCTGAGCTTCCCTGAGGCTTATCCTTTCGGAACTCATACCTCCCTGAGAGCTGGCCTGTGTCGCCTCATCAGGGGTGCTTGCGTGTGTTTCTGGCGCTGGCTGGGGGATGGGCTTAGGGACTTCGTGCACTGGCTGCGGGTTGGGGGTTTTCGGTACTGGCCGATGTGGGATGGGGACTTCTGGAACTGGCTGATTTGGGGGACGCTGATTCACCTTAACATCTGACAGGGCGCACTCCAGACTATGTATGTAGCATCTCTGCCTCATCTGTTCGCCCATCACCTGCCGCATCATCTCCTTGAGTGCGTTTATCTGCCGAAATTGCTGCAGAATAACCTCTTGCATACTGGACTGGTGCTGCAGGAGTCTCAGCATCTCAGACTGTGGCTGCACATCAGGGACTTCAAGGTTGCAGGTTTCAGCAGGTACTGGGTCGAAACCACAGAGCTGGAGTGGAGTCCTGACATCCACCATCATGTACTTGTCCGATCCACCAATATAACAACACTGTGTTGGTTTATAGACTCTATTACTTGACTTATCTAAAGTGACCACCAAAGACAGAAAAAAAACTTTGAAAAAATGCCTGTCGTCCCTATCAAAACAATTCCTGGCTAAATTTTACTAAAAAAAAATATATTCCCTACCCGGATCTTCCACCAAAAATAGTAAAAAAATGTAACCTGGAAAAATGACACACCTGGGGAACTCGCGAAAACTAATACAACTATGGGGATTCTAACCAAACTAAACTCAGGATCTTTGAAGAGAAAAGGCGCGAGGAGACTGAATTAATAGGGACAAGGGACACAATTCTAGATTTCGAACAAAAAAAGACAAAAGGAATTTATTTACAAGAACTTCAAATCAAAATCAAAACAAAAGATGAAGACCAAAAACTTAAGACTAAAACCAAAGACTCAAACCAACACAGTGTGTATATTAGTAGACCTTAAAGACACTTCTGGCAGAAAATCTGTAAAACAAGATAAGAGAGTAAAGAACATAATAAGAAACAGTAAACAATGCAAACAACTCAAGCTACACTAGGTCTAAAGTAATATAAACAATGCCATGTGGAACTACTATACAGTCTTGCCAAGAACACTAAAATTTCTCGTGAATACCTAATGAGCAAGATAAACAGTGGTCCCTGTCTTCTGAATGCCAGGTGCAGGACTAATCACCAAGGGGGTAATTCAACATTCCTGAATAGTAAACTTGAACAGGTCCAAAGCAGATAAGAATAACTAAATGGAACAGGTGGCTAAATACAAAATAAAGGAAAAGCAAATCTACAGTAAACGAACAGCTTGGACAAGTCTAACTAATGAATAAACATGGCAAACTAATCAGTAAGAAGTCTGTGGGAAAACCACTCCTCTTGGCTTTATACATGTACAATAAAACAATAAAGGTAATGAAGAAAACACCATCCAAAATACTGAAATCAGATGTCAAAAGAAAAAGGCAATGCAATGCATCTATCCAAGTCATTCCTCGGAAATTAAGTCAATGAAATAAATCAAACTTCTGACAACACAGTTTTCCTCGAAAATAACAGAACTCTAACATGTCTAATGATCCTGATCAATCAAAATCAAACAATACAAGCTAACTTTCTTCAAGTAATTTCTAAATAAACCCAATCTCAAAACTTCAAGTGATAATTCCTACAACTTACAAGGCTGTTCAGGAATTCTATAAAACTTGATTGTCAAAACTCTGAACAATACCAAACCAGATCAAAACTTCTAAAAAAACTTAATAATACACTTAATGAGAAAATACAAAAAACATATATCAGAACTCACCAATAACTCGAGCAGATAAACTCTCACACAGGGCAAAGCGCACCCAAGAAAATCAAGGGGGAAAGAGAGGTAATAAAATGCACGGTCCTCTCTCTACTGCCGCTGGTCTGCTACTGATCATGAGGGGTCTGTGGTCTTACAGGGTGGGCAGGGCACATGGTCTTGAGACAGGGGGAACCAATGGCATGGGAACAATTTACATACAATGTGAACTGTTACTGGGGAAAGCTAATCAGGGGTACACACTTCTATGAAAGGGTAGGGGACATCTAATAAAAGGGGTGATTTATTCAGGGGACCTACTCCTATCCTAAAACACTACAAAAAATACAGTAAAAACTACAAGTAAAACTTGGCCCTGCCACACGTGCTCTATGATTTTTTTAAGATGAGATAGTGATGATCAATTAAAGGGAATATACATCATTTGCTTTTGCTGTAATTTTCAGAAATGGATGGAATTGGGGGGTTGGAAATATAAAGCAAATATAGTTACACTGACTTTTTGGAGGTTTTGGGTTCGAAAATGCTATAAAAACCAAGAAAAACGATCATTTTCCTGTAGTCTGGTTCCCTGACTCCATATAAGAAGAAACAGAGCAGTTTACATATATTGGGGAATTGTAAGGTCAGGGAACCAGTCTAGCTGGCTCGTACCCGTTCATAGGTTTGTAATCGATTGCAAACAAGTGCAATGGTCAATTGGGGCCAGTATTTGAAAAAAGCCAGTTGTTTCCAACGCTGATCGGCCGATCAGCGTTGGAAATTGATACAAAAATACCACTTTTCTTGAAAATGACAGTATACCAGGTGCCATAATTTTACAGGATGCTTTAGACTGTCATTTACCAACATCCTATTAAGGTATTTCGCAAAAACTTGGTAGTTTTATTTTTCGATGTTTGCAAATGTTGTATATTCCCTTTAAGTGGACATTATTGGTTTATATTTTTCAGAATTTAAAATGTTTCTGTTTCTGACTATCAATGGTGGGGGTATTCAAATAAATATTTCCCTGGTATGTTCAAGTTTATGTTACTTACCGGCCATTTTGAAGGAAACCTTGTCCAGCCCAATCTGGAGAATGTATTGCTTCAGGCGAGTCCCTTCCCGACGGTAGGCGTCCGTACGATTCAGCACGTACAACACCACACGGGCCACATCCTCCATACTGGGCTCCGAGCCCTGCTGGACCTGCTGCCCCATCGGTACGGAGCCCATGTAGACCACGGGAAACTCCGGGAAACCACGGGGTTGGGGCCGGAGCTCGGGCCGGAACTCGGGCCGTGCTCCGTACCGCATGACCCGACCGTACATCGGATCGGGAGGCGGTGCCGGACGGGTGCCGTACAGTGGGGCCGGCGGGCCGATCATCCGCGACGCTGGCATCATACGCGGGTCTCTCCCCCCATAATTACGACCAACTCCGTATTCCGGTTCGTACAGCATTTTCTTCCCGTCTTCTGCTTTCAAACTGTCTTTCTTTACCCACAAATTCTACAAGCACAAAAACAAAATAGGATTTTCCTGAGATTCTTCCCAGCAGTTCTCTGCCACGAAGAACAACGGGTGTGACTCAAACTGTGAGAGAAAAAAACCCAGAAAGGTACAATTGTTCACGCGGTCAGGTCATAAACAAGGCCGAACTTTATGAGGTTTTCATCCACCGCCTGCGATTTTCTTTCCAACATGGAGGCAGCAGGGTCGCTTTTTTGTTCTTCACGCTTGAGCGATCACATGGAGGATGTAAAGTCCCACAGTGCAGTACTAACGCCCTTTCACGTACGGGTCCATAGCAATTTGCATGCTCGGGTCATGAATTGTACCCGAAAATCCTTGCACAAACAAGCCTATTGTTGGAAAGCGGGCTGAATTCTATTGTGTCTCCCACAAAACAGTTTTAGTCAAACCACTGGTTGACTGCTCATAGCCAAAATTCAAGGGCTCGCTTCCAACCTAACTCCCATAACATTACAGAGGATTATTTGCCGACTATTCATGCGGAAAAAGGGTGTAGGGAAGTATTAGTCATGATCTTGTTATGAAAGTAAAAACGCCTTGTTTGATGCTAAATAATGAAAATATGTGTTTTGAACCACTCCAAGTTCACATTTTTAACTCCAAGTTCAAGTCCAAGTTACATGATTGCTTTACTTATTTCAATAACGACTTTTAGTTGTCGAATTTCCAGTGATTATTTCTTTAATAATCAGACAGAACACAGGACTTGCTGATATTTTCAGCTGCTGATATTTTCAGCAACATGCTGTAGCAACAAAGTTCATATATATTAAATGTTACATGTACTAACAAAGACGATAACGCTGCAGCATTATACTGATGTTTAGGGTTTTTCTTCATTGTGTTTTTTTAAAAAGCTTATAAACAAAAAGATAACATCTGGCTTTTCAGTTTGGCGAACAACTCTTATCTACAGACAGAAAAATAGTGTTTTGGCGGTGCACCAGATTCAAATTGGTTCCCAATGTACAGGGTGTGTCAAAAAGAAAGTGGACTGAATGAAAGATTTTTTTGAAGCAAATTTGATACACCAATGAAGTTTGTTTTAAAAAGTGCATGTTCTTCCACTCATCTGAAAAACAAAAATACTGAAATTGATCCATGTATGCTATCAAGTTTCTTTTTAACTAAAAGAACCCATTTTTAAAGCTATCCATGGAATGGCACTGGAAGCCATTGAGCTTAGTGATAATTACAGATTACACACAAGCATTCAAATACAAATGAGATTTTAATAATAGAAATCAAGACTGAAACATTATGTTTACTGTCAGATTTTATGTTCTGAATATAAGGAACAAGTCAACTCTTTTTTCCTGATATACTGACGGCGATTTTCGTCAGTTTTCCTTTGCAACTTCTCGTTCATTCATGGAGGTGGGAAAACGTCCATGTTTCATTGTACTCAGTGGGTATTGATCAGTTCGTATAATGATCGGTGGCTGACCGCCGAGTTTTGTGATCTTTTTATTGAAATAGACATCACTTGGGAATATAGAGTATGCAAGTTACGTGAAATTTTCAGTTAAAAGTCAACAAGATATACTTTATCCCTATTTTTTATGAAATGGAGAAAGCCAAATATTTAAAAAATATTTTTCAAATTCGGTCACTTTCGTTTGACTCACCCTGCACAGTCTGTTCAAAATAGCTGTGTATAGTACCTTACAGCTTAATTAGTCTTTTAGATAATTATAGTAAAGACAACCACAACATGTAATAACACTCACAAAGACAAGACATCTTTGCTTTTGCAACTACTTCACTTTTTATTCAGTACAAATATCGGTGAAGATACATCGTTAACAATGTGAACATGCCCTCATTATTTCAATGAATTCCTCTGTATTATCCATCAGTTATTTCACTTTTTTCTTTAGTTGTAAGAGGGGAAACACATTTTTCACTTTGTTTTCCCTCAATTCTAAGGTGTGGAAAATGCCATCCATGTTTGTTTTTTTTCAGCAATCTTTTTTTTTTTTACACACGAGTCTAAAAAAATAATTTAGGCTCGTACCTAAAAACAGACTGGTGCCCATGACGAAGATGTCCAGTTCACAGTACTAACTCGTTCAGGAAACTAGACCAAGATGGCGGTGCACGGAGGACACAATGGATGGCATTTTCTTTACATTGTCTTCGCATAAATACGATGCAAAATGTGAAATTTTCATCAGTCTATTTCTAATTTATTTCGCAAGAAATTCAAGGCAAAGTTATACTTTCCTAGAAATACGACTCTTTTTTTTGTTTACAAGGCGAAACTTATGGTCTTAAAATGCATGAAAGAACATTCGGGCTTTTAACTTTTGCACTTCGGATGTTACTTATGTTTCAACATGAACAATAATCTTGTAAAGTTTCGACGTATGGAAGTAAGAAAAATACCATCTTATTTTCATGTTGGCTGAATAACTTCACCTTGCACTTCACATACTCGTACTTGCACATCTTAACTTTTCATTAGTTTCCCAAACACATTTTCATAATGCAATACATTTTCTCAGTAAGTCTCCCCAAATATTGAACAATGCAAGACCAAATAACAGCAAAAGCACACTATATGAAAATGCTCATTACTTTTTTTTCTTAAATTCTCAATAATAACAATAGGTATAATAGTAGTAATACTACACAACTCTGTTGTCCCATGTCGCCTGAACACAAAAATTAAATTAAAACCAAAAAATAGCATGGTTACTCTCCCTCGGGCACTTGTGCTGAGTATATTAGAAAAGACTTCCGTCATATAAGATACATATACAAAGTCTAGTTTCCAACCTCTCTCTCTCCCAAATCTTTGGCTAAGTAGAAGACACAGGAATAATAATACTCATTTTACAGTTGTATATGTTCTCTCTCGTTTATGAATAACATTTTGTATACAGCTATCCCTGTCAACAACTGGATGTTAAAATTTAGAAAAAAAAATATGTTATTTTCAATCACACTTGGAATTCCTACACTCGTAAGTTTTGGTTTTGTTCACGCACACACTTGCCCCGCACTCGAAAGGACAATATTTTTGTACACAGATTTCTGTCTTATTTTTTTTTTTACAGATTTTTGGATAAATTAAAAAGGAATACCTCACAGCATTTTTTCCAATAAATAATCAGCGATTTACGTTTAACAAGTTTACAATGCTTATTTTTCTCTTCCAAAAAAAAACAAAAACAAAAAAAATACAAGTGATTGATGTTGAAATTTACTTATATTCATTGCAACGGTACAATATGAACGATTCAACATCAAATATCTTCTTTATGAATAGAAAAAGTACAGTACATATTGTTCAACTTTTATCATCCTCAAAAAAATGAAAAAAAATGAAGGAAACCTCAGCTAAACTTTGAATACCTGCAACATACTCAATCAAACCACTCAAATTTCACACACATAACACTTTGGACATATTTTACGAGCATTGCATGGATGTATCTATACTCATTGGAGCACTTGTTTTTCTTCAGAAAAAATAAGAAGAAAAAAGGATAAAAAAGAAGCGTTAAAATATGTCACACACTCAACCTTAACCTAAAAATTCCAGTCGTATGGCACACATATAGATATTTTGAATTGTAAAGCGCCTTTTGTATCACTGGTTGAAGTTTCTTAGTTGTGTGCACAACTAAGTTAAAGTTACTATTACAAATAGTTTGGTCCGTAAGAAACACTACCGCAAGAAATATCTTCAACAGTTTCCACATGCGGGATAAAGTATAAAAAGTGCTGGCTCATGATAAAATGTTAAATGTTTTTATTCAAAGCCAAATTGTGCAGTTATCAAAAGATTAGTCATCCTTTGAATGTACATTAAAAAATATCCAGGAACACAATTCTGGGAGTTGTACGAGTACAATTTTCCTTACTGCTCTGAAACTTGTTTGAATTTCATATTTTAAGTATGAAATCGCTGGCTTCTACACAATTGGTCCAAAAATTCATTAAAAATAAATGGTATCTATGTACATGTTTCAATGGCGTATGCAGTGTCGAATTTACACAACATTGTGTAATATATACACTCCTTAGCATTACTGTACACTACTTAGTGTAAAGTAAACACTTGTGCGTGTAAGATTTACACTAAATGTCCAAAGTGTTGATTGTACCCCATGTTCTGTAAATTGCACACAAAGAACGTTCAATTTACTCTGAGCATTCAATTCACACTGAATTGTCCAACTTTTAAACTACACTAGCCTTGTTCAATTTGAACTTGAGCAGTGATACACCTGAGAAATTGTACAATCTTTGAACTTGGTGATTTGTCTCATAAAAAAAAATGAGGTATAAATCTACAGTTTCTTAGTTAGTAAAAATTTTAAAACCTGCAAAATTGTACAGTACTTTAATGGGCAAGATTAAGGTAGAAACTGGAGCGACCATCTTAAAATAAGAATGTACGATTGTTTGTTCGAAAGGCACCGTAACGTTCCAAAACTTAACTTCTTGGCTGTAAAGGAAAAAAAAAACAATTGTCAGTTACCAAACCCAACCTTAACAATATTCCCCTACTTACAAGCCAAAATCTGAAGGAAAAAACCCTCCACTATTTACTGAAGCCAAAAATCCGATCTTGTTTCACAAGCCCTATAACTGATATTTTCTAAGAACTAGAAACTGTATACATGTACATGTACAAAGACTTTGTACACAAAATGCTTCAACTATCGAAGGCGATCTATCCATTTTTTCAAAGGTAAACAATTGCTTGAAAAAAAATGCTTTAATACTACTGAGCGCCTGTCCTACGGTTTCTAATTAGACAGATAGCACCTTTTTTTGCGGAAAATTTCAGGAAAAAACAAATCAAACACCATGTTTTTATGGTGATGGAAATGGCACTGGAAGCACATGGAGAACAACTTTGTGTTCTGTGCATCAAGGTCGCTGTTGACATGGGTGGAATCACACTGTGAATGCCCCGGTTGATCGGCCAATGGGCGGAACAGTCACACCTAGAAATTAGTCATGAAAAAGAAAGTCCTGTGACGAACTGCACCCGACCGGTTTAAAGAAATAACTAAAAAACATCAAAATAATAAAAAATATAGAGATATTAAGCCAGCTGGCACGCAATGTGCGTTCCGAACAAAAGAGCTGCAGTCAAATATTCTTACTTATTTTACTCATTTTACTCAGTGATAAACTTTGAAACCAGAATCTAATCAAGCAGGCACCTTCTAAGCATGTTAAATTAGATGTCATAGCAAAATTGTCATCGCAAAAAAAACACCGCCATATGGCCTTTGGTAAAAGATGGCTTCTTTGCCCTTTCCAGTGCCCTAGGATAAATTTACGGGGTGGGTGCGAACAAATCAGAATAAAAACAAATCCAAAAAGTTGAAGATTAAAAAAAGCACAAAAATTACAGTTTCTTAAGCTTACGTTGTTAGTTAGCACACGAGCTCATCTTTAAACCCATTATTAATACTGCACTGCTTATAAGGCTTTTATGTTTTTTCGGGCACAGGAAGCACTATACCCACTTAAAGAAAATGGTTGTTTTGTGCAATACTGACATTATTTGTACAAAGTATATACATGTACGTACTGGAACTGCGGACTTCTAACAAAAATGTTCGAAGGTAAGAAAGAAAAAATAGCTTATTTGGAAATCTGTTGTTTTTTTTCCTCGGAAATTGAACAGCTAAAAACTGTTTGTTCCTAAGACTGCAGTGCATGCATGGTATAGGGACATGTCAACTCTTTTTAGAAGGGAATTCCTATTTTGTAATATTGCAACAAGCTTTCTAAAAAACAAAACAAAAAGAAATATTTTTTGTTAAAGAACCAAATTGAGCTGAAGTTTTTCCTGCTGCATCTAGCATAAAATTAAAAAGTTGATATTTTTTTTTTGAAATTGTCTTCGTTTTCTTTATGCTCGAAAGTAATTCAGCCTACCAACAGGGCTCATTTTGAGGCAAAGCGGTAACAAACACCTAAAAAGTTAAACCTGAAAAAAAAAATTACTGCACTTAGGTTTTCCCATGTCCAACACGGGAAAGGAATGTCCCGCAGTAATCACACCAAAAAAAATCTTCACAAAAACATCCCCCACTCTCGAACCAGCACACACATTTTCCTTCACACTCGTCTTTGTGTAAGAGCTTCCTTTCAGACAACAAAACAATTTACATATTGGAAAAACACAAAACTTGTATAAATATTAGATACATATATCACAGATGCTATAAAAAATCTGGCTCATGGAAAAAAGTCGATTTTTTTTTATCAAAAGGTCTACAGAATGCTGTGAGGTGTTTCGCTTTTATACAAATACTTAAATAATTTTCTTTTTAACAGGCGTATAAAAAGGAAGAAAATGTCTCTGACAATTTCAATGAGTAAAAAATTGTCTTGTGTTCAAAAATTATTTTTTAAATGGACAAAAAAAAAGTAAAGTTGCGGTAAAACTCTTCAAAATTCTCCTGTCCGTTCATTATAAAAAGTCAGTTCAGCACTATAATTCAAACATATCGAATCCTGGTACTGGTAGTTAATTAAACAGCCGTCACATAAGAGATGTTCGATTCCAGCGAACTATTTTTTTTCTAAATTATTTACAAACACCATGTCCCAATTTTTATGGTAACTTACAATTTGCCAGAGACATTAAAAAAATTCCTCTTATTACGCGTTATGAACATTGTTTTCCACATACAGTGTGTGGAGAGAAGTGGATTTTCTCCTATTCCCAAATTTTTATAATCCCTGATAAACGCCCCCTCCATAAAAACAACCTTGGCAGGAATGAAAATATAAAAAAAGAGCAAAACTAGTGTAAAGTACTCTAAATGATTCAGAATTTTTGAAAGGATTCAACTTCAATACATTCATTTGTATAGAGTGCGAGGTCAAATAATATTGCAAACTTTTTTATACCCCAGGCAGTGGGGGAAAAAAATATTAAAAAAATCTTTGGCGTTCCTGCCTGCTTCCTTTTTTCAAAGGCTGCTTTTTTTGGAAAAAAAATCAAAAGGGGACAAATGCTTTACAATGGGGTAAAAACATGTACATGCAATAAATAAGCATTGCCACAATGAAGTATAGAAAATCGGCAACCACTATAAAGGCAAACAGGTTCTTGAAAAAACGTAGCCATTGTGATTAAACAAAAAAGCTAAATTTTTTCGTAACACTTTTTGTTTGTAAAACCGGCGGACGAGTCCTGAGTTTGTGCGTGCGGGGCCAAGTGTTTCAATCTAATAACATTGTACATCTTTTCCTTTTCTATCTGTGATTGATTATTATATGTACAACAAAAAAATATCTTATTACAGTTAATCTAGTCGAATTGTTATACGATCTCTCATCCTTTCTTCCAAATGCATCTTAGCACTTTGTTATATGTGTCATTTCTTTATAATATTGCATCAGGGAACAGTGACGATGTGCCACAGTGTTGATTTTTTTGGTAGAAAGATAAAAACAAAAACTTTGTTCCCATTTTATGTGATTTCCCTCACTTTTTTAACCAAGCTATCAAAGATTTCTTTTTTCAAAGGCACAGGGAAATGAGCTTATAAAAAATATGCTTTTTCTCTCTCTTTTTTGTTTCTTCTGAAACTGTGTCAAATATTATTCCTTCCTTTCGCTGTGTAAAAATAGTGGTGTGTGACAGCACACTACACAGCTGATGTAGCCTTGTGCAGCCAAAAAAAAATAGTTTTAGAGTTGTCACGTTTTCTAAAGTCCTCACAAGTCAGTCACAAATCATGTGACAAGTTATGCAAATGATCATCACATCATGTGACAAGTTATGGAAATGATCATCAAATCATGTGACAAGTTATGCAAATGATCATCAAATCATGTGACAAGTTATGGAAATGATCATCAAATCATGTGACAACTTATGCAAATAATCATCAAATCATGCGACAAATTATGCACATGATCTGTGACAAGGACCGTTGTTTATCCTCGTTACTTGTGACCGAACTTATTTGACTTGTGATTGACTAGTGATGGACTTGAATATAACTGCCACTCTGCATCATATACACACAACTAATACTATCAAATTTTGATCCAGAGTTCAGGTTAAAAGCACCAAAAACTCTAATTCTCAATAAGATCTGTTGTCCTTTTTTTTCACATTTGAGAAATACCTGAAGACTTCTTAAAAACAAGTTTATAACTCCTGTCTCAAGATATATAAATACAATTGCCAAAACCCTGTCTGCTAAGTAGTAGTAAGTGTCAAATTCCATTAATATACCATCGTTAACTTAACATCAGAGTACGAAAATTGATCAATTAAATAACTGGAGGTCCATTTACAAAAAAACCTTCTACGTTGAGAGAATACAAAAAAATCCCAGTCTATCTTTGGATGTCTCCAGTGCGAGAAATGAAATTTGACTGATAAATATCTCTCAGAAAACATCTTTGCACTTACAAATGGTTATTTAATACAGTTTTTCTCCCTTTGATTAAAAATGTTTAACAAAAAATGTACACAGACCAAATTTGTGAGGTCGGTCGTACAAATCTTTCTACAAAGTTATGACGTGCCTCGGTTAGTTGCTTCAAAACGGAGGCAGGAAATTCCTACTCAAAAGCCACACTTCTTTTCTTTTGAGACCGGAGGTTAGTCTCTTATTTGGATAAACCGATTATTAAGCAAAGACCCAAATATACTCAGCATTGTGTGGGCCCGATTGGGAGGTCATTAAAGGGCCAGGCCAATCACAAAAATCGGTCGACCGTTGCGTTCGGGACGGAGAGAGTATCCCCGAACATAACGGTCATTGTATGATGTCATGATGATGTCATTCTCATCATTCAAAAAACGGTAAAAAAAAAAGTAACAGAACCATGGAATTACCAAACCTGAGAATGACATCTTACTTTGACTTTGTTTTTCCTGGCTCGAAAATGATGGATTTGGCCCTTTAATTATCAGATCATGCTCTCTATTAAATGCTCTAAGACCAACTTTCTGGACGTCAGCCAACTTGAATAAGCATCTTGAACTTGGAAATCTTTCTTGAGCATTGGCAAAAACCTTTTTCGTTAAACAGCACAATTCTTTTTACTATGTAGTCATGTAAAAATGCCGAATATGCAAATTTGACAATCTGCATTTATAAATAAAAATATACAGGCTGAACAATACTTTCTCATTTTAAATTTGTTTTTCACAACGAAGCGAAAAGATGGAAAACACTTCAGTTTGAAAATGCAACGTCTGTTGCTATTCATTCATGTGGTCGTCCAGTCAAAAACTGGATGTCTTTCTGTCAGAATTTGTTGTAAGTCGAAAGTTTAAGTTTCTCTTGTTGTCCTTGAGATAGTTGACCATTTTTTTTATGTTGTCAACATACAAAACCGAAAGTATGATTTAAAATGTTGGATACCTTTGGTATGTTAAAAAAAATTACAATGATTTTTTGCTCATCTTTGTGGGCGACAGCTCAAAGCACTCATCCAATTTTTTTTTTTTACGAGACGAAAATCGAAAAACGCTTCTTTTTGGTTTCTTATTTCCATCTTTTGGAGAGTTCCTTGAAAAAAAACAACGTATGGAACAACAGAATATGCACCGATTATAAATACAATAAACACCAAATAAAACAACTACGGCCCCTGCAGAACAAAGAAACACAGAAAAAGAAAACAAAAAAGCATGCACGAAAAAATTTGAACAGTTACTGGAGTTGTTCGATACAGGAACACTCCAACTATACTAAAGTTTAGGTCTTACATTTCGATTATAATTACACCACAGGTTCCGAGTGGATCATGGCTGAAATATAGTCCAAATTAGTTTTTAAACAGTTAAATCACCTCAATAATTGTTGGTTTCTGGAATGAATGTCTCATTTTCAAATGTGACAAAAATTAAGTATGTGAATACATTAGTCTGCGGATATTTCACATCTCAGTTATTATTTTTCTCAAAAAAGTCACAGTTTTTTCCCCTCCAATATTGCTTCATTTGAGTAGGCGTTGCCACTTTGTGCGTCCTACTATTTAAATTACTCATTAGTGTCATCGATAAACAACGACTTCAATCAAATGTTACCTTTAATCCACTTCTTCAAGTCAGCTACTTTTTATATCTTAAAACAATAATCAACACTCATGCTGCAGGGGCCATTACTAACACAACTCCTAGAGGAAAAAAAAAACTACGGCAAAAAACATCAACTATGCGTTAAAGTTTAACATCCACTTAATTAATTAATTAATTATTTAATGACAAACAGGTGATTCTTCCTTGCCACCTGTCCTGTCTGGTTCCACTGTCATCGTCTATCTTACATTCAGGGTATCAGTGCCAGGTACCAGTCTTTATGACGTCCGACTGCGTCATACATATTCTTATTACAGTCCTTAACGTCAAATGTTAAGATGTACTTTTGTAAGTGTTTTTTGGGTTTTTTTTGGTTCATCCTGTTTTTCAATTTTTTTGGCGATAAATATAAATTTATCCTCAATCATCATTTACTGAGGTTTTCTCTCTAAAACATTTTCTTGGATCACGTGACATTCCTGAGCTTTCCAAATAAAACTCAGAAATAAAATTGGTCTCCTTTTTTCTTCTTTAATAAACTCACATTTAATCTGGTGATGCCATGATATTTCACGACACACCACAGAAGCGTTTCCCTGGTGAAAAATTTTCACAAATAACCAGATCCCATCAAAACTTTTTGCCAATTTTATATAGTTGTTAAGTCCTATCCAGGACTGACTGGTACTTTTTTTTTTAACATTCATACTTCTTTTTGGAAAGCACTTATCAGCTTGTAAAGATTCTGGTGTGAGTTCACTTTTTTTTTCTCAGGAATGGTCCATCAACCCTGAATGTTTCTTACCGTTTCTGTCTCCGACCGTTGGGGTGTTTAGTTGCCCCACCAGTCCGTGCTACTGCCGCTGTTTGGCTGGGCATAGCTGCCACCGTAGGAGGCCTGGTACTGGGGGAAGGCGGCAAACGGGACCTGGGTGTGTCCGTGGTGCCCGCCCCCGAAAGCAATCCCCTGCTGACCACCGCCACGGGGACGGTTGGCCTGGCGGTAGTCACGAGAGCCGAAGCCGCCACCGCCAAAGTTCCTGAAATTGACAATGACAACAGGGCACATTTATAGCTATACTAGGAAACAAGAGTAGGATTGCCAAGTCGAGCTTGAACGAAAACGTTTCAGTATGGGACATTATTTATATGCAGTCAGTCAGTCTGTCAGTGACTCAGTCGGTCAGTCATTGGTAACAGCCTGGCCCTTTGTGTTCTGCAAAATTCTGCTGCTCGAATTGTGACCCTGACACCCTCTAGAACCCATATCACGCCGATCTTGCAGTCTCTGCATTGGCTCCCTGTTGCTGACCGGATTAAGTACAAACTGTTACTGCTTGTTTTTCATTGCCTGCATGATTCAGCTCCTGACTACAACATAGACCTATTAACTCCATATAATCCATCCAGGCGATTGAGATCTTCTGATGCTTCTTTGCTGGTTGTCCCTCGCACTCACAAATCTTGGGGTGATCGATCATTTTCTCACGCAGGTCCTCATCTTTGGAACAAACTACCCCTCGCCATTTGCAATATCTCATCGCTTTCTGAATTTAAAGTGGCCCTGAAGACCTATTTGTTTCAGATCACTTGAATACTCTTGCTTAGTTAAATTCAATTGTTATTTCTGATTTGATTTAATTTTTGTATTGCGCCATAAGCGTCATTTATGGCGGATACCAGCGCCTTATAAATTGCCGTTACTATTATTATTACAAACAAGCCCCCAAACGATTATTCAGTCATTCATTTAATCAATCCTTGTTGATTATTAAGATACAGTTGTTCAGTTTGATTAATCATGAACCACTTTGTGAAAATTAAGGCTTCACCGTCAGAAGCAACAGCAAAAAAGCAACAAAAAAAATCTGATTCATCATACTCTTTTTCACAAAATTAGTCAAACTGCTCACAGTAACCAAAACTTTCGTTCACCCTTACACGGTAAAGAATTGATAATTGTGTTAATAAACTAAAGCTTCACAATTACACAAGTTCTGCAAATAAATCAGCAATCCTTGGATTTGTTTTTTCAATCATTATATAAATTCTTGTCTCATATTTAGCAGGTGTATTATTCCATGACCCTGCAGTCTAAACGGCGCACTGTACTTTCGTTTCTAGTACAACCTTCAAAAGAATGCAGAAAAAAAACCACCAACAATATTACAGCGACAACTAACAACACGGAGCAGAGGGCAAAAAAATGGCACAATGCATTGCTGCGGCGCTGAAAAATGAAAGGAAAAGAATTCCACTCAGCTGGTAATAAAGAAGCAAAAAAAATTGAATCGGATTGATGGTCGTGCTTGAATGCTTCTGGTGGGTTGCTTTCTTTGGTCGTTGATGAACGCATAACTGGGCAGGGTTGAACCCTCAGGGGTATTTCTTTGGCACTGAACTTTTTGTGGACGTGTTCCTGTAGAGTCAAAGTGCTTTACATGGGATCCGTCTCCTACAATAGACTACCTTGGCCCTCGATCCAAGGTACATAGACAACTGTACGTGTAACTTTTATATCATTTAGGAGTATTCTCCGAATATTTTATAAGAGCCTTGTTGAATCATCCAAAAATTTACCACTGTGTGGGAACCCAATCCCACCCTTTTTTTTTCTCGTACTTTCAACTTTTCAAGGGGCGTTAGACTTCTGCCCTGGTCCATATGTGGATTGAGGTTTCAGTCCCTACCTGATTCCGAGGGTTTCTCCCCGAATATTCTTCTGGGGTTTACCTGCCACCCCTAAAACTGTAATTGTGCTTGCATTGTCTGCTCTCTACAGGTTTTTTTTTCAGACTTGTGAGCTACAGTGCCTAGGGGGCTTTTGAGAGTCCTTGGTTTCATTCAATACCAAAAATAAATAATGACAATAATAACAACAACTTTCTTAAATCTTAATCCTGTGAAATCCTCCAAAATCTCTCTGTGGAGTTAAGGAACAATTGTAACGTGAAGACAAACAAGATGCATAAATGTGGAAAACACATTGATTTCTGCATGCATGAAATATTGAGGAGAGTGTTGAGAAAAACTGTGGATTTTTTTTTTTTGCAAGTTACCCCAAAAAAAGAAGAATAGGGAATCAAAGTATTATAGTCTGATCGACCAGTCATGAAGAAGATGAACTTTAACGCCCAGTTAAAGGCTTGGGGTCACAAAAACGCTGAATGAAAAATCCAACCAAAAGCTTGATGGTTGATTATCCGATCCTGAGTCATTGTCACAGGGGACACCCACACCCACTATGCAATGGGGATGAGTTATGACGAACCCACCGCGCCCCAGTGCTCACCCACAAAGACCCAGCCCAAGTACATGTACACCGTTTCGCTGCACTTGTTTCTCTGCACTCCCACGTTCTACAGCGAGTTTTCATAAACAAAACCCACTAATACTGTGCTGGGTTATTTAGCAATGAGAAAAAAGAGTCGAGTTCTATGTGCGGTCAGGCCTAACCAACCATCTAGTCATATGACCCGAAGGGCGTGTAACATTCACATCAATACAGGCAGCAAAAATTATAAGATTTTTCAGGGTTTTTTTATATAAAAAGAACAGTGTCATGCATGTAGCTTCTTCTAAAAAAAAGAAAATTAACAGAAATTGGATGAGTCAGATTTTATTGGGTGGAGTTTAGACAAACATGTCTATATTTTTGTTGGAGGTTGTTCATATCTGATGAATAACTTTTTCTCTATTTTACTCACGGATCTTATTCAAATCTGTGAGGGCAAGCAGGCTTTAAATTTAAATGTTCATGGATTTTAGTGTTACTATGGTAATGGAAAATAATGAACTTTTGAAGACAATACAAGTGGGGAATTAACATTGAAGGATTAACAGAATATTTGTTGAAGTAAGAAGTACTTTTCAAAGCAAGAAAATGAGAAATGTCACAAAAACAAAGCAGATAACTCTGTCCTATAATTTTGTTAAAAACCTTACTTATTGTAACCCTAACCCCCTAGGCCCTTGTTGCTTACAACCATCCTCAATCCTCCAAAATCCTCCAAAATTTTTCAACTCCGCCTAAATTTTTCAAAATTGTCAGACAGTCCTGCCTCAAAATGCATTCATCCTCAATCCTCCAAAATCCTCCTCATCCCAAAACTTTGCACTCGTGTTTAAATGAAGGATAACCAACGCCAAATCCTTCAAAATCATCAGACAGTCCTGCCTCAAAATGCATTCGTCCTCAATCCCCCAAAATCCTCTTGTGCTTCATTCACCATTCATCCTCAATCCTCCAAAATCCTCATGTGCTTCAATCACCATTCATCCTCAATCCTCCAGAATCCTCATTTGATTCAATCACCATTCATCCTCAATCCTCTAGAATCCTCCAAAACCGCCAGGAGGATTTTGGAGGAGTGAGGTGGGTTAGGGGTAATGTAATATTTCATTTCTAAAAGTTTTTGTAGTTTTTATGAAAGTGTGAATCTCTATCAAATGTTAGGAATATTTTCAGAGATATTGTGAAGTCATGAAAAGTCTGAAAATTGGAAGCAAGGTCTGAAAGATGCATTTCAGATTTGAAGCTTAAGTCCGAAACATATCATGCCTGTTATTTTTGTCAGATGTCTTCAACAATTTCAGCATTTTAACATGCGGCTTTATAATTCTTTTTTTAATAAACAACAATAACTAAGTGAATACATGAAGAAAATGACTAAAACTGCAGCAAACCGCTTGCTGACTGGATTGACCTGAAATGTACAAATCAAACAAACTTAGACAGCCTATGATTGGAATCCTAGCAGAATCTTTGTCAGAAGCAGAGGTTCTGCTACGATAAACCAATTGACGTCGGATGACGTGTATACATATGCAAAGGTTTTGCGGTCATCGGGAAAAGATGAGGGATAATCACGCAACGAGCGAGGCCGGAAATATCTGTCAGTGACCCGTTCGCGGCGAGCGAGGCCAGAAATATCAGGGCGCGCTACCGGCAAATGACGGCCTGAACCCGTCCGGCATCGAAGTTCTTGAAAAACAATCCCATGCCTGGGTTCAAAAATGTCAAAATAATCCCGGCGCGAACTAGTTAACAACCTACGGCTGTCTAATTTTCCTACGTTGTTTTGACAACTTACTTGCGTCCACGTTTACCGGAGAAGTTCTGCTTGGCCTCGAAGACCATGGTCTCCAGCCAGGCAGGAGGGTCCATCTTGGTTTCCACCATCAGCTCAGCCAGGTCACGGGCCAGGTTACGATTCTTGTCGTTGAAGAACGACGTGGCCAAGCCTGCGATTTCAGGCAAGATGGGCAAAAAGGGGAAATGGGAAAAAGTAAGGAAGTGATGAGTATTAGATGAGTATTATTCAAGTCGGTGCTGAAGTTAAGTCCTCTAGGTCTGTTGAGTATACTGATAATGCGGAAAAATGGTCGACTCTATAGATTTGGCGTCCACTTTTTTCCCTGCCCCCAATAATCTGACATGTTTGATTTCATAATTCTGATGCACTTCTTAATGCAGTCGTCCTCCAAGAGTGATTATGCTACCTACCCAACAAATAAACAAATTTTGTTTGAAGTAATTCTTAATGATACTGAAAAAGTACAAAGGTAACAGGAACAGGAAAGAGTCACACTTTAGCCCCCGTGAATTTACAGAAGTGACAATACTTCTCGTCTTTCAGACTTTTGTTATGTTTTGCACCAAACAAAACTATTCCAAACATCTGAATTACAAGTCTATGAAAATGCCGTCGTTTGCAACAGCTGGATCGACTACGTCGAAAGATTAACTGCTGCAATCATTCTGAATTACTGCAGAGTCCAGTAAATGGAAAATTTATACAGAAAGTTCACGGGTCTGAAACCAAAAATCTATTGAGGTTGACCTGAGTACAGGAAGTTCTTCACGTGAGGTTCTGAGGTTCTTACCGAGGTTGCCAACACGACCGGTACGGCCGATACGGTGAACGTACTCTTCGATGTCCCCGGGCAGATCAAAGTTGATGACATGCTTGACGTTGGGAATGTCAAGACCACGAGCTGCCACCTGAATTAAAAAAAATCACACACAAAAATTTGAAACAATAAAAGAATTATACTGGCTGTTTTAACAAATTAAAGTAGTACGCCTCGTCGTGCCAAAAATACACTTGCGGTGTTGTCAAACTTTACATGATGGGTGAAATGCTTGAGGATTGTTGTGCAAAACCATTCATCCATTGTCCTTCTATTTAAAGCTATAGTCCATCATTTGCAGCCATCCGAAAAAGTAACTGGCGTAGTATTGTTGAAAAACATACTTGGTTGAAAGATAGTAAGTGGACTAAACTCCCTGTGAAATTAATCTTTCTGGCAAGCTATCATTTTGAAGTAATCACGCACCGTAGGAAAATTTAAATTAGTAGTTCATTTTGTTATTCGGCGCAGCGCACGCAAGCATTGGCACAACGCACAGGCGCGCGCGGTTGCTATAATTCGTCGGATCAGTGCGCGACATTGCGTATAGCTGCAATTCAAAACAATTCAAAACATGATTCAGCAACTTTTGATTTGAAATTGAGATCCTAGAATGCTGTTTTTCTCGGAATACACAGCTGAAGCTGAGCTGAAACTTCATCAGGTTAGTTGTTCAGTATCCGTCATTAGATTTTGAACACTTTTGTTGCTTCAAACGAACAAAATGCACAAATAACAAATGATGGACCATATCTTTAAACCACAGAAGTTAAGCTGACCGAAACTGAAGACTTACAGCCGTAGCAACCAGGATGGGAGTCTTCCCAGTACGGAAGGTCCTCAACGCCTCCTCGCGTTCACGCTGCGAGCGGTCGCCGTGGATACTGCTCGCCGGATAGCCCTGCATCTGCAGGAAGTCATCCAGGGCGTCGGCGCCGCGCTTGGTCTCCACGAAAACGAGGGTCAGCGATGACGGCCCTGGAAGACAAAAAATAGAAGGATGTCATTCAAGGAAACCCAAACGATGGGGAAGTATTAATATTCAAACAGCGATTTTTTTTTTTTGCAAAATGAGCTGAAAAACTTTTGCATGCAAAGCAATGAATAAAAAAATGTCCCCCCCCCCCCAATTAGGGATTTCATCCACTCCATGCATTACCCCCTGGGGGCGCTGTTAGGAAGGGCTGGAACTTTGGGGCCATTTTCAAAACCTCAGCTTTCTCTACAGCATCGGCTTATCCTAGACTCTAGAATAATTCGTCATGGACACCACGAACTGACACTCGGTGGTCGCTCAGTTTATGAGTTATGCGCGCACCATTATTTACAAGCAATTTTGGTTTTTCACAAACTGACACACAAGTCTAGAGTCGTTATTTTCGTTTCACAAACTGAAACCCGTCTTAGTTATTGAATTTCTAATTAGCTAAGCATCTGTTCAAGTCGAGATTGCATTTCACCAGTTAACAGATTTTTGTTTAAGTTGAATTATTCTATAACCCCACAATTACATGGATGGAGTAAAGTCGTGTCAAACCTTCCAAAGCGTTTTCCCTGAATCGTGTTTCCGCCACAGCACTTGCGTGTCAGTTCGTGAAAACCGATATGATCATACGCGCAAGTTCACGAGGTGCACGCATACAGCGCGCACGTCAGTTTGAAAACCTGTGACGAATTCAGCAGCCTATAAAGGCCGGACTTAAATAAACATACTTTGCCATCATTTTAGGACTTGATGCTCACTGGCAGAAAATGGACCAGATATTGAGCTTGTGTCCCCCATGTCAGGGACCTCAAATCATAACTAGTTGGAGCTTGAAGCCACATCTGAAGAAAAACCGAGATTCAGTAAACCCCGTGTCAACTGGTTTTCAAACCCAAATTCCTTTCAAAACTGATTTAAGCAGTGTGTTGTATCGTGCAAAAATCAGGCGCTGGTTGCGTGTAAAGCCCGCTTAATCCAACCGTATCTAAATGCAGGATAAATTTTTTTGTGCAGAACTTGCTGATTGCAAAATTTGACAGATCTGTTGAATACATTTAGATTCTGTTGGATTCAGACGGGTGAAAGTCAAAGCTTTTTTTAATCATAAAAATGAAATCATAAAAATGGCGATTATGGCTGCGGAAAGAATACATGACATGCAAAGGTTGCAAATGCAACAAATTTTTAAATGAATAAAATCAATTTAGTATGTAAAATTTAAAATAAAAAGATAAAAAAGGTAAGGAAAACTGCCAGATAATGAAAAGAAACAATAAAATTGCATTTTGTCAAAAACTGGGTGCAAAATTTAAAGTTTATGAAGTAAACGTGGGGCTTTCTTTTGAAAGCTGAAGTGCACAGGAGGGTGCGGCGGTACAATAAAAGAAAATAATGTGTTTTTGCCAAATGCATTTTGAGACATTCCAAAAGTTTTTTAATGCTTTGCATTTGTGCATTAGAACTCTCTGCAATTAAAACTAGCTCCGTTGGCATTGCAACATTTTGTTAGAAATGAGATTGCTGGCATTTTGAACATTTTAGCTGCAAAAAGGGCAAAGAATGACTGAAAGGTGGTATGCTTGCTGTTAGCTTGTCTTGTCGAACACCAAACCAATAATGAAGCGAAATGCGTGAATAAACGGAAGAAAATATAATAATGTGCTGGAAAACCAGCCCCGACCTGCAGATCCATTGTCTCATGCAAGCATTTCATAGGCTGCTTTTAACCATAATTCTGTTGACCCTAACCCTCCACAATTCTCCAAAATTCTCCAGGCAGTTTGGTAGGATTTTGGAGGATTGAGGCTGAATGGCAAAATGTGTCGGTTGATTTTAGAGGATGCATTGTGTTGAGTTTGTTAACTGTACCAGGCACTGTTTATGTTCAGCCATGCATAACTGAGCCCTGCCTTATGCTTGATATCATCCACACTGCTTCTGAACGTCATCAGCACTGCCTCAACACATTAACAGTGATTGTTGGAGGATTTTGAAAGATTGAGGCAATGGTCAACCCCTCCACTGAACAAATTCAAGAAATTACAGATGATTTCGGAGGATAGAGGCTGAATCCAATTTTTACATAATGGCAATTGGAGGATTAGGGTAGGGTAACCCATACAAAATCCAACACTGGACGTTGCAGTATTTTGACGGTTTCAAAAAACAGAGAGCTCAGTCACTTTTACTTTTGTTTCGCCATGCAGCAACTGACTATGGACACCTTGCGTGAAAAATAGATGCTCTTTGTGACCTTTTTCAAAAGCTGGGTGGGAGGGGGCACACGCCGTGAGCATACTAGTTGGCGCACCAATGCCACAACTCATTCTATTCTGAATGTGCACAAACGCAAAGCATCTTCGTGTGAGCATTATCGGCAGTGCTTTCAATTGATCTTTAAAGTGTCCCACGCCGATCTCTACAGCTAGCAGGCAGGTGGCATCTTATGATCAGTCCATCAACATGTGAGGCCCCCCAATGAGGAAACGGCAGGCAATGGAGCAAGATGAATAAAACCAACTCTCGTCCATCGCTTCACTTACCTTACAGATCTCCTGTCAAGTAAAGGCTGTGGTTACTGGTGCGTGTCGCATCTTGTTTTTTAAAAGGCCACTGTGTCTTTTAGCAGACTCATTATAGTCTGAGAAAATCACAAGGATGTTTCTAAAAGCCTACAAATTTTTTGTGCAAAAGTTAAAGTCCAAAGATGGATTTTGAAGGAGTATGGACTGGAAAAAAAAATTGGATTTGAAAATATTGACAGGCAGCAAAACTGTATGCCCCTCCATAACAGATCAGGTAAGACATTAGCTGTTGCAGACAGAACTTCGGAACGCCATCTCAAATGTCCTCGTGCAAATAACTCATCTTGAAATGAATAGACATCGTAATGGACTGGTCCGGATTAAGCCATGACTGGCCCACTTTAAGTTTGAGCAAATTTCTGACAGTGTTGTATCCACGTAAGTCCAAGTTACCGTGGTCACCTGATCAAAAATCATGATCTCATTGGTCAATACCAACTGTTTGATTTACAGATGGAAAAAGTGCTTTTCGATGTGCAAATGAAACATCCACAACTATCATATAAACAGAAGGGTTGCCAGACACAGTAGCGTTTTAAAAAAAATTTCCAAAATGCTGGGCGGTGCGGTAGTTTTTGGCTTAAAGCCGAGAGAAAGCGCCTTACCTTGGATGTTTTCTTTTTTACCTGCTGCGTTTAGCAGATCCAGGAGGAAGGAGCGTTTGTCGCCCTCCTCCACCCAGACCACTTTCTGGGTGATGTTGGCGCTGGTGCTGCCCACACGGCCCACCGCCAAGAAGATGTAGTTGTCCAAGAAGTCTCGGGCCAGCATCTGGGTTGGCAGATGAAAGTTGCATTTCATTGGTTGAAAGCAGTCGCATGTTAATTTAACAAAGTGCTGCTGCCAGTGTATTTAACATCTGGCGAGAAAGCTACATAAAACCAAGGGTTATATGGCAAAGTATTCAATTCATTCCATGAGGAGGAAGTAACAACTTTTATCTCTTTGACTCATTAGCCTGACAAAACAAAACACCTGTCTACTGCTGTACACGGCACCCCTGCTTCATCTCCGGTGTCATGCACCCCCCCCCCCAAAAAAAACCCCCAAAACAGCATTTCCCACATTTGAAAAGCCAACAATCAATAACCATTGCCTGATAATAAAGAGAAAGATAGGAGAGACATGGGAATTTTCCTTGGACGCTTTTTGGTTCGGCTGTTTGACATATTGGCAACTGCAGTGAGGTTGGTAAAATGCTCAATGAATACCCAACCATCGAGCCAGTTATTAGTAAATGACTGGGGTGCTGTGGTCCAATGGTTACAGTGTTCGACTCGTGTGCCGTGGTACATGGGTTCTAACCCTGACAGGGAACATGGTGCTTGTGGGCTTAGTCAAGCCTCTCACCACCCAGAAGTGGGTACCTGTGAAGGTAGAGACCATATTGCGCAGATCCCGAGCTGCGGCAGGGTCTCATTCCTGATGAACAGGGATAATAATTGTGATGCGCGTTTGATCATATTCTTATGGAATATGCGCAATACAAATGTCCAAAAAAAAAACTCACCTGGATCTCCTTAGGGAAGGTGGCACTGAACATGAGGGTCTGACGTTCCCCGGTCTTGGGCATGGTGTCTCGTTCCACGATGCGACGGATCTGCGGCTCAAAGCCCATGTCAAGCATGCGATCAGCCTCGTCCAGAACCAGCCACCTGTGTGGATGGCAACATAAAGTAAGACCACATCGCTTTCGCAGGGCATGTGGTAGAGTCTTGCATTACTGAGAGTTTGCGGCTGCACTTTAACTATTACTCTCTGAGGGTAGTTTACTGCATGTCAGTTGGTTATGCCAATGCCCTCCAGCTGCAGTTTATTGGCAGATAGTTTGTCTTAACAGTGAAGGCTCCAATTGGCAGGAGTTGGAGGCCCTGGTGGGTGCCTGATACTGACCAGCTGGGGGCACTCACTTTGTTATCAGAGGACTCTCATTGTTCTCTGTGGCATGTATTGGAGTGCCTGTCCAGTTACCCTTGAAATGACATGGCAGATATTGGAGGGCCATGCAAGAAACATAGGAGATTTTCTTGAGGCACATATTGGCATGCGTTGGAGGGTCTAGTAGGGTAAGGGTTAATTAACCCTAACCCTCCTCAATCCTCCAGCCGGTTTTGGATGATTTTAGAGGATTGAGGATGAATGGCAAAGATGTATCGCTTGTTTTAGGAGGATGCATTACGTCAAGCCAGTAGGCCATATCCTGCATTGGTTATGTTCAACCATGCATAAATCAGCCCTGTGTTTTTCTCGTATTTCATCCGCACTGCTTCTAAACGCCATTCACACTGCCTCAAACCATAGCAGTAATTGGCAGAGGATTTTGGAGGATTGAGGCAGTGGTCACCCTCCACAGACTAAATTCAAGAAAATAACGGATGATTTTGGAGGATTGAGGCTGAATCCTAGCCAGAGGGCTTAGGGGGTTATTCGGAATTGTGGGTAAGACTGTGGCTGTGACTTACTTGATGTTGTCCATTCCGACGCGGCCGCGTTCCATCATATCCACGAGTCGTCCCGGCGTACCCACAAGCATGTGGCAGCCGTTGTCCAAGTCGCGCATCTGGTTGCTGATGTCCGCGCCACCGTAGACCACGCACACACGCACGCGGGAACAGTAGGCAAACTAGTGTCAATCAAACAATACAAAAATTAAAGGAACACATCCGAATAGGTCTTTTCCACTCCTTACAATTCTGACTTCTGGAGTTATGACGTTTTTTGTGAATGACGTTATCATGAATGAACTCACATGTGTAAAAATCCATGTTTAAACTATGATTTAACACTTATTTTCAAAACAATTTGAATAGATGCAAGATTTAAAACGAACTATTCCTTTTACGAAAATCACTAATTAATCACCAGAATTCACATTTTATTCAGGAGAAAGGGGAGGGAGGGGGAATAACCGCTGCAGATCGATAGTTGAAGAGCAGATAGTTTCCACTCATCAATGATTACACGATTAAACAAAGGTTCAAATATTATTTGCAAAATTCGCTTTTATACTTCTATACAAGCCATTAAAGTATAAGAGTTAGAGATAAGCTTGACAAGTCCCGCCTGTCTACCTTGCGAGCTTCGTCGTAGATCTGTGAGGCCAGCTCTCTGGTCGGGGCCAGAATCAGCGACAGCGGGAACTGCTTACGGCGATTGGTCTACAACAAAAGAATCACAAATTTAACTCTTGGAGTGCAGTCTTTATAGCAAGGAATTAAAACAATGCGCTTCAACATTGAAGACAAAACAATTATTGGCTTGCCGACTCTAGGGGGCGCCATTTTGAACCAAAATATTGCCTCGCCGTTCAGAAAGATTTAAAACATTAACCACTGCTCCGGCAGAACTTCAAAGACACTGATAGACCAATTTCAAGGAAGCATCCAAGTCAAAATTCTATTAAAGCCATTGTTCAAAACTCTGTCTGATTTAATCCTCGCCACATTTTGAGAAGAAAGCCTTCCAAGAACAATGTGAAGTTGGAATGAGAGATGAGAGAGATTTCCTGAACAACAAATTTTGAGTGAAACGTTTTGGTGGACGTACCCCAGTTCCGGATGTGGACTTGTAGGGTCCACCCTCGTAGATCTGTGATAAGATGGGCACCAGGAAGGCGGCCGTCTTACCAGAGCCTGAGTGAAAATTGAGTTGGGAAAAAAATGATGGCGACTAAAATTTGTCAAATTCTTTCACTGGCTGGGGTATAAACTTCTGCATTCTGGACTTCGATATCACCCGTGAAATTTGGAGGTATGATTTATGAATGTTATTAAGGTGCCTACTTCTTGTTTTGTGGGAGTAGCACTTTTTTCCCCAGGTCATCATACGTCCCGTAAGCAAGTCCTCCACGGGTCCATCACATGTCTTCCAGACCCAAGTCAAGTCACAAGATATTCAAATGAACTGTAACCAAAGTCTTTCTTTGTGATTCATGATTTACTTGGGACCAGACTTGTGATGGACTCGTTATGGGTTTGTGATGGACTGGACTACACCAGGGCCACGTTTCGGTACTGTGACCGTAAACATGTTTCTGGCTCGAGACCATTTCAGCGCTTCGGTTACACTGAAATTATTCCAACCAAAGTTGAACCAAAACTTGCGATCGGTTCGCTTACTTTTGAAAATGGCGAAAAGGTAAACACCATTTTTAGCAGACGACGTTCCCTTATTACCACAAAAGAGATTTAAATAGTGTGTTTGTAGTCTGTTGGGTAAAGTTGATACATAACATTTATTACCCTGCCTAGGAAAAGTAGAGCGAAAGTATCTTTTAAGTAGCACTACTGCTGGGTTTGTTTACAAGGTGACGTTATGAAAAAATGTTTAGTCAGGCGTTGTCGCAGTGCACTGGAAACATGTCACGGCTGCGACTTCAGAAACATGTTCCAGGTCAAGGGCCGCAAAAACGAGGCCGAGCTCTTTCAGAGTTTATAAATACCTGTTTGGGCGCACGCCATGAGGTCTCTCTTTCCCTTGATGATAGGGATGGCATATTGCTGTACTGGAGTCGGGCTGGCGTAGTTACTCAGGGTAATGTTACTGCTGATAATCTCCCCAAGATTGATGTCGGCGAACTGAAATGACGAAAGAATTACAAAAAATAAAAATTTAAAACCCTGAAAGATTGCCATTTTAATGTCTGATTTTCAATCAATTTGTTTGTTTTATGTTTCCTGGATAAGTCATAATACAACACTGCTGTTAACTAAAACTAAGGACTAAGATCTGCACAAACTACTCACATTGGAAATCTTTTCCGGAACGTCTTCCCCTGTGGCCTTGACCGGAATATCTTGATACTTGTCAAAGTTGATACCAGTGTTGGAAGATCCGAAAAGGTCACTGTGAAAGTGGGTTGAAAGGTAACAAAAAGTAAACATATTGATGAGGTAACAATTCTGGGCAAATCAAAGACAGCAATTCGTGAATGTGTCAGATAGGGCCTTGATTGTGTGTAATTCTACAATTTACCTTTTAAAAGTTGTCAATCTTTTCATTTGTTACTGACAAACAAGATAAAAGAAAATTGAGACAAAATTCCAAACTGAACTTACTGTTCCAGTCGTTCATTTCTTGGCAGCGGCTTGGTCCAATCCACTTCAGAGATCTCCTCTGGTCGGCCGCGACTGTACGAATCGTCGTTGTTCCAGTTTCGGCTTCTCTGGAACGCCTTTCCCCCGTTGCTGCCACCCCAGTTGTCAGAGCGCCCTCCTCCAAAGCTGCTGCCGCCACCGCCGCCCCCACGATTGAAGCTTCCGAAGTTCCGGCCGCTGTACTGGTTGTTGAAGGGTTGCTCTTGGCTGTTGAACCCTCCTCGGTCCTGGAATCCCCGGTTGCGATCGAAGGAGGGCGGGTTGCTGAAGCCGCCCCGGCTGTTGTAACCGCCACCGCCGCGGTCGTTGTACCCTCCGCGATCGTTGCTGCCGCCGCGGTAGTTGCCACGGAAGTTGCCGCGGGTGGAGCCCCCGCCGCTGCGATTGTAGCCACCGCCAAAGTCTTGGGTAGGAGGAAAACCGCCTGGGTTGGGGAAGTTACCCACTGGTGGTGGTCCAGGTGGGCCTGTGATGGTAGACAGAAATAAACAACTCTGTAAGTCTGAGGTATAAATCTACACAAAACATTGACACTTCCACAAGTAGACATCTAGACCCACGAGGACAAAATTATGGTAGAAAATCAGGCATTTTTTCGACCACTTTCCATATCTAACTGATTTTGAGGAAAAAAAAGACATTTTAGTTGCAAGTCAGGCAGATAATAGTTAGGTAGTCCTTAAATGCATATCTTAAGGAATAAAACTGCTTTCCACAAACATAATTAAGTTTTTTTTATGTTGTTTTCTCAATTACAACTCAACTAGATGGCTATTTAGATGGAGTTCCTGTTTCAGACTCCGATACCTACCTCTGTTGAAGGTGTTGTTGAAGTTTCCCCTGCCTGGATAGCTGGGGAAACCACCTGGGGGGAAAGAAGGATGCGGAAAGACTTTAGTCATACCGGCCGAGACAGTATGCGACACAAAGTCTGTCTATCGACCAATCTGGCCACGGTAGTAACAATTCTATCATGATGGCCCCTTTCAATGGCAAAAGCATGGGCTAGCTATTGTTCAGATAATCCCTCACGGGCGGAAGCTCTGTACAATAGCATGCACAATGGTTTCTCCATTGAAGGGGGCCTCATGAGTGTGCAGCCATCACGTTTCTTGACTGATATTTAACCACTGCACTCCCAATAGAGGGCGCACTTTGACAGTTCCCTGCATGCTAGTCCTGCCGTCAACATGTCAGTGCTTGTATACAAACATGTTGGTGTTCCGTTCACCCTAAAGCCTGGTTCATACTCGGCACGAAAGCGAAAGCAAACACGAATTTGTGACGTCACGGCAAGTATTCGCAAGTTGAACATATTTCAATTCGAGCGAATTTCGCAGCTAATGTTTCATGACGTCAAATTCGCTTCGCATTCGCTTTCGCGTGAAGTATGAACCGGGCTTCACTCCCGAAAGATTTCCTCCTTTTGTCAGAAAATCAATGGCACCAAACCGTTGAACTTTCAAGTAATGGTGGTTGAGTTCTAATTCCTCAATCCTTCAAACAATCCTTCAAAACTTCTATGGAGTACTGAAGTGTGATGTCATTTAGAACCAGAAAGTGTAGTGCAAACGAATGGAGTACGCGCGCGTGTTGGTTCACGGGCTGAAGCACGCGCTAATGTCTTTCACACACATTTTGTGCACGTGACGTATTCACTTCGGTACTCCACAAGGATTTTGAGGGATTGCAAGAGTCAGGGGTTAAGTCCGTTATTCCAAAAGGAGTGCAGTATACAATGAGTCGCATGGATAGAGCAATCTGTTGAAATATGTCTCATAAAGATTATTTTGTCATGACAATGAATAATCCAAAGGACAAAATTTACACATACCTCTGTTACTCACTTCCCCTCCCTGGCGCATGTGGGGCGGAATGTATCGCTTTGCTATGGTGGGAAAAGAAACAAAATTTGCCACTTGGAAAAATTTCTATAAAGATTGTTTTCTAGATTTTTTTGAAAGAAAGAAAGAGAGCATGTTAATTTAAGCCACAAATGTTCTAAACTAAGTTGACCCAAATTAATTTGTACTTGTACTCGAAAAGTTGTGATAAAGTTATCACAAGTCAATGCGGTCAATCACATTGTCTCGTCAAAATACTTTCGGTCATAATTAAAATTTTGAGCAACTTGCCCTGAATTCTTATAGATTTTTCCTGAAATTTGAGCGCAACGACTGATAAAAAAAAGATGCGATTGTGTAGTGTAGGGCCTCTGTTTAGGTTTGATCAAATTAGAGTTAAGGGTGTTTTTTTTATCGTTCCCAAATTACTTTTTTTTTTCAACCTAAAGTTATTTCTTTTTGGTGCCCTGCAAATTAACATGGTTTTCCATCATGCATGCAACTTGGACTTAGCAAAAAACGAGGAAATTCCAATCTTTACAAGACTTTGGAAAGTGTTTTTCAATTTTCAAAGGCATAAGTATGAAGTAAAAAAAACGAGGAAATCAGCTGATCCGAGGAAAAGTTGCATGCTTGTTGCATGTTTACTGTGCGACAAGGTGATCGCCATCTTTATTTCAGTGTTGCGTTTTGTTGTCTTCATCACCGTTGTACCCCAAAATTTCCCTCAAAAAATTAAAAACCTGCTCTGTGGCATTTTTGTTCTCTTATATAGAGCAGGGCCTTACACTACACAATCTCCAAAATAATCAGTTCGGACTGAAAAAATACCTTCAGGTCGTCCTCCATCCTTAATGTCTAAGGCAGCAAACTGTTGAGAGACAAAGGAGTAGTAGAAACTAGAGTAAGTAACAAGACCATAATAAAAAGTTTTTTAAACATGTTTGACCCTAGCCCTACAAAACAGGGCTAGAATTTGACTCGCTTTAAAATCAGTCTTGAAATGACATCAGAAATAGTCAGACTATTTTGGTCTGGGAAGCAGACTAGCCTCTGTATACATATGCCCTGGCTCATGTGTGAATCAAGCCGCCCGACGTCATCATGCATATTAATGAACCTAGCCTTTTTAATACAGCCGGGAGCCCAGACTTCTCACGATTAGTACGCGACAGTTGCAAGAAAGATGGCGGCAAGCTCGTCACATGGTGCTTGAAATGTTCTTCATTTCTCAAGACACCACGCATGGACATATTTACGACTGTGGCAAGCTTTAAAATATATTTTAATTAAATCATTTTATAAATTAAAAAATGGAAGCTACACAATTCGAATGTAATAGTTAATCAAGTTCTGAAAAGGAATTTCCAAATTTTCAAACTTATTTTCTATAAAAAATACTATGCAAATAGCCGTACAAAATTTCGAGTTTTCCATATGTTTGTGCACAAACATGGATGTGCTCAGCAGTCATCACTTTGTACATGGGTCAGCGCTGTAGAGTAATTTAATATTGTACATGTAGCTCTTTGAATTTTTCACAAAGTTAGGGTTTAACTAGCCCTACACACAGGGCTGTAATTTAGCTCTCATTTAAAATCGGTCTTGAAATGTCGCCATTACAAAACTGCTTCGGGGTCTTCTAAATATGCAAGATGTTGCTTCACAGGTCAAGACTGGTGGATTTTGATTATAAGTATCTCCCGAAATACATATCGCCGAACACTTTCATGTACACAAGTGGATTTCGAACAATGAAAGTGAGTCGGGAACTAGCTTGAACTGGTTTCCGTCTATAAAAGCTGCCCTAGTTCCCAACTCCCTATTATCGTTCAAAATGCACTTGTGTTTACAAACGTAATCCAGTCTACTCATTATCATAATCCATGCATCGCGCACGCTCGGTAACGGAATCGCACTCGGGATACGGGGACCATCGAATGAACGCTTCACCATGTTGACATAATGACCACATCGCAACTCAAACGCGAGTTGGAAATCGATCGCGAGGGGAGCTCTCGGAATTGAACGGGAAATTTCACTTTTCATCCGGATCGTAAGTAAACTGCAGTACAACCACCTTAATCATCGATGTCTGTTGCGTATCTAGTAATTAATTTGGAGGCCGTTTCGAGGGTGAAATCTGTTGTTTTGGGGGGCAATGTTGGGTTTTTGGGTTTATGACAGAATTGTTTTGCTCAGCATATATGGATCAGCTTTGACCCTACTATCGCCAGATCATGTCCGAATGTTAAAAAAGGCGATAAGTTGGGTCCAAGTCATGCAAGTTACTCGGACTATGACATGTGTTCTTAATGTCGCCAACTAGTTTGGTTGGTCAAATAATTTAAAAGTGGATTTTGTTACCTTATAGGAACCCGGCTCATAGATACACGATCCCCCCCCCCCTTCCGATTTCCAAGAAAAGTGAATTCAATAAAACAAAAAGAGAAACTGAAAACAATCACTGAAAAAAAGTTTTTAAATAACCCAAACATGCCCTGCTAAAAAATGACAAAAAAAATCAAAATGTACAAATGTTGTGCAAGATAAAATGATTCTGAAATGTTAAAACTTTCTTTACAATGATTCAAATAATTATTTTGGCACGACCATTATCGTCTTAGGCAGCCTAGCCGGCCTTGGTCACCAAAAAAAATCCAGCCCACGTTTTTTTCTTGCTTTGTGATCGGTTTCGCAAACCAACAAAATTACCTTGATTTAAACTCATTTTTTACAAAGATTAACAGTCCTAAACAAAATAATACTTTACCTGGTGTTCTAGACCAGGACCATGGCCTCCTCCATTACTCATTACTAAATAATATTTAGGGGAATTTTGAGATAAATCTGCGAAACTTCGGGGAGAGATTTGGTAGACTTTGGGGAAAAGACACAGCACGCAGCGGGCCTAATTTAGCAACAGGCTCTAACAAAATGTTAGAAATAATATGTGTCATTATAAAATCATCAGCACTACAAGCTTGACATGTAACGGATTGACAAAAATATGAAACATATCAAAATAAATTTTAAATGGAAAGATTAATAACAAAAGCTAGTTTTAATTATCAAATCGATAATATTAATAATAAGTATTTCTTTCTTTAAAAAAAAGGTACTTCACAAGAGGGCGCCCCTTATGAAAGTGCGCCATCTGCGTTTATGGGTGCAACCCTGCAAGAAAAATTCCCATAGACACTAGTGCTAAATGCGCATACTTCAAAATTCTTTTTAAAATACTCAAAACTCTCACAGGTATTCAAGCTGCACAGAAAAATGATGATCAATGTGTCATCTTTCATTTTCTTTTCATTTTTTGGTGGGTTGACCATTGACTTTTCGAGATATTCTCACCCAAAGAAGACGACCCCTATTTTCCCCAAAGCAGAAAAGTTGCCATCTTGAAAAACAAAATAACACTGAACCAAACTGAAAATGCCATGGGGGGGGGGGGGGATAGGAATTTCTGTGAAATCCGTTAACCATGGTCACCCGTTAGTTATTAGTTATTTAGTTAAGACAAATCGCACCCCAGGGGGGGGGGGGGGACTGGGGGGTGCGACGATCCCCCACGGCTTTGCCGGTGGTACAAAGCAACTTTACCCTGTGACGAATTATCTGACAGAATATCTAGTACAATGCATTCGCCATTGAAGAGGGCCTCCGTGATAGAATTGACAGCGTGCCCGAATTGTACACTGAGCATCATCCTATTATTTTATAGGCGTTACTCCCCTCCACACCAGTCCCAGCTCCCACAGCTGACATTATCATAGAAACCTACATTTTCTTCTCGTGAGACAGGATACGCCTAGTAGACACTAAGTTTACTTGCATTCTCACTGAATTGAGAAACCAAAACTAGGAATCCTTAACCCTAAAAGGGCCGAACGGGAATCCCCCCCCCCCTTGACTTTTTCCGCGGTGGCCTTGAAAACATTTTTTTCGCGACCCGAGCTGTTATGACTTTTTAACCTCGAGCCCTTGCGCATCTTTTGATACCAAAAAAAATAAAAAAATTAAATGACTCACTGGAGCGCCCCCCATTCACTCAAACTATAACATGATTGCCAAGCTTTGAGAAAGTGTTATCCTTGGTAAGTTGTATCAGGAACCATTCGTATTTTAAAGAGGTTGTGGAATGCTCAAAGACATTTCCGTCATTTTTCGGGTATATGTGGCCTAAGGTGTGATGAAATAAAAACGACTATTGTGTCTGTCATGAAATGAGTACAAAAGGTACTTTTGAAAGCTGTTTTTCAGGTCCTGTTTCGATCCGAACGTGCAATTTGTGTAAAAGTCGTCGTTGGGGGCAGCAAACAAAACATAGTAAATCGTGACGTAATAAACAGGACTCGTTTATACTTCGCTGCATCGGGAGTCCTGTTTATTACGTCACGATTTACTCGTGTATTCTCCTTAAAAACATATAGTCCATCATTTGTAATTTGTGCATTTTGTTCGTTTGAAGCAACAAATGTGTTCAAAATCTAATGAAGGATACTGAACAACTAACCTGATGAAGTTTCAGCTCAGCTTCAGCTGTATATTCCGAGAAAAACAACATTCCTATTCGTTTGGAATTCAGGAAAAGGTGCCCACGCAATATTGATTTCTTCCCATCAGTCTCGTTGTTCTGCTCCAAATTGATTCCTCGGCTCAATTGAAGAGCAATAAACAAGATGGTATTTACGATTAAAATTTAAAACGTCTGTGCTAACGTGCAGTCCTTATTTCAATCTACATTGTATCTGACGTACATGCATGTGTCTCATAATAAAGTAATGATGAAGGCCGAAGGACGTTTAAATTTACGGTATCGCAAATAGGCACACATTGTACCTAAGACTATTTTTAATTCATCTTTAATACGTCTTGGGTTTTCCTCAGAGAATGAGATGTATTCTCTCTGAATTTAATCAATCGTGAATTTGCATATTTTAAGTGATGACGTCATCTAACCTGAAATGGCGTGTATGTGTAAGTGAAATTTATACTAAAATTCATCAAACGCAACTTTTCCCCCCATATTGAACCAAACATTATCGATGACGTCATCAAACTGGAATTTAATGTTGAAATACAATGTAAAACAACATCGTTTGGCCTAATGCATGGTGAAACTGAGTAAAATGAGTTACGCTCCAAATTTGAACATAAACAACACATGGCCATGGCGTTTGTTTTGGTACAAACGCTACATAATATCTACAGTTTAACTTTGTATCGGTATGATATCAGCGTGCAATCAAAATGTGTTAATTGGAAATGGGAGGAGCAACGCCTAATTGACCTTTCGCGTTAGAATGCGTTAGAATCGCGTCAACGCAGCTTGTGAAATATTGTCCAATTACATGATATACTAATGGATGCGGAACGCGCAAAATCTCGACACAAACAAAACTTAGTGTACAAAAATTCCATATGGTTGTCTAAGGGGCGTGGTTAACTCTCAAACAGCGATAGGTCAATTAGCCCTTTTTTGACACGTTGACTCTGCCTTGTTGCAACACGAGCTACAAAGCCATACCGGCCAAATCGATAATTTCTGGTCCAATATCTTGAATGGAAGCACAATAGGCCTAATATAATAAAGAGAAGCGTAGTCACGCATCAATATACTCGTCTTAAATTTACATCTTTTCACGTTTTCTTATTTGATCGTCACTCATCAGGCCATCGATATCCTTTCCAAACCAATGCTTCTTTTTTTTTTACACGAGTACGTATTCTTATTAACGGAGATATACCACAATTAATTCGCACGACGCAAAAATTTCCAATCGTTGTGAAGACAATATTGTGTGGATCATAAACCTGGACACCAGTCGGAGTAGCGTGTACCATGGCCGCAATATCACAACCTCCATTAATAGTGAGTGATGCCTTCGTGTTATTTAAGTGAAAGGCTTTCCCAGCACACTTTTAATAATGCCAACCTCCGATGGCCGTAGCGCAAATGGCCACACCGTGTATACACAATTAAACAATGAACTTGCTGGCCCGTTAGATATCGTTTCCTCTTCTTCCTATCGATCAATTCATCACCAAAACAAACGCAACAAGACCGTTGCTATGGGTACTTCGGAAGTGTGCCTACGTTACATCACGATCAAGATTGTTCATCAAGACGTTCATTAGGCGAAACCACGCTCGATAGGATTGACAGTGTGTTGTGGGCCATATACAATACGCTGCCGAGAATCAAAACCTGTTCACTACCAGTGGTGTGAGACTAGTTTTCTAAATCACTGACTGCCATGAACTGATCACTGTGCGAGATTATTAAAAGCAGTCGAGACTGATAGAAATTAAAAACACAAATTGAAACCGACATGGCTGCAAATTGGCTTTATTACGTAGCGAGTTTTGGAGTGATCTTCATCAGCCTGGTAACCGCCAAGTGCTCTGACTGTGGCCTGTCCTGGCATCGCACCAACGGCAACTGCTACTTGATGGTGGAGGAGCCCAAGTCCTTCTGGAATGCCGAGGCGTACTGCCAGCGACTCTCCAGACTCGGGAGAGAGTCGCATCTTGTCTCCATCGCCGATCAGCAAGAGGAAGACGCGGTGGAGGCGTACGCTCAGCTGTCCGGTCACTCGACCATCTGGATCGGATACGAGAAGGACCCGGTGGTCGGAGACGGTCTGGTCTACCGTTGGACGGATGGCAGTCCGTCCGTGGTATACGAGGCGTGGGCCGGAGGAGAGCCGTCTGGCAATGGGGAAGATTGCGGCTCGCTGCGCAACGGGCATCAGTGGAACGACCGTGGGTGCGACAACCCTTACCCATTCATCTGCGAGATGCGTGGGAAGAACGTGTAAGAATCGGGAGCGGAAAGTCACGTCTTAGAGTAGTCACGAGTCATCTTTTAGGACATCATGATTCCAGATGGCCGGCCGACCTCTCACCACAGACTAGAAACTCACTTGGGATATTATGCTGCAGCGATATCTATTCTGCAGGATTTCGTTCGGAATACTTCAGTGCTTACAGTTCGAAACAACTCACAAATGCGAATCATTTTTAAGGTACTAAAACTAAAAGAAAACATCGCAAGGAAGGAAACGGCATCGCAAACTTTGCTCCGAAATTTTATTATTTCTTTTGTGGAACGTGTGGCTAAACAAAATCACTTTGTATTGAGTGGTTTACATGTACAAGTATAACACTCGGTTGGTATAAAGTTATTTGTAATGTATACAAAATAAATAATGTATATATATAAAAAATATAAAATATCAAAATCGTTATTGCACTGCACAAAATAAAATACTTTTAACTGGCAATTAATATAAACTTTTCAATGTCGTTGGTGTTAAGAGATTAACATGTGATATTGAAATAAATATTTTAGCATATTTCTGTTATACAATAACATAAATTAGCATACTATAGAGACATGAATACCAAGATTCAGTTATTTTTGTTTTGTTTTACTAATTTATCGAACGTTAGACATATGGCGACTGATTGGTAGAAAACGCCGTTCTGATATATATGAAGACTACACCTCATTATAAGTGGGCACATTATAGTAATACATGTACATGTACATGTACATCGATCCAGAAAGTCCCGCCCACTGTGCGAGTGGGGAATAAACACGTGTTCCTCACCACACTGCATGGTCCAGCCACGCGCGCGTCATACGCGCGTGCATGGCGCACGTCGGACATAAATCACGGCTGTGATTGGTCACAACACAATGGGGCGGGGCTAATAATGGATCGGTCTATTGAGGCATGTAACAGTGAACTATAAGGTTGCCAATTAGAGAACAGTCGAACACCTTTATACAAATGCCCTTGGGACTTTACGCATTACCTTGTTATATCAGTAATGAAAAACAAAGGAAAACAAAGAAAAACAAAGACTTCGGACCTAACATTTTGCTTGTTATAAACAGGACCATGTATTAACAGTGCTCTTCTTATCAGGGCTCGACTGTATCACGAATATGGAAAAGAATAAGATGTAGGCCTAAAGACAGGGTTTTACCAATTCACCTGCATGTGGCTATCTAACGCTGATAGCAAAGTGGGGAGTCAGGGTGCTCGATCGTCTGCACAGGAGGACGCATCTCTGAAGTCTTTCCTCGTACCAGCCTATATCTGGGACCAAAAAGAAAACTATAATTACCGAGAGGAACAAATAGGAAATTCACCTTATCACTTGCTTGTACCCATCGCCATATGTCGGAATACTAATAACCGCAAATGCAGACTCTTTGGAATGAACTCCACGCACAAGTTTCCCTCTCAAGGGGGAGAGTAAGGGGAGACCACTGCTAGAGAAATTCAGTGTGTCCCGTCATAGGCTCTCAAGTGGTAAAATAACGTCCTTTCTTTTCTTATTCGCGCACGGAATCCGTATACTCACTGCTGCTATGATCTATTAAAGCACGGAAATTCAGGGCCGGTGGTTTGACAAAATATCTATCAAGTGAGAAATTAGATGGAGGTTATCAACAACCTCCAATAAAATACGAAATTTCAATTACAATGTACAGGTACATGTACATCGTTTATCACTTTATTGCCCATGCTTTTACCAATTGAAGGCGCTATATGCAGCAATGCCGTGAGGAATAGAGAACTATTGGTATGTAAACTCATGTTATTTGGCAATGAACCAATACTACTGAATTTGTTTTGTCAGAAAAGTGGATTTACTTTCCCTTTTAATAAAGAACGCGTAGTGAAAGACGCATCGCGCAATCGACAAATATTTGGTGGCCACTTATTAATTTTGAAAAAAAAAACTATTTAACTGTACGTCTAAATTAAAGGTGACATATGGAAATGACTTGAATCTGCCGATAATGTGGTTGATAGCTTTCAAATACAGAGAATGTGTTGAGGATCCGTGTTCGAGATTTTTGATTTACAATTAAAGACTACTTTTTGCAACCAAATTCACGCTGTCGAGATTATTATTTCTCTGATTATTTAACAGTGTAGTACAATGTTTCAATACATATTTTCGCGCAGGATGATTAACTAAGCAGCTTCAGCAAATCGTTATTTGTTTCATTTCGACAACAATCCATTTTCGCTACTTTAAAATGATCTTAGCGAAAAATTCTGACGGGTTTCACCCACCATTTGTTTTAGTCATGTTTTCAGCAATTCGAGCACTTTGAGCAGTTATCAGTGTGATAACTGCGCTTTACAAATTGCATCACATTTTTTTTCAATATAGGCCTAGAGAAAAATTCACTTAGAACTCAATGCTGGACAATTAATTGATTTACTTTTTTAGCAATTTTTCAATTTTGGTAAAGGCATTGCCCATTATAAATCGGGAAGAGGATAATGGAAAAGAACTTGTATCCTGACGACAAAGTTTTCATCATAAATCATCTCTACACAGGACAGTCGTTGCAAAAAGTGTTGAAAAAGCATGAATCTGGGACTGAGAAACATTTCCAATTTTGTTAGGAAATACTTCGAAATTTTCTTGACTCTACATAGACTTTGTACACAACCGTTGATGTGTGTCTGGTTACTACATTCTTTCCGCATAATGCAAGAATAAGACATGAAAGACTATTCAACTATCGATTACATGTACATGTAATAAGCACATTGAAATCAAATCAGCAATATCATACTGTATAACACAAGAGGACCGAAAATTCAATGAAAAAATTCAAATTTCTGATGATATATCGACATTTTCTTTTATTTTATGTACCATGTAGCAACTTTCAGTATTACTGCAAACATTTCAATTGCATGTACTGTACTTTATTTTTTTCTGAAAACAAGTTTGTGCATAACATTTGGGGTATTTATTGTGTTCATTATTTTTTAAAGCAATAAAAAATCTTCGTTTTAATTTCAGGTATTTTTTCTTCTCATTTCAGTTACTCATTCAATTTTTTATACCAATTTGTTTTTTATCAATTTTTGATCCCGTTGATTCGAACGCTTTGTACATTAACAACTGTCAATTTGAAAATTAGTCATTCACATTTTATTTTTTTTGATGTTAAAGTAAAACCTTGGTAGAGTTTCCACTCCCGAGAACTTACCAGAACAGGAACTGAACTCTTGATCTCCACCAGCAGATGAATTAAACTTTCTTGCTTTCATCATTATTGGGGCCATTTCTTGATTTCGGTTTGGTGGAAATTTCCATCAATTTTTAGACCCCTGACTTCTTCAACTTGGAGACTTTCGTGTTGAGAAGAGCGATTGAATGAATAGCTCTATGCTTGAATTCCTTATTTAAAATGACTACAAATTACCACAAGCACTATCCGAGTTCGTCTTAGCAAATTTCCCCACATAGAAACGTGTACATATTTCTTGGACGAACATAAGTGTTTATTACCGAAATTTCGTCCTATCCGATTTCGTACTAACCAGAGTCGACTGTGCATGTATTTCTGAACCAAACAATGTGCCTTTAACTGTTTTGCTTTTTTCCCCAACACTTCCGTATTCTGATAATTTTGCACAAGTGTCAACTTAAAAAAAACACCTTTCCTTTCTGACAATTTTATTAACGATTTCCTTTCCTATAATTTTGTACAAACATCAATGCTTCTAATGATGCGCGAAAGGTGGTCCCCATAACATACAAAAGGAGTTCATAATCTCACTATTACAAAGCAAACAAATAAAATAAAAAATTAGACAAATAAAATGAGGATCCCCTTTTACCGGAAAACGTTCTCAATCGTTTTGTATCATTGAAAGAAAAGCATTTTTAAATCTTAAAAAAGTGTGGGTTAGTTTTGAAGTCGTCAAGAGTTATTCAATAATTGAAACTTTAATTTTAGCATTTGTTTCGTTCTATTTTTTTATATTTTATTTTACTACAGGGAAGTTCACAAATTTAAGAATCACAAATTGAAGAACAACTTTTACCATACATTAACAGCCATGAAGGAGAAGAGAAAGTAGTTTTTACAATGTCACAAGAAAGCAATATTAATTTTTGTACAAATAAAATAAAGTAGCGTTTTTGAACGGACCCTAAAAACCTGGCACCTGTTAATTCTGCTCAATGCGGTTTTTCCTTTGGGTGATGCGAACCGAATTTTCACATAGCAAACAAAGCTGCTTCTGTGATAACGAACCTTCCACGACAATATTTCATTTCATTTCATTTCAGATCCATTTGTGATGTTTCATACCTTGTCCGTTGACATGTCTGGCCTGACGAATTCGTGCGTCGCCTGCCCTGCAGCAAAATATTCTGTATTCGGAAAAGTCTATACATGTACATGTACTGGTAGGCCCATTTGAATGGGTACGATTTTGCTAAATGCTACTTATTTTTATCAGTGAACATTTCACTTCAATTCACATAGCTCAAAGGGCTGGGCAAGTTTGTGCTTGTTTCTTTTTAGGCTACTTTAACAGCGAGATTTCTGGCACTAATTGTCCTGGCTTTACAGATTCAAAAGCCCCTCAGACTTCATTTGATAACGATGTGATCAGGCATGCAACGTGACAGTAATACACAAAAAAGGAGGAAACTCCAATCTTTACAAGACTTTATACAGTGTTTTTCAATTTTGAATGACGAAGCGAAAAACGAGGGGGAAATGAGTTGATCCGAGGACAACAGCAGACGGACTTCAAACACTTTTTAAATACACCTGCTCCTATTGAGGTCATCTTCATCTATCATGGGGGCATAATACTGCAAGATGACGAATGATCATTGTAAATGAACGTTCGCCATTCAACGGTTCGGTCAGATTTGGACTAGTAGTAGTTGAACATGATTCGTGTAATAAATGATTGTATTTACCTGCACTAGCAACAGTTCATTTTACATTGACAGCAGTTGGATTGTTTCCGCTGAGCTTTTTTTTTTATCCACTACATGTATGTTACTTAACCCTAACCACGGCCAACCCTTCAAAATCTAACTGCACTTTTTGTTGGAATCTGTTGCACTGGTAAACTGATTCTTTACGCATACCACCCATAATCAGAGCCAAACAGTTTGGGTGTAGAGTTTACCATATGGTGTATGATTTTACAAGAGTGAGGAAGGTGAATCACTCAAGGGGGTAAGCGTTACTGTACCGCACATGGAAACACACATGTGCTTTTTGTTACATTCATCAGAATAATTACAACAATTCTATCTTTTTAATAGCGACAATACCTAGCGGACATTTAAATGAAATTTCTCAACAAAACATACAGGGACGTATCAAATCTGGTTAACAAGTTCTAATTACATACTTTGTATTTTATAGGTAACAGCATTTCCATGGAAATGTATACATGTATATGTGTATTTATGCGATGACGAGCGCAATTATCTTTCCTGAGCACGCATTTACAGCATAATCTTTGAAACGATTTCGCATTTTAAATTGAGCAGCGAAATGGTAAAACTCTTTAGTGGATATAATTTTTCTACGGGGGTGGTTTAATTAATCAAGATAACCGATTGTATGTACACTTTGGTATTTTTTTTCATTTTAAACAAAATGAACTTGAAACAAATGAAGTCATTATTTCAATTTAATGGACTTGACAGATGCAAAGGTTGGACAAACGTGAACGGTGTGCATTGTACATGTACATGTTTTTCAAATTGCTCTGACCTTGGATGTTGTTATATTTTCCATGTTCCGCGTAATTCTGGCGTATCTCCTGTCGCGACAGGTAATGTTGCAGTTTTCGTGCAGATTTTTAAAAACATGTTTGACGTTTTAATAAATATTTGAACCTTTTCTTTCACGAAAAGCTTTTAAGTATTTTGTTTAATCCAGATTGATACATCCCTCCTGGTCGACTTTGGAACATTCTTGGTCTCATCAATTACAAAAATTCCCAAACACTTTTCACACCTTTTTGTAATAATCACCGACTCATTACATGTACCTCAACAATATGGCCTAAGAAACGAACTGGCGATGTTACTGGGGGTGGGGGTAACTGTCAGAAACAGCAGGTTGCTTACTTTTGACTAAAATATATCACCAACCAACTTCAAAATCACACGAAGAAGAAAAACACCTAGCTCTTGTTTTTGGAGTAAGTAGCCACATTAAAGGGAAAAATGTATCAAACAGTAATTTCAACACCATTTTATGACTTGGTTTGTAGAAGTACATGTACATGTAGATAGCCTTCTCTACAGGCCTTCATGTCGATGATGCGATTGATTGGAGAATTTTAATTTGCAATACCTTGCTGCTATTGTGTAATTTGACAATCGCAAACCGTGGCGGGTTCATGAATATGAAGATACATGATTAGGTAGAAATTACTTTTTGGCAAAGGTCTTCAAGCAGGTGAAGAGGTGTACATACCTGCTCAAATGCTTCGATATCTTCCCCCTTAATTATTCACAGATTTTTTTGACACACAGACTTTTACAATTAAGGTGTAGTGTGTACACTTGTACATTCTGAAATGATTTCTCGTTTATGTTTTAACACTAACAGAATTTAAAGCCAAATTTGTACAACTGAGTCTTTTCCGGTGATTTTTATGTTTTGGTTGAATACATGTATTATGAACACACCGATCTTTAAAAAAATTAAAAGGAATCATGATTTTTGTCATCATTTTGCGTTGTTCAAGCCATTAAAAGATATTTTACACGTGTACATTTTAAAGTAGAAACAAATTATAAAACAAGCATTAAAAATACATTTTCACATTTTCTACTAATTTTCTTCCAACACTATAAAACTTTAACAAGTCAACTAAAAAAAAATGTTTAAAAAGTCAACACTGAGAATTTTAAACTTCAGGTCTTTTCCAACTTGGCCTTTCCTATAAACACTTGCTCATTTGTATTTCTGTGCGTCTTTGGCCAGTTTGAACTTTTCACCTGTTTGAACTTTAACTTTGAGGTAATTCAAATTTGGCCTTTATTTACATACACTTAAATCTTTTGTTTCTCTGCAGATCTCTGGCTTCACTTTTTTTTTCTCAGAGTGGGCCAAATTTTTAGTAGCGTTCGTAACCCCTGCTTGGGGGTGGGGGGCGGGAGGTAGGTGGGGCCCGTGCGGCCGGTGCTACCCCACCACCGTTACGATCCAAGGGGCGGGAAGCACGCTCAGCGGGGTACGCCCCGCGGCCTCCAGCAGAGGAGGGCGAGCCATATGAGTCACGCGCCCCGTAAGGGGATTTCTCGGCTGGGCGGGCGGGGCGGGCGTCGGCAAATGAATCGCGGGCGGGGTATGGGTCATAGCGAGGGGCCGCACTGGAAGCTCCTGTATTTTGGGGACAAAGAGAGTCATTATAATATGAACAAAATGTCAAATTGCACTTGATTTTACAATTAAAAAAAAAACAATGTGTGGCATACAGAAGTTCAAGACTTTGCAGCTTATATTGGTACTTCAACACAATTTGGTTTTGAAACTGCAAATATCGGTTAACAAATAACCAGGGTTTCAGTGGTTATTCGTAGATCAGCGATGCCAATATATTTCTATCCCTCCCCCCCCCTTATGTAACTTGTTAGCATTTGAGTCTTTCATACTTCCATGGTGTGTAATATTTTCATTACACAAGCAACAGCTGCCAGTTAACTATTTTGTCAAATAAACATTCATTTCATCTCAATCTTTTGATATATTTATGTAATTTTTGTTTTACTTGTTTGGTTTATTTTTTTGTTTCGATGAAGCAATCTGGCAATTCAATACTTTGAATTAAATTTTTTCAACACATTTTTTTAAAAGTTTTTATACTGGGCAATCTGTATTTTGTCAGGCAGGAGGTTTATCCGAGCATTCAAGAAACGTGAGTAATGGGAAAAAAATATTTTTGCTCTTTACCTCAAATTTCACATGATATGAGCTGTTGAAATGGACATAAATTTTTGTATAACCATATAATAGTCTGTATGTATTTAGCCAGAATTGAGTGATTATTTTCAGATTTTTTTTTAGCTAATACAGAAAATCACACGGAAAGATTTTTTTTAATTTTCCTTTCTATTCCCATTGAATCTATCATTTTCAATTCAAATCTTGAGTTCAGATATTTGAATTTCAAATACTTCTGTTATCATAAACACTTTATGCCAACATGGGGAACAATTTACATTTTGTGTATGCTTCATACTCAGGTAAAAACAAACATTTCATATTCAGCGTGCAGCTTAACCACGAGAATGTTTCAATTTTAACAGAAAATATTTAGGTATTCAATATTTCAACCCCAGCAAAAGGGGAAAAAACACCCAAGCAACGGGGCTGTCCGAACACGAGAAGGAAAATCACTACATTGTACTCCAATAAGTGTTTTGTTTTCAATGCTACTTCGAGGAAAGGCAGCATGCCTGTTAAAGTACATGTATTTGATTCAAGTTCCTTTGTAACTTTAGATATGTAGCAGGTGCATTTAACTAATTTATCCAAATATTTCACTATGACCGATTGCCAATTCTGACGAGTTATTTCTACACTTCCTCATGTGTACTTATGCGATGCTCGCCAAAAAAAAAAAAAAGGAATTAGATAATTTTCATTGCAAAGACCTCCAGTTTCTGCTCTGTAATGGAATTGGAGGATTGATGTGTGCGAATTGCAAACTCAACCGTGAATAAAACATTAAAAACCAGTATTTTGCTTTTTCACGGCTTGGCAACATACCAAGAAAGGCAGTGAACCCGTTTATGCTAAGACTCTTCAGCTGTGAAGCCAAAAAAAAGCCATCAATTTCACTGATTTTTTTCCGTCAAAGATTTAGTTCTTCATAAGATGGAATTGTGCGTCGGGGTGATGTTAATCAAGATTTAGTTTAAGTTCCATCCAAAATTAGCAACGTAGTAGATTAAAAGATTTTGTCTGACATGATATAGATGTATGGAATACATTACCTGCATAGTCACGCTCAGAGGCCCTGGCTTGAGATCTGGGGTACTGCTCAGCATAGGCTGATGAACGACTAGGTGCTGCTTCACCTGTTAACCAAATCAAGTGAGCAATCAATTAAACAATCAATAAGCAATCAATCAACAAATAATCAATACAATCCAAGCAGCACATTGATATGAACAATTCCTCAATCGTTTAGTTTGAAACAAGAAAGCACTCAGAGAGCGCAAACATCCACCAAGGCTAGATAATTCCCTGCCATATTGTCAGTACACCCAAAGGAAATACTCGCATAAATGATGAACCCCCCTTAAAAAAAAAATCCTGGATCCAGACCCAGATCCGGATCACTTCCAAAATCTAATGGAGTTGTACTTGTAGCAAGGACCACCCCTGAATTTTTTTTCATGCAAATCCGTCCATAACTTTTTGAGTTATCGTGTTAACAGACAAACCAACCAACCAAGCAACCAACAAGCTAACCAACGCCGATGAAAACATAACCTCCTAAATGATAATTAGTAGAGTAACCCCGTCTCGACTGACAACCACTTACGTTCGTATTCCCTGCTGTAGCCTGCCTCGGCCCGATCCCCGTACTCCCTTGGTGGCGCTCTCTCGTACGCCCGCGCTGGTGGCGGGGCCCCGCGCTCCTCTTCAAAGCGGCTGGCAGTGCGTGCCGTGGCTGGCGTGTAATCGCGCTGTGCGGCCGGGGCGTCGCGGCTGGCCGGCAAGCTGTAGTCGTAGGACGGCCGGGAGGCTGCGGCAGTGCTGTAGGAATCCCTGGCGGGCGGGGCGTAGGGATCACGAGACTCGCGACTGGCATAACTGGAAGAAAGAAGGACACATCATGAAGGATGAGTCTTTAACTTGAAAACTTTTATTTAATTTTATGAATATTCCTTTAGGGAATATTTCTCAGATGTTAGTTAATCTTTCCTTTTTTTCAAATTCATTTTTTAATAACAGTATTCAAATATTCAATCCTCTAAAACCTTCCATATGATCTTTAAGGATCTTGGAAAAATTACGGATGATGTTAGACCCCAACAAATCACTAAATTTCATACCCGTCCCTCTCAGGATAAGCTCTGCGTGGGGGCTCCTCTCTTGCTGGGGGGTAGCGCTCACGGGCGTAGGGGTCTGGTGCTACCTCATCGTAGCCACTGCGAGATGGCCTGGCTGATGCTGGAGCTACAAATTAGAATCGAAGTAAGAATAAGTCAAGACCGCCATGGTGCATCGGTAAATAAAACCCATCTCAAGAAATACTACTTCGCAACACATTTAGTAAATCTTAACCCCTATTGGGGTTTTTTTCTTGGCAACTGCTGAATGTTACAGAATCCAACAACAAGGAATCAGGATTACAAATTCAGTGAATTTGGCTTATAATAGACAGAATATACTGGCAACGTTAATACTTTTTGGCCGAACCAATAATTTACCAATATGCTCATATCGACATGATCTGATATGCTAATCTGAATATTAAATCAAATAAATGGTTTGGAAAGAATTGACGTGATGCCTGTACCTGCTCCGTATTCCTCTTCTGGGTAGGCCCTGCGACGAGGCTCGGCAATTGGCTCCTCTGCATCATACGCTGAACGAGGAGCATGATCTGAAAACAAGGCTCAATCTATTAACCCTAACCCGGGAGGAGTGTGGAGGATTGAGGATGAATGCACATTCAGTACCGGTTGATTTTGGAGGATTGGGGATGAATGGTGCTTGAAGAAAAGAATGATTTTGAAGGATTGAGGCTGAATGCATTTTGAGAGGCAGGACTGTCAGAGGATTTTTTTGGAGAATTTGGATTGAGGATGGTTCCTAGCTATAAGGGCCCAGAGGGGTAAGGGTAAACCCAAACTCTAAACGCAATCTTCTTCGAAAAATTCCCACATCCTTCAAAATCTACCACTATGCAGAAATCAAGTGGAGAACTTTCAGTTCTTCGACTTTCACACTTTTAAAGTTAAAATGGCTAGGCTCTTTTCTTCCTCCTTCCAGCAAAACCTCTGAAATAAAAAAAAATTCTGGTGGATTTCAAAGGATTTTGAAGGGTTAGGGTTAATGAACCACAACTCCCAAGTTATTTAGAAATCCGCCTGAATCTGCTAGAAACCAACGCTGTGCAGAAGTAGTTGTAAACTAATAAAACATTCTGTGTACTTAAAGGGAATATACATCATTTGCTTTTGCTGTAATTTTCAGATATGGATGGAATTGGGGGTTGGAAATATATAGCAAATATAGTTACACTGACTGTTTTGAGGTTTTGGGCTCGAAAATGCTATAAAAACCAAGAAAAACGATCATTTTCCTGTAGTCTGGTTCCCTGACTCCATATAAGAAGAAACAGAGCAGTTTACATACATTGGGGAATTGTAAGGTCAGGGAACCAGTCTAGCTGGCTCGTACCCGTTCATGGGTTTGTAATCGATTGTAAACAAGTGCAATGGTCAATTGGGGCCAGTATTTGAAAAAAAGCCAGTTGTTTCCAACGCTGATCGGCCGATCAGCGTTGGAAATTGATACAAAAATACCACTTTTCTTGAAAATGACAGTATACCAGGTGCCATAATTTTACAGGATGCTTTAGACTGTCATTTACCAACATCCTATTAAGGTATTTCGCAAAAACTTGGTAGTTTTATTTTTCGATGTTTGCAAATGTTGTATATTCCCTTTAAAACTCGGACTTCAAACCTCATGCAAAGTGAGAGTGGATGGATTTTGTGGTCCCAATTCCATGAAAATCATACAAAACCAAATGTTACATTTTATCAGATTGAGATTGAGATTTAGGGTTAGGTAAATTCAAACAGTTGGAAGTTTGACAGACACAAAAACTGCTGCAAGAAGTAGAGATTTGTGTTTGAAAAATGCTTGAAATTAAAATCAGATATTTTGAAATCATATTTTAGAAATCAATCATTGTGATCAAAACACACAGAGGTGATTTCCACAAATCGTTTTGCTTACATACCATACTCAGGCACGGGGGCATAGGGACCACCTCGACTCGCACGTAAAGGCTCTACAAAAAGGCGTCAGAAAAAAACTAACACTGTAACAACCTATTGGCTTCAAGAGATCGTCTCAACATTTCCTTAAGAAGTTTTATTTTGGAACTTTCCTTCACGAAATACAACTTGCTTGCAGCAGGACCAAACATGTTCAAACGCTCGAACAATGTTTTTATAACACTTTACATTTAATCAGTGGCATTTAATCCAGCTCTACTTGGAACCATCCTACATCCACCAAAATCCAACAATGTGCATTAAATAGTGGTGAGATAAAAATAAAGATTTTTTAAATGTGGTTTGAACTTCAGTATTCTGTTTGGATTTTGGAAACCGGATATTCGAAACCAACCTTAAACAAGTCAGGTGTTCCATTTTTTGGGCGACAGAAGCTAAAGAAAACAACTGGAATATCCCCCAATTTGCTCCATGGTCTGTGATTGTGACTGCATTCACTCGCTAGTGGACTTCTTGATTCATGAATAGCCTGCTCATTTGACTGATCAGAGAGTTCCTACCCTTTTTTTGCAACATCACAGTTTTCAAGTGTTTTGGTAAAATGCATTCAATCCTGCAAAATATACCAAATCATGAACGGCATTCCATTGCCGCACCTCACTCGTCACATTTTGTTGGCATGACTGTGAGCTGAATGCGAACTTCCGGTGAAATCGGATAGCTGTTATTTGGTTTGAAAATTTGTTTTTGGACAACCTGAGTTTTCCCACCACTAGACAACCAACTTCATATTTTGTTGTACATCCACAATGTTCGGAAATCAAGTCCAATTGTAAGTCATAGATGTTGGATTTCTGTGGATTTAGGGTAGCGAGTAATAAATACATGTACACATAACACAACACAAGAAACACAATACGACATGGTATTACAATTAAACGTACAATCACGACGAACAAAAAGAAATTGCTCTCCTTACCTCTACGTGGTTCTGGTTCTCTTTCAAATCCTCTGTCATAGCCACGAGGTCTGTAGTCGCCCATGGCACTCGTAGGCGGAGCAGACAGCAGTGGCTCTGAGAAAATTACAAATATTATATACAACTTTAAGTCTTTCTCTTGTTTGCAACGAGAGAACACTTCTTTTACATTTGGTGGGGAAAGCAAGGTGAAATATAATGTTAACATATAATTCCGATCTTTCAAATAAATGGGTTTTGATAACCTCAACTGGAGAGGTAGCAGTTTTAATTTTTGTAGGAGACATTCGCACTTTGACGTATGCCTGCAACACAAGGATCAGTATAAATCAACCAGGTCAAGCAGGTCAAGTTGCCATTTGAGATTATACACCTGAATAAATGCCCGTCAGCTGATTGGTGGGTCGTTGATGACGTGTCATTAAAGTATTTGTTCCAATGCACGAAACGGCCGCACGGTAAAAACAGAAGTTCCAGTGCACAGTCACACTTAGAGCAGTTCTGACCAATCAGATGATGAGGATTTATTCAGGTGTTGTATAAAACAAATAATGAATGTTTCACATTCGTGCAATGGAAGGAATAATTTCGTAGTTCCATTCCATCTGTCACCTCGTGAAATTATTCTTACCATTGCACTCATGAACATTCATTATTTGTATACTATTCAGAGCTGCTACACAGGTTCAGATCAATTGTGGCAAGTTGTTTGAAATGTCTCCAGGGTTTCGTCTATGGAATTAGTATATAAATCTGCTTTCATTATTAACTAGAATGGCTCTGAAATACCAGTCTGAGATATGATTTAGTTGGTACCTTTTCCACCCCTTGGTGGGCAGGCCCTAGCCACAGACTGAAAGTCATCCCTGGACGACGGACTGTCAGCATGGTGGCCAGGCCCGCCGCCCCTCGATGGGTATCCACCACGGGATGACGGAGGGCCACCTCTGGTTGGTGGGCCCCCTCGACCCACAGGGCCACCCCTCCCTGGGGCGCCCCTCCCTAGGGGTCCCCCACGGCTTGGGGGACCTCCGCGGCTAGGGGGACCTCCGCGGGATGGGGGACCTCCGCGGGATGGGGGACCGCCTCCCCGCCCTGGGGGTCCTGAGAGGAGGGGTCGTTCCATGGAGGATTCAAAGCCACGTCCACGGCCTGGTGGCCCACCTCTGCCCCTAAAAACAAAAAAAATCAAAAAAAAATCAGCATCTATCAAGACATAAAAGCATCCATTGAGGACATTTTTTATTCTCAGCGACCCAGAGGAAAATAGCCTCGCCCTTTGGACCAAAACAAAACAGCAACATAATGAAAAGCATTTATTTTCAAAGTAACAAACGTCATAACCCACAAGCCGTCCAATCCCACGTCAAGTCACAAGCAATTCAAATGAACTGTGACAAATGCATTCTATCTTATTGTTTATCCTGCTATCTGTGACCACTAAGTGACTAGTGATTTACTTGTGACCTCCTGGGGCTCCCCTCCCTAGGGGTCCCCCACGGCTTGGGGACCTCCGCGGCTAGGGGGACCTCCGCGGGATGGGGGACCGCCTCCCCGCCCTGGGGGTCCTGAGAGGAGGGGTCTCCAGATGTGACCAGATTTGGGATTTACTCACAATTTACTGTCATGGACTTGTGATTTACTTCGGACTGTAATTGTGACTCACCTGAATCCACCCCTTCCTCTGTCCATGCCACGCGGGCTGGGGCCTCCCCTCCCTGCCAATGTCTGCTGCTTAATGCCCTTGAGAGCCATGTCCACCTTGATGAACTTCCCATCAAGTTCCTGAAAAGTAATTTTAGAGAGTTGAATTGACCGATCCGTTAAGCCCCATCCCCACGATGTTTTGGACCAATCACGGCCAATCAAATGTGAGACAAAAGCCGACAGGTGTAACGGCATGGGCGGAATCTGAGCCTGGGTCCCATACATAGGCGACTTTTTCTTGCCTTAACTTAAACCCTCTGTTAATTGCTAAATCTTTACGCAAGTAAACACGACAAGCAACATGCAATACCAATGGAGTACCGAAATGTGTGTGAAAGACATTAGCGCTTGATTCAGCCCGTGAACCAACACGCGCGCGTACTCCATTTGTTTGCACTACACTTACTGGTTCTAAATGATGTCACACTTCGGTACTCCATAGGGTTGCAGTTAAAGTCAATCAAGTCCTTATGTCTTTTTTTTATTCGCAACTTACAGTTTCTTTCATCCGGCTGACTGCATCTTTTGCATCACTAGGGTTTTGGTAAGTGATGAATCCGAAACCACGAGACAAACCACTCTCCTTGTCTCTCATCAATAAAACTGCATCGGAAAAATAAAAAAAAATTGAAACAATAATGAAGCAGGTTAACTTGGCGTTCCAGGCCAGAATCCTAGTACGCTAGAGGTGGAATATTTTTTTAAGTTAGGGGATAACCTAAGATTCCCTCCCCCCACAAAAAATGTCCCTCCCCCCCCCACAAAAAATGTCCCTCCCCCCCCCCACAAAAAATGTCCCCCCCCCAAACCCCCCCCCCCCCCCCCAAAAAAAAAGCCCCCCCCCCCCACAAAAAAAATTCTGATCAACTTATTTTCAATGTTTTGGGCCAACCAAAACACTGTATTAAGGTTTTAGGGGCCTACCAAAAGCTGAATTAACCTCGACTCCCTAGGGGAATTTATTAGGATCCTTCCTCATTCTTGCAAATCCCAACACCAACACCATATGGTAAACTGTGTACATAACAGTTGGACTCTGTTTTGGTATGCCTAATCCCACGTAAAGCAAAATCAGTTAAATAGTGCACATCCTAGCAGATCCCAACAAACCCTGGTGTTGGGAGTTTGGCGGGTTGGGGATCGTTAGGTTCAAGTTTCAAAACATGAATTAAGTTAATTCTGTTCCATTTCTAAGAAAATCTCCTACCATCGACAGAGGTTTCAACTGCCGGTCTTGTACTTACCCTGATCAATGGGACCCATTTTGGAAAAAACGTCCCGGAGTTTATCCTCATCTGTTTCGAAGGACAGATTTCCAAGGAAGATCTTGGTGGGGATGTCATGTTCAGCCGCAGGCATCGTGATATTGTGTTCTTAGCTGAAAAGGGAACACATTCATTAATAGTTTGCGTCATTATTTCTGAACAAAATTCTGACAGTTAAAAAGGGTTAAAAAGCCTTATCGAAGTCTCGGGCGCACAACGATTGGGGGATAGAAATTGGGTTAACAAACCCATGTGTGTGCACGCCATTACGTGTTTATGCATTCGGACATTTACAGCAAATTACAATACAGTGGGGAAAACTGTTTGCAGTTACATGCGTTGTAATATCAGGCAGACACTGAGACAGGTTTGCATATGGTTGCCAAGGTGACCGGCGAGTTGGCGCATGGATGAATGCATATTAATGATGAGCAAAATATTAACATGGCTTATTTTGGAAATCCTTTTTCAGCCATTGCAATAAAGTTGGGAGAAAAAAAACATGAATTTTCTGAGAAATATTTCCAACATGTCCAAGATTTCAACAAAATTAATTTAAGTTCAATTTACATTTTCAAAATTGATATTTTGACTCCTTCAATTGTCCTCGACATAGCTGATACACAACCACCATTTTGCATGAACACACTTCATTCTTTTCCCGAATCGACTTCCCCTTAATAAGGGCCTTATTAATTTTTCCACAATTTTTTTTTCACTTCAGTTAATCCCGCACAATGTGTCGGAAATATACGCCCGCCCATTAGTTTCATTACACCTCCCCATAATGACATACAAAACACGTGTGACACATCAGAACCCCACACATCACAGGCATTCGACAGTTCTAACAAAATTCCTTTGTCGTGTGTGGCGTTTTGAAGATAATTCCTCTACAAAAACATACTTTTAAATACGTTTATTTCCTACCCACATTATTGCCTTGAAAACCAGTTATTATAATGAGCCACATATTTCCTTTAACTTACGTTTAAAACAGCAGAAATCCGAGCTTTTCGTCAAGCACTTCGCAGTTCGCTTGCTGTTCAGAAAATTAAAGGACGCCGCACATGCATTAGTTGCGCACGCGCAGGAAGAGGTTTGTTGTGGTGTGTGCGCATGCGCACTATGATTGTCACAAATCTGCTTACAATTAATGAGAAAAGTGGGGATGGTTTTGAGGTCCCAAAACAAACGCCTAAATTAATAAAAAGCAAAATTCTTTTCGATTCGTTCTTTTTGTTTTATTATTTTATCGTACATGATTTACACAACTTATTAAAAAGAATAAAAACAATCAAAGGAAAAACAGTCGATGAAAAGTTTTATATGGCCTATCTCAAAACATATTGTGATTTGCTATGATAAAAGTTTAGAATTTGCAGGTGTTTTTATTTTAATTATATCCCCGACAAAAAATCTTTAATAAAAGTCGAAATGTTTTACTTTTAGATTAGATACACATACGAAATGTAAAATTAGTTAAGTAAAATTAATAATTCAAACTACATGAATTTAAAAATAAATGGTTTAAAGGTGTTTTATTTGTTCCTGTTAATAAGCGACAAAAGAGTGAATGGTCTAATGTAAAACGAAAAAGGTGAAAAACACATTCATGTGTCCTTGACACATAATTGAGTACCAATAAATACGGTTTGTTGATGTATTATTTTGCATTAGGTTGATCACTAGATTACACACATGTTCCTGTAGGCCATATCTTATAGGCCATCGAAACTTTGACAGGACCACCGCTATATTTCAACAAAATAATGTTGCTGTCATCATTGTTTGTGAATTTCAACAAACCTTCTGGATGAGTTGCTTAGGGTCATTTTTTTGCAAAATTGTGCAATTTGTGGTACATTTATTCATTGTAGTTCGATGATAATGAGCATTTACATATATTTTTTTTACAAGACTTCTTATTGTATGTAGACTAGAGTTTAATGTCCTTTCTTGTGAAGCACCCTGGGTAACCACTTGAGGAACTTGAAGATTTTGATCAATTTCTTCTTCTTGCCAGGAATTTCCCGCTCTTTTGGTGTCGTCTGCTCTGGCGTAATTGGCTCGGGAATCAAGGCGCCATTGTCGATCCTCACGCGCACGGACGGTTTTGATTGGCTGTCCAAATCCACCTCGCCTTCGCTGACTGGCCAGATGTTTTTGACGTCACGGGCATGGCGCCTTCCCGACTTGTACAGGGACAAGTAGATTAGTGTCAGCTTCAGTTTGAGGTGGAGCTTGCTCTTCGTGTTGAAAACTGTGTCTTCAAAGTCCCCTCGGTACACCTGTCAGGAAACAGACGAAAATAAGTTTCAGAAGCTCAAAATAAACGGATAATGGATTTTAAACTGGTTATCAGTTTTGTTTGATATTGGGTTTTTTTCAGTCAGACTCTATGAACATTAGAGAAATACACTGCAAGACATGCCGTGTGGGGTGAATTACCTTGAGAATGTGAAGCGCCTTGATAACGAGGTTGAACTTCAGGTCGTCGAGGTCGTCTGCAATTTCACTTAGGTCCACTTTTACCTCCTGAAAGTTAAAGAGAAAAAAAATTAATGAATACTATCGACAACTATTATGTAGAAGCCTTATTTTGCTAATGGATTTAGATTAATTATGTACTCGACTTGGATATTTCTTATGATGTGATTTTTTTAAAAATAATTATGTTTCCATTTGCGAAGTGCGATTTAGTCGGGGCAGACTGGCTTCAATTAATAATGAAAACGCATTGAACTCTTGGGACTTTTTGTTCTTCTTTTCACTTTTGTTCTTCTTTTCACTTTTGTTCTTCCCCTTGGCAGCCCTGCACTGTCCACGTTCTGTCTTTCGTGTGTAGTGTTTACTTGGTTTCTTATTGTTTGTTTATCTTTTTGTTTTAATTTCAATTTTTTTGTATCTATTGTAATTGAGTGTATATAATTATGTCCATCTGCCGAATAAAATATTAAAAATATTATTATAAAAGGAAATTGCTGTCTTACCTTCAGAATTACGATGGCTTTGAGAAGAAGGGTAAGTTTGAGTTTAGCTACCACGTGACCAGCAAACATCGATGTCAGTGGTTTATCCTGGAAAGGGAAAAAAAGAAGGATGATTATCACTGCCAAATGACCTCAATGTGGCTGCAGAGCTTTTGAAAATGTAATTGGTCAAATCGCTTTTAAAATCTGCAAGTTTGTAGTCATCAATTAGGGTCTACAGAAAAGAGGCAATGACTATTAAAGTTGCTCTTCACCGCCAAACTTTGGGGGAAGTGATTAGGCTTTGAGGGACTAAGTACGAGAAGTGGTCAACTTGAACTTACTTCCAACAGTGAAATAGCCTTCAATATCAGTCGCACTTTGAGTTCGTCGGTCATGTCATCCCAGCCGGGCAGTAGAGTCCTTACGTAGTCCGGATCCTCAAAGTCCAGCGTCTGGAAAAGAGAATAAATTGACAGTTACAATAAATTAAAGATTATGTTACTTGTCTTGTTAGTTTATCTAACGGTGAGCTCAGCTCACTATCCTCAGATCTAACTGAAATAATAGCCATATAAACGGGTTTGATGTGTGCTTTTTGCTTAATACATTTTGATTTTTCTGTGCACTGGCATCAATTCCGTTTGTTCGTCTGACCATCCATTTGTGTCTGTTGGTTTAGGCATTTGTCTGTGTCTCTTTACCTTTAATATATCCAGAGCCTTGAGAATGAGTTTAAGCTTGAGGTCATCGGTCATGTGATCGGGGAACATTCCGCCGACCATTCCATCTTCATCTGGTGTCAACTGAGAGGGAAAACATTTTAAAATGGTGAAGATATGAAAAATGAAATGCAACAATAAAACAATTTTTATTTTCTCAGCATGTGCTTCATTATTAGCTAACAACGACAGGTCATCCGTATTTTTTTCTGCCGAAATGATAAATTAAAGATGTCTGACTGAATGAGCTTTTGAGAAACGTTAAAATCTTCTTCATTTCCAAATGAGAAATCGTAATTGATGGAATGCCCCAAAACCCCCTTTAATTGAGAATGGAAGAACCATTGACTATTGAGTTGATAGTTTCATTCGAGTGATACCGTTCGCTCGTTGCAGGGCGGGGCTACGAGCGAAGTGATACCGTACTTTAATGGTGAAGCGAAAATAAAAGGGAGTTAAGAATTCGAATCACTTTTTAATGAGATATCTTTGAAAGCAGGGAGGACAATTAACAACGGTGGGTTTTTGTTTTGGGGGAAAATGACAATGGAAATATTCTTACTGTGGGATCTCCACCAGGAAGCAGGGCGCCCTCTGTGGCATTCACGGAGTCGACATCTCCCTTGTTCTTCCAACCAAAGAGATCGGTGAAGAACATCATGCAGCCTCCGGTGACGATGAAGACAGCTACAGCGACGACGACAACCAGGAGAATAATCTTGACACTCATTTTCAAGATCGTGTTTGGCTTATCGGAAAACTGACTGGATGATTGTGTCACTTAACAAATTATATAGTACTGGGAATGAAGTATAGAGTTTTGAACGATTTCGATTGTCTTTCGGCAGAGTTGGTATAAAGTTTTGGAACTTTTGACGATGTTGGAAAGTGCTCCAGTTGAGCTCTGGATGACGGAGGAGTTATCAAGCTGGTTGAATTTTGACAGAAGAGACTCCGATATTTATAGGATTTTTTAGATTCAATGGATCAAATAGGGTAACGGAAAGGAAAGTTATGACTAGGAATTTGGGGCACTCCTTGCTTACCGAGCCGATTATGACGCAGGGTTTCCCTGCAGACATTTCCTGGGTTAGGTTTGTGCAACTCATACACGTAGAATACGAACAGGGTGATTCGGGTATATTAATAGGAATGTAGCAGTTATGTTTTGTATACACTTTCAACAGGGATGATATGTCGCTTCTGTTTATCTCTGTAGGGTGGGGTGCGTGGGTGGGTATACGGTTGAAGAGGTAAGGATAGGCCCCTGGTTTTAGACCTCGATGATTCAATGATGACACTAAAGCAGAGAAGATTACAATGTAACCATTTATTAAAACCCTCCTGCTATTTAAGAGGTCACAAACGGTCAAAATGTCCTTCCTCACCCCCTGGCATACTGTTAACAAACCAATGGGGGAGGGGTGGTGGTGGTGGTGTGGTGGTGAGGATGGGGTTATGGTGGGTGACATGGGGGTGCGGTGGGCCTGGGGAGGGTTAACCCCCAATGCCAGGATAGAACAACAGTGTTCACGTGTCCCCCACACGTGCGGTGCTCATTGAGTGTGCCTTGTCTAAAGCCTCACCTAAAAAAAAAATGGTTTCCCCATCTCAAGACTCTGATGGGGAAGAGGCCGAAGAGGGACACGAGAGGCATAGACTTCAATCAGGGGCGTGCCCCCGGCGCCCCCTTTCAGTAACGCCACTGTGTTTTGGGGTGATTTGGGGGTTTGGGGTTGGGGTACTATAAAGACAACCCAATGACGTGCCAAGTGCAGACATTACGTCACCCTTGCACGGGAATTAGTCCTGAACCTTCACGTACCCTTGACCAGTGCAGTGGCCAAAAAAAAGAGGAACAATCCCATATCACCATGTTTACTTAGTCCAGTCAGGCTGTTAATTCCATGCGAGTGTTTCTATAACAGCTTGAAGCGACGGTAATAGTGAGTGTCGAGTGACGATTAAGTTCTATGGATGGGAAAGTCAGGAAGTGCGTGTACTATTATTGCACGGAAGTTGCAGGAATGGCAGCAATTGGGCCAAGCTGTGGTCATACCTTGTAATAGATTTTGACTATTATTTGCTAGATTTTCCTATCTTTGTCAGATGTCCTTGATATGAGAGCCAAGTTAAGTTTTCCGACTCTTTATGAAATAGCCGATTGTGAGAGAAAGAAAAAAGAGAAACGTGTAAAAACTGTTGGTCAAGTTTTGGCTCACAACTGCCCAGCACAAAACACAACTGCATAATAGGTTTAGTTTGTCATTTTTGTTATGACAAACCAGCCTACTCAAGAAAAGTGCATTTCTCGGGTCCGGCTCTGCGGAAGTCTGCTCCGAAGTCCAAAGTCAACTCGGCAAGGAAGTACGGTGTTGGTTCCCATGGAACTGTCACAACACTCTTGGTGTCTGATGTCCGAGGATGGGCCATGAAATGACAAAAAACACCGGAATTGCATGACAATTGGGACCATCCCTCCAAGTGTGGGCATGGACTATGCAAACAAAAATAATGCATTTATTTACATTCAAAACAATGCCGATTTGAGAGAATCTGGGAAATGCATATAAAGGCGTCACTCGACCACACATCATCATTCAAACCATCACTTCCATACTCCAACTTCAAGAGCACCTGCATCCTTTCCAGTGCTGAGAAGTTTCGAGAATTTCCGAGAATTTCCGAGACGCGAGTTGATGACAACCATGAAGTGCTCGTCCTTCTTCTCAGGGCTATTGCTGATAGCCTCCTTTGCTTGCCTCATTTGGGCGTCCCCGGCATCGAGGCAGCCACAAGAACTGAGCCAGACTGACATTGTTGTCCTGGCGAATAAGCTGGTAAGTTTTTTTCTCAAAGTGTATCAAGTTTCAAAAATTCAAACTGTTACTTTACTGGCTTCGCTTAGAATGCTAATCAAGCACTTATTCGATGAAGATGACGTGTTTCATGACGTTTACACTCCGTGTTTTGAAGTTAATTTTCAAGTCACATGATTGATTGGTATCCAAAGAAATTCTGCTTACGTATTCACAAACAACAAAAAAATTCGAATTAGAAGTGTTTTTGAGACACAGTTGAAATTCAGTGCGCAATGCACTGTCCTTTTCGTAAAAAATACAGTTTTCATCTAAAATTCGTTAGTGGTGGATATAGGCCTATCTTGAATAGCATTCAACCCACTCATCTCGGCAAAACGCAAAGCCGTTTGCTTAATATTTTCAGAAAACATGTTTTTGTGGTGGAATAAATTTGGCCAGTCTATTATAGCTTTTGATAGACGAGAAGATAAGAATTGTGATTCTGGCGACTTGTTATTTTTCCTAATTGTTTTTTTTTCTTTCTTTTTAGCCATGGGAATTGCGCGTTCTGTACGATCTCATCATCGACCTTAACACCGACGACATCCGCAAGGAAAACTACATCTGGCATGCCTTTGAGCTCCTCAAGTTCAAGAAGTACCAGGCCTACATCTGGTTCTACGACTGGCTGGTCTACCAGAGCGGTTACGACGGGTATGGTCCCGGTAGGCACACACCGCGCCACGGTGGGCACACTCCGCGGGGCGGACACGGCGGACGGACCCGTGGGCACGGCCACGGCGGGCCTGGTAGACGCACGCCTGGTCACGGCGGGCCTGGACGGCATACACCTCGCGGTGGTAGGCACCACCACGGAAGGCATTAGGAACAGCGGGAAAAATGGAATGATGGTGATCTTGGAAGGAGACAGGCATCGCTAAAGATGCCGATTTAAACTTATTTTAGATCTGAAGCATAGGCCTATTCCAATCATTGTTCAATACATTTATGATATCACTGACGACAAATTAACAGACCTTATTTGGAAGATAAATTTTAGAAAACTTGTAAATAGACATTGCTTGTGCACGATATCGAGTAAATTTTCAAGAAAATTTTTCTGATAACCAAAATTTGACCCAAGTTTCTCTATTTCTTTTTTAAACTGGAATCATCATCAACGGTTGTATCTTTATATCCAATTATGGTAGCTGTATAGACATTGACGTGCATCTTAGCATTGACAAAATTATATCAGTTATAAACATTATTGTCGCAACTTTAAATAATGACCAAACTTGCAGAGATTCCTAGAAACTACAGATCCAAAAGAAGAGAAGCTATGTTTGTATTTTCAGTCACAAATTCAGTAATAAATAAGAATACACAATTAAACCTACTGTGTTTGCATTTATTTTCAACACCTGCATGTATGTACTTTGGTACTTTTTAAAGTTTTAAGTAAATGACAAAGTACAAATATTCATAATTTCATTTGTCAGAAGAACAGTCATACATAAACAAAACATTTGTTTCCAAGTTGATTACTTATCATTCGATTCAAGCTTACCCTGACAAATTGCAGAAACCATTAAAAAAAACCGTGATAACTTTTAGAACAATGGGGGAAAGGATGGTTGGAGGAATTAAAGAGAACGACTTTGGGAAGTGAAAAACACACCCTTAATATTGCAGCTGTTTCCTATATTAAATAAATGGCCAATTTGTATGTGTTTGTAGGGAAAAAGTGCTGTTAGTTTTGCTTAGTATCCGCTTGTATAATGTTACTAAACCCTAACTCTCCTCAATCCTCCAAAATCCCTTTGCTGGTTTTGGATGATTTTAGAGGATTGAGGATGAATGGCAAAGATGTATCGCTTTTTTGTGGAGGATGCATTACGTCAAGCCAGTAGGCCATACCCTGCGTTGGTTATACTCAGCCATGCACAAATAAGCCCAGCGTTTCTCTCGTATTTCATCCGCACTGCTTCTAAACACCATTTGCACTGCCTCAAACCATAGCAGTAATTGGCAGAGGATTTTGGAGGATTGAGGCAGTGGTCACCCTCCATAGACTAAATTGAAGAAAAAAACGATGATTTTGGAGGATTGAGGCTGAATCCAATTTTTTCTTGGTGGCAATTTGAAGTTTTTTTGCAGGATTGAGGTTGCATCCTAGCCAGAGGGCCTAGGGACTAATCCAGTAGCCAGGTAGCACTGAAATTAATGCAGTCATAAGCTGATCCTTAATCCCAACATAATCCCATTCTTAATCCTTGATGTGCTCAAACAGCTCAGGATGGTAGGATAAGGATTCCTCCTCTTCTTATACTCCATCTTTAGTCTTCCAGCTTGAGATAACCTTGAAATGAATGCAGTCTTAATCTGATCTTAAATCCCATTTTTAATCCCATTATAATCCCATTCTTGATGCGTTTAAATGGCTCAGGAAGATCCGGCTCTCTTCTTCCTCTTGAGTCCTCCAGCTTTAACCTTGAAATGAATGCATTCTTAATCTAATCGTTAATCTCATTGAAATCCCCTTAATCGCCAATGTGCTCAAATGGCTCAAGAGATTCAGGTCCTGTCTCTCTGCATCATCTTGGGTCCTCCACCTCAAGTTAATCTTGAAACAAATGTAGACTTAATCTGATCCTTAATCCCATTCAAATCCCCTTCTTAGCCCATCTTAATCCTCAATGTACTCAAACGGCTCAGGAGGTTCAGGCTCTTCCTCTTCTTCCTCCATCTTGGGTCCTCCAGCTGAAGATGTAAACCAAGAAACAAGACGTTTTCAGTCAGAAAACAAAACTCAACACACTGAAACGAACTTCAGTAAATATTCATTATCAACATCTACAAAAAATATTCAAATCAAAAAATTGTATGGAGACATTAAGTACAACAAAACATTAACTTGAGGATCGTGATATAACTGTCAATTATTTTGTTTACCCTTCCTCGAACCCCTTCGACTGTTTATTTGATAATTAACTGACCTGGGACATTGAGTACAATTTCCTCTGGTTCATCTTTTGCCGTGTCCTTCATCATAATGATGCCACCGTCAGAGAGCTGAAACAAACAGATTAACACACGTCATCGCCAATTAGTAATTGGCAATTGTATTTCGATAATACTGATAGCGCTCTATAAACCATTGTCATGTTGCGCTCATCTTGATTTTTCGTATTCAAATCAACGTAACCAAAGCGAGGCTGGAAGGAAAACAGTCTGGTGCCTTTTTGCACAAAAACATTATCATTAAGTATTGGTATTGGATACAGGGAACATGACTGAAATGGTGGCAGCATGATAAAGGTCTATAGCAAACACTTATTCGGTCAAGGAGATCACAAAAACATTCAAATCACAAGTCTCATCACAATTAAATCACAAGTCAGTCACAAGTCAATCTCACTTTGTCGCACGTCAAATCACACGTCAATCCAGAGTAAAAGAACAAGTCATCACAAAGTCCAATCACAAGCAAACCGAGGATGAATAACAAAGGTATGCCTTTAATTATCACACTTCATTTGAATTGCTTGCGAGTTGATTTCGGACTAAATGACTTGCGACTGACTTGTGATTTTTTGTGTCACTTATGATTGACTTGTGATTGTTTGTGATTTCTTATGATGGACTTGTGATTGTGATGACTTGTGACTGACTTCACTTCAACCCTTGTCCCACTAACCTGTTTGACAGGCACATATCTGGCGCCCTCTACTGTGGACAACACCTTGAGCTGAGGGACCATGATTCTCGCCGGCGAGGCGAGAATCTCGAAGGGGGGTTCCACTTTCTTTTCTTTCTTCTCCTCAGTTTCCCCTTCCTTGCTCGTCGATGTCTCTTCGGTTTTATCCTTGGAGTCTTTCTCGATTTCTTTGGATTCCTTTTTCTCCTTCTTGTTTTCCTTTTCCTTCTTGTCCTTGTCTGTATCTTTTTCTTCTTCTTTGATTGGCTCATCCTGAAAAAGCCGAAACGTTTTTTTTTTTTTTAAATCAATGGTCAATTTTCAACAAGAGGGAAATATGTTAAACCTTTAGAAAAATGTCTAATTGCGGTTTATTTCAGTCAAATATGAATTTAATTGCAATGTTACATCTGGGTAGGCAGAAGCACTTTATAGCAGCAAAGTGTCTATCCCAAGGACACACAAACACCACAAACCCCAGGCTGAAATTGAGCCCACAATCTGAAACAAAAATTAACTGTACTACATTGTATTACATTGTATCTATTGCATAGTGAATCTTAAAGAGGTTGTGGAATGCTCGAAAACATTTCCGTCATTTTTCGTGTATATGTAGCCTAAGGTGTGATGAAATAAAAACGACTATTGCGTCTGTCATGAAATGAGTACAAAATGTACTTTTGAGAGCTGTTTTTCAGGTCCTGTTTCGACCCGAACGTGCAATTTTTGTAAAAGTCGTCATTGGGGGCAGCAAACAAACCATAGTAAATCGTGACGTAATGAACAGGACTCGTTTATACTACGCTGCATCGGGAGTCCTGTTTATTACGTCGAAAATCATACAGTGCTGTGCTGGTTTGGGGCGGTACAGAGAGTAACAGGCAGGGCAGTTTAGGGCAGTACAGGGACTATTTAGGGGTACATACCACTTCCATTTTGGATTCCGCTTCCTTTCGTTCCCGTTTCTTGGCCTTTGCCGTGATGGACAGGACAGCGGTGGCCACTTTTTCCTTCTCCTTTTCCTTGGGCGTTTCCAGAGGGGGTGTGTACGCATACATAGACGGCTTGGCATTGGAACGGATCTGCAGGACTGGCATCTAATGAGGGAAAACAAATTGGGAAACCACTTGTCCATGTTCATTGATATTATCTAAAAAAACCTGGGTAGGTTTCTGGATTAAGTCAGGGATTTCCATTCAATTTAAATTTCAATAACATTTATTTCCATTCCCTGGGTCGGTTTCTGGATTAAGTCAGGGATTTCCATTCAATTTAAATTTCAATAACATTTATTTCCATTCAAAGCAAAACATCAAATAACCATGAAAACATGAAGTCATTGTTTTAAATAAAGGCAACGTTATTCGGGAATGTATCGGACAGATTCCCATTAGTTCATTTTATAAGAAAACAATTAGGTTATTTTTGAAGTTGGTCAAGATTTAATGACCAAAATAAAGCTCTTGGTATGTGTCATTGATATTTCTGAGAATGAATGACAAACTAGTATTTGAAATTGAGAACAAATCATTCCCGTTGGTCCATTTAATGAGGGCAAAGTGAGATATTTATAAAGTTCATCAAGGATTAAATGACCAGAACTCCCTTGGTACTGTATTTGGATAAACTATTTTTACTGTGGCCTCGTGGTTAAGGGCACTGATTTGTGGTCTGCGGGTAAAGCTGCAGGTTGTGGGTTCGAGTCCTGGCAGGGTCATGGTGCGTGTGCCCTTGGGCAAGGCACTTTGTCACTCATTGCTTCTCTCCACCCAGGAGTAAATGGGTACCTGTAGGCAGAGATGGTTATTGTGATTGAATTAGCTTCCTTGCGCCTAACAGGCTGCATCGAGCTGTATACTCCCCAGGGAGCTGAGATGGTATTTGGAATGTTTCATGTAATAAAGGGGTAATAATGATGTAGCGCCTTGAGCACCAGTCCTGGTGGATACGTGCGCTTTATAAATATCCACTATTATTATTATTATTATTATCAACAATAATTTAATATAGCTCTATGGACTGGAATGACTTGCGATGGATTTGTGATGGACTTATGTTGAACTTGTGACAGGCTTGTGATGAGCTTGTGATGGACTTATGTTGAACTTGTGACAGGTTTGTGATGGACTTATGTTGAACTTGTGACAGGTTTGTGATGGGCTTGTGATGGACTTATGTTGAACTTGTGACAGGTTTGTGATGGGCTTGTGATGGACTTATGTTGAACTTGTGACAGGTTTGTGATGGGCTTGTGATGGACTTAAGTTGAACTTGTGACAGGTTTGTGATGGGCTTATGTTGAACTTGTGACAGGTTTGTGATGGACTTATGTTGAACTTGTGACAGGTTTGTGATGGGCTTGTGATGGACTTATGTTGAACTTGTGACAGGTTTGTGATGGGCTTGTGATGGACTTAAGTTGAACTTGTGACAGGTTTGTGATGGGCTTATGTTGAACTTGTGACAGGTTTGTGATGGACTTATGTTGAACTTGTGACAGGCTTGTGATGGGCTTGGGATGGACTTATGTTGAACTTGTGACAGGTACGTGATGGTTTTGCGATTGACAACGCTGGGGTTTATGCTCACCTTCAAGTCCGCGTTGAGTCCGACGACCGCAGCCGGGGTGAAGGAGAGAGACAGGAAATGGGCCAGGGGGAACCAGTACCAGAAATGAATGAAGACGAGCACGCCCACGACAGACGACATGTGGGTGTGGCCTGAGGCAGACTGCATACTGATGGTCATGTTACGCCCACCTGTCAATCAAAAGACGGGTTAGTGGGGATGCTGGAGAAACTGGACTGACGGGTAAAGCGACTGACGATATAAGTCAGCCCATGCCAAAATCAGGTACTTTTCAACCAATTATTATTTGTACACTTCACCTGTTTGTCTTTAACCTGTACTACATTGTACTTGTATCACACTTTACTAGTTTGTATTTATTGCCAGATGAATCCACATAATCATTCAGTGATGGGGTGGTCTACATGTATGGCGACACAGGTAGGCAAGTTACAGGTAGGGCATTTTGGGGTGGTATGGCAACTGTCGGGCTCCACAAAAAAAAAAAAAAAATCCCCCATTTTTCCATTCCCCCCCCCCTCTATTTTTTCCCCTCCCATTACTTTGATTCCATGAACAGACTGGTTTTGCTATGGGGCATCACAAATTCGTGTACTTTTTTCTGAATTGAAATCAACAACTCACATGCACCCGTGCTCAATGACCAGACAGAAAGAAATGACAAATAGACTGACAAACATCCATTTCAACCTTGCAACCCTCCCCCCATGTGCATATAATACTAATTAAAAGACATCCTTGTCCTCTCACTTTCCTAGACAAATCAAACACCTCCCCCTCCAAATCATGAAAACAGCCTTTCCCAAGCCCTACAAAACACCATTAAAACGACACGCTGGAAGGCCGTAGCCACGGCAACATTACACTAACGACTTGCTGGCCAAACACATTTTGTTTGATCACGCAGGAAATAATACCCAGCTCCTTGGAGAGATGTCCAAAATTTGTAATTATCATTCTCAACTATCATCATGATTACAAAATATTTCTTTCCGTAAAGAGGTTTTTCTCCCTTCCACATCTTTGGGGAGGGGGGGGGGAGGTGTCATGGAGATGCTAAGCACAGATATCTGCTCAGCACAGAATACTGGCTAAAATGGGTACCAGCCAAAATGTCATGGGATGTACATTAAGCTGGAGACTGGTTCCCACCTTTTTAATGCTTAGCACATAAATTTGTTAAACAGTAATATTCTGCGTAACAGCTCAATGACATTGGGCCGAGGCTCAAATCCCACACAAGTGAGTTAGTGAATTTTATGTGTCATCTGGGGTCAAGTAACTTTAATTTAAAGGTTCGTTGTTGTTTTTACAGTCTTATAACTATAGAACTTCTGGACCAATTGATCTCAAACTTGGCAGTTATGTAGACAGGGAAGTGTTATAGTATTTCCTGTTTCTTGCTGATTTCGTCAGTTTGTCGATTTTCCCAGGAATAGCATTCAAGCTTTTCCTCCCACCTCTAAAATCAAACATTTCTTCATTCTCTACTCTCTTTCGTTTCTTCATGCCTCCAAGCTACAGTGCTCCTGTATTTTTGAGGAACTCTTTGCTTGATTGCCAGGGAAAAAAATGCAAAAAGAAAAATTAAATGAATAGAAAACAAATGATCTCACCTGCATCAATTATACCCTGGGCTAGGATGGCTCCAAACTTGGCCATAACGTCTTCGTGTTTGTCGCCGATAGTCTTGGTATATAAATTACGGAATGTGGTCACCTGCAGAAAAATATGATAAAATATTAAGATTGCTCTGCTTGTGTAACATTATTTTAATTTAATATTGATTTATTTATTGTTTCGTTAGTTTGCGCTAGTTATTTTAAGGGAAGTGTGGGGTTGGTTTCGGCGACATTTAAATTCTGAAGTTGCTTTTGTTTGTACTAAAAAAAATCAAGCTGGTCTTTAACAACCCAACATACACAAGTGTTTAAGTGAAACCCTTTCAGAAAATGTCTTTAAAACCTTCTTGAAAATGCCCAAATCCACCACTGTGCAGTAGTTCAATGACACTTAAACCTAAACCCTCTGAAATCCTACAGAATCCACCAGATTTGGAGGATTTGTTGGATAGAGGGACGTACAGCCCAATAGGAATTACGTTGCACAGGACTTGATACCCCTTGAAAGCAAAAGTATGCAAAATTGAAAGTGGAGGGTTTTTGAGGATTCAGGCAGTTTTCTATCAACAAACACCCAGGCAGTTTTGTGTTGTTCCATCAATCAATCAATCAATCAATCAATCAATTAAGAAGATGCTGCAGGTTGACTTTACCTTGGGGCAGGTGTTCTCATTGTGTTGGATGAGCACCATGGCTGAGGCGATCAGTGCGCCTTGTCGGACGTAGGTGACAGAATCGCTGATCATCGGCTCCAAGAGACTCAAAACCTCCTAACAGAAATCAATCACAAAAATCAATACCGATCAATAACATAATAAATTATCGATCAACCAAATAATTAATCAATTGCCTGACATAGGTGACTGAATCTCCTCATGGGTAGAATCAATCCCAAAAATGATCGAGACTGACCAACATATACATGTAGTGTACAGTCATCAATAAGCAATAAATAGGATACCGTGGTGAAGGAAAATGGGTCTCAAAACTACCTCGGACTAACAAAATTTGGAAGGCCAATATTTAGGGATGATCTTTTGATTCTCATGTCGGGGAATTAGTGGGTCATTTCATAAATTTGGTTTCCAATTTTTGTGTGTCCCTGTTACATCTGACATGTATATAACATTTTGTTAAAATTCAGGACAAAAAGCCTTCTATCTCCAAGGGTGATATGTAAAGCAAAGTACCTGCCAACAAATACGAAATATTGTGAAGTAAATTTAATGATACTTGCATGGCAACATACACAGGTCATGTGTAACAAGGACACACACAAAAATGTCCCACTTTTGGACCCCACAATTACGGAATGACTCGAACTTTTCTTCAGGAAAACAAAAGAATTCATCATTTCAAAAATGTAGATGTCGCCAGCAGAACACATTCCACAGATAATGAATACTCGTACCTTATTTCCTGTCCCGGCACATGAGATTCCTAGCGCCATGGCAGCCCCGTACCGGACGTGGGGGTTGTAGCTCTCCGACAGGAGGGACACGACGCTGGGGACCTGCTCTGGAGTCCTGCGACACAGAAGCGAAAAAATGGAGGGATTGTAATTTGACTGAGAGGGATGGCATGTGATTACTTCTCACCCTTCAAGATTAATTTCAATAAATATATTCAAGATTTTCAGTAAACAGCACTTCATGAAAACAACATTCCCTGTTTTCACTTTCCCTGATATTTCTCGGAGAAATTTCCAAAGTTCCTCGGGAAATATATTCACTTCAATGAGGTTGCTGGGAAGTCAAGAAGTGGTTGCAACAAAGCATAGAGGTACTGACATGTATCAACACGGCATAAACACTCAAAAGCCACCATAGCCAGTCAGTTACTGGACACAACTTGGACATGTAGCACAATTATGACGCCAAACTGATGAAAACCTTTCCCTTCTGGGTCACTTCAAATTCTCTGAGTTTTCCCTGATTCGTTGTGTTTTTCCCAAGTGAAAGAATACGTACATGTACATGTATGCAGATTGTTCCACTTTTTTCCAGCAAAGCGGAGGACTTTTGTTTTAGGGATTAAAAGGTTCTCAGCTAACATGTCCAGGATTTAGTGTAAATAAGATATGATAGGAGAAAGAGTGGGGTTCAGGTTCGGCTGGGAGGTTTTGGGTAGGAGTCGGAGGCAAAAAGTGTGACTGAGGTGTGTATACTTTGTATGCGTTTATAAAAGCCTCTTTTACAATGTAAGTGTTTTTTTTTGGCTGGTCAGCTGGATGTGTGAATGACCTGGGCATGATGAAAAGGTCTCTCGGTCACAGTCAGGGTTTGATATGAGATCAAGGCTGGATGAAGATTATAAAACACCAGAGTGAAATAACGTCCTTTTTTTTACTGGTAAGTATTCCTGGAAATGAAATATTGAAGTGTTTATGGAAATATACCAGTTAAGCACAGCTATATTTTACTGGTACATATTTAACCCTAATCTCACCTAAAGCCACAACATACTACTAGTAATAAACTGTAGTTTGCAGTACTTCAGCATATAATTGGGCACAGCACTCATAGTATTTTCTAGTATTTGGGTCGAAATGAACTCTTTGGGGTTAGGGTTAAGCTGAGCTGAAGTGATTTTTGTTATACTGGTACATATTCTTGCCACTTTAACACAATATTTATGATGTTTTTTCAAAAGTTATAGGAAAGTGTGGTCTAGATAAATTTTCGCTAGAATGATTTTTGAAGGGGAGAATTTTATTTCTTGCAGAGCGCCTTGACAGCAAAAAAACAAATGCAATTCAGGAAAAAAAAATAACCTTTTGCTAACATCCTTGCTTGGAACAAGCCTGCACACACTGCATCATTCTTTTAATTCTATAAATGAATATGAATAGATGTTCATTAAATGTACCGGCAGCTGAAACTTAAACTGTGCCTTTGCTAATAAAAACCTGTTGAAATAACTAACTGAAGTCAGAAGAATGCTTGTTAAAGAGCCAACCCAAACAACCCAAGTCACTACTCATTTGAACGAGTGCAAATGACGTCAAACACTGACCAAATTGTTTTGGAAGAAAACAAATGAAACTAATGAGGACAAAGACAATGTGACAATTGGCGTTTACACAATCTAACGATGCTAGAATTACACAACAATGGCTTAATTAGACGGAGCTTAATAATGAAGCTGGAATACGTCAGGTTTTTTTATTACGTCACGTTCACAGCGAAGGGGAAAGATCCGTTTGTGGTTCATTAACCTGGTGAATCGTAGAGAATTGCCTAACGAGTACAGGATTGCGCCTAAACATGGCCACAATGGACAGGTTGCCACAATGGGCGACAAAATTGGACATGCATGTAGCAAACATATGCAGACTTTCTCAATTAATCAGGGGGCGGGGGAGGGGGGAGGGGGAAGATGAAAAAAACCCACTTTAGCCTGAACACTTTGCAATTGATGTTGAAGCTTGGCCTATTGTTGTACAATTTAGGCTTCAGTGCACACCCTGGAGTAAATCAAATTAGGTTTTGCCCTTCACCAACGTTTAAACACTGTATACTCAGTGTGTTACCTCCCGAGTAAAAGTTGGAAAAAATCACTCGGGTGGGACTCGAACCCACGACCTCCTGCTTTCCAGTGCAGATGTCTTACCACTCGACCACCGAGCTAACGGGATCGGTTGGCTGGTTCGAATCTGATGTACAAAGCAGCGGGTATTGCATAAACTATTTTAAGATGGAATTTTGCATTGGGGTGATATAAATCATATTAGGTTTTGCCCTTCACCGACCTTTAAACACTGTATACTCAGTGTGTTACGTCAGTTTTAAACGCTTTACACCCTGGAGTATTGAAACATATGAGGTTTCGGCAAGAAGTAATCGTACAAATACTGTTAAAATCACTCTTGTGAATCCGTTTTTGTGGCCTTTGGCTGTATATCAGAAGTTTGCTGGGAAATTTTGCCTTTTGCAAATTTCGACATTTTCTGCAAACTAAACCCGGCTTTGAAGGGGTTCAGATCCAGAAAAAAAGGATTTTGAATACAACACCAATAATGGGTTTATGTAGATGATGGTGTTAATGTGCCAGAAAATACCTACGCGTTTAAAGTCAGGTCGCTAGACTAGGACCCTACATAATTCCGACATCATGTACGCAGGGTGTAAGCTATACCAGGGACCAGCCGTCAGTGATGAATGGACATCACCATAACAGCCTTCTCCCCAGACCTAATTATTTGGGTAATTATCAGAAGGCCTTTAGAACTTCTACACCTGCCCCTCCAGAACTAATTACAATATGTTTTGTCTTGTACATGTAGGTCTGTTAATCATTAAAAAAAGTCATCTACAATGAAATCCTCTGCAATCACCACATCATGTTAACTACATCTTCTCAAAGGTCTAGGATCAATTTGAGACGGTGGGAATTCAAAACACTGCCAAAGGGTTGCATGATTCTTGCTCTATGGTTTTTTCTAAAATTGTTTGACTTTGAAAACTGTTTGGCTGTTTCTTTAATTTTTCTTAGCTGAATTAAAAAAAAACTCAATTACTAGATGCATGACTTGTTAATTAGTGATTTCAATGTCATTTTAAAAATGCGAGGTCTTCTAACGTACAAATGGAATTCTTTCCTTTATTTTTTTTTTACAAGAGCCATGGTTTGGCATGTTCAGTATGCAGAATAATTAGGCCTTGCAGTGAATTTACATGTATACTGAGATATTTTCAGTTAATAATTTTAATTACAGGTACATTATGCGCTACACGACTATTATCCAACTCAAGACTCCAGAGAAAGAAGATTTCAACTCCACATCATTTAAGTGTTAAGAGGAAAAAATCCCCGGAGAGATTCTGATTGAAAAAAAAACACATTCAGTAAGTTGTTAATGGCAAAACACCCATGTAGTGAAATCACTAAATTTTTAAAAGTAATGCTGAATTTCTTCAAGAAAAAAATCGACAATTCAATTTTTTTGAACCTCATTTTCAGGTTGACAATTACAAAAACCAGAGCACCGACTTGTCTTTCTGCCGAGATGGACAACGCTCGGGACAAACAAGGGCGGATCCAGGGGGGCCAAAGGGGGCCATGGCCCCCCCACAAAACGAAACCAATTTTTTTTTTATGTGACATCGCAATAAAGGCAGGCAATGAGTACACCACCATCTTTTCCTCAAAAATACATTGGTTAAAGTGGTCAGAAATTGCCTCAGATCGCACCACAGAGCATCTAGAATCCAAAAATTTTTCGGGGCCCTTACATAAAAAAGTGGTTAGCTCGCCAGCACCAAATCCTCCCCTGCAAATCCTAAAAACAAGGCAACAAACGTCCATCCAGGCAGAATCGCCATTCCAAAAAGTAAAACCTCTGTTACCAGAAAACCCAGAGCAAAACAAACAATGGGCAGATGTCCATCTGCAAAACCCATCAATCTCAAGAAAAAGAATAACCTGTTTGAAAGCGGGTGGGAGCTCTACGCTGCCTCCAGGAAAATAAGGGACTCCTATAATTGCCAGATAAATTACACTCCCTTCTTGGACTTGTTACAGATTCTCTGTATGGGTTGAAGTACCCCCACACTCCAGACAAGGCAAAGGGGCATCTGTTTATACTATTCACTTTTATGGGGCAAAGAGGTGATTATTTCTGGTCGCAAGAGGCCCTAGGAGTAACCCTCCCTATCATTGGTGTTTATTTTTGCTGGGAGCGATCTCCTCTCACAAAAAAACCCTGGCCTTGTGGGTGTCTCTCACTGTCCCTCTCTTGGGAATATGTTTCTTTTGTGTGGAGACATTCCTCTGATTGGGGGTAGGGAATGGTGAAGATGCATGTAGTTGCTTCAAGAGCCGAGTTGTGGTGTAACTGTATCATCATGGGTTGTCATGTGTTTGTTTTCCCTCCATATCTCAAGACAACAGGGTGAAATTAATCTAGAAACAACAGGAAACTCCACTGCGCTTGTGAGTATGATCTTGCATCTTCACTTGGTATAACTTGATTTTTCCCCTTCCTAGATGGTTGTAAGTTTCTAACTAACTTCATAGTGAATACTGTCAGTGAAACATGCTTTCTACTATGGTTGGGGCAAAAATGTAACTCACTCCAAACCCACAATTGTATCAAATTTGAATATTTGGGATAAACGAAGGTTCTACAATTGAACATTTCCAAATTATATAAAGCCAGGGCATTAAAGAAACAAAAAACAAAATTACAACAAATTTTGTCTGAGTTTGACACACACTTCATGTTTGAAAGTAGTAAACCAAAGACCTAGTATAAAAACTGTACCTAACGCTACCTGTTTTGAATGAAAAAGACCCTAAGTTGAGTTTTACGGTTATTGTAATTCAAAGAGAACTGCTTTACATGATAATGTGCTGAAGAAGGTTCAGCTGTCACTTATTTCATGGAAATTGATGTCCCTATTTTCGCTATAAAGAATGTGCCACACTGCTATTGCTAATGGGTAAAAACTGTCAAGTGCAAATGTAAACACTACAGTTGTGTTTGTTTTGGGAGTTTATTCAGAAGGGTTTCTGGATGGAAAAGCCAAGGGGGTTTGAGGCATTGGGGACGTCCATAAGGGCATTTGTTTGTCTTGCAAATCATTGAACAAATACTCCTGATATCTTGTGAAGACATGGACTTTGCAAAAGCAAACTAACAAATGTTTTTGCTCCAAGAAGAAACATATTTTTTAATGTTGCATTTTGGAAGACCTAAAAAGAAGACAGTACTAGAGAGAAAGATTGTGGACAGTTATATGGCCTTAAGTCCATATTGTCTGTCGTTAAAAAATTTCTGCATTTTCTGATATTTCAAATATTAAGGCTGCATATTTAAAAGAAAATTGTGTGGAGCTTGATTCGATTTGGAAGTTCAATATTTTTTTATAAAAACTTCTTCAGATGATGGAACAAATGTTAACAATTTGTGAAACAAGTTCCAAGATTTTAGGCTAGATAAAATTGAAAAATTTTAATTTCAAAAATTTCCCTGAAATTTGACCCTCTGGATAAAATTTAAGATTTCAGATCCTGCTTGACAAAAACCAGGCTTGCAACCTTTCCCCAGAGAGACTCGAACCCATAACCTCCTATTTTGGGACCTCCTTTTTTGAAGAAACGAAGAATTGAAGGATTTATCATAACCACACTCAACCGCTGAGCTCATCTGGTTCAGTTGGCACAGTCTTGTACTTAATCATGTTAATGGCAAGCTTCTCCTAATATTGTGACTATGGACAAGAGAAAAGACCGACATGAGCTAAGTCAATATTTTCTTCCTTTCCGCGGTGGGTAAACTGCTGGACCAGACAGTGAACCAACAAACACCCCCTCGCCTGATTTTCTTCCGGCTGCTACACCGACACGTTTCGTAGCGTCGGTCAAGAATTGCCGGTCATTAACGCTATAACTACATCTCGATCGGTCTGCGCTGCACTTAATTAAAGCCTTAAAAACACACACGTACCGTAACACCAAGGACCTTATTCTAATGACCGTTGAAATTGAGGGGAATAACACGATGATTAACGCGACTCACGGCTGTCCGGAAAATCAATATTCTAGACAAAGGGCAAGGATTGTTTCACTCATAGTGAAAATGTTAGTTTACTTTACAAATGAAATCGTTTGTTAACTTTTTTCGGAGAGACATTTTGTTTGATGGAGACTGCGCCATTCATCTTGGGCTTTTGCCAATGTTTCTCTAAAGTTAAAATACTGCAGGGAACCAGTCACATGATTAACAAGAAATACCATGACTTTTTGGCTGGTAACCTGTTTTTTATTGTTGGGTTTTACCCTCTGAAACCATAGCCTCCCTCTCTGGCTGGAATTTCAAAAGGTCAGCCCAGCAGCAGAAACAAACCATTGACTGTTTTTAACAGTTGAGTGCTCCCTGCCCTCATAAAGCAGGATTGACTGGCTGTGATTGTTATAAAACTTGATATAGCTATGCTTTGAGTTTGACTGTGAGATTGATAAGCAAGCTGTGCCTACCAGTCACCCGCTTTTGTCAATTGATGGAATTTGACTGTCTCAGTGAATGATCCGACCGTTGGTGACCTGTTTAAAAGGCATGACAGGGAAGCAGGATTGAATTTTTGACTGTCTGTGACTGATCAAACAAAGGGAGGGTTCACTGACGTAATTTAGAGGCACTGTATACTCAGTAAGCTGGTTCATTTGAAAAGTTTGTCAATTGACTTGTGATGGACCCATAATTTGCGAGGACTTGTAAACTTTGCTCTGTGAATGTCTATGGTGTGCAAGAAGGACACAGAACATAACAGCGTTCACGAGAGGACACATGTCAATAAGTCCCCCCGCTGGCAAGTCATTCTTTTCTTCATATTTGTAATATTTATCGAACAGCGGTCAATGATTTTACCATAGTCATCCCCTTGAGGAGTACATTGCTAATCACAAGCGTTTACGTAGTTCTCCTTGGCCTAGTTCAAGGTGCAACAAAAACTACCATAAATAACCATAACGCATTGTAAATAAAATTCAGTGATCAAGGATATCTTAACAGACAGCTTGTATTTCAAAACACATATCTACTTAGTACGTAAATAACCATAACGCATTGTAAATAAAATTCAGTGATCAAGGATTTCTTAACAGACAGCTTGTATTTCAAAACACATATCTACATAGTACAAGTATGGATAAGAACCGTGGCTAGTTGTAAAGGTACATAAGTGGGCTTATTTGCAGACTTGTTTTGTAAATACATGGCCAGAAAGATGGCAATTTTATACTGACAGCGGTGATGGGGGGGGGAGATTTGACAATGGTGTTGGGAGTAGCCGTGGTTCACCGATGTTCAATTGTCAGGTATGCAGATTTGTAAAAAAAAAAAAATAAAAAAAATTGATATATACATGTACGATTATTTATCTACTACGAGATATGTTTGGGGGTGTCCTTATGCGGAATGCAATCCTGACGTTATGGATATGGTCAACTTATACCTTTTAAATTGCCTTTTCAAAGCTTTTAGGAATTTTTTCTCAAAGCTTTCTCAAAGCTAGTCTGTCTTTGTTGACATTTCTGACTGTGAAATTAATGATGACTCGAGGGAATCTGTGGGCTGACTCCTAGCAGACGTCTGAAGACAAACACTAATACGAATCATCCAGGAAAACATTAGGTGACCTTGATTACTGCTGGGCGTGTAACTCAATTACTCGAGAGTAGTTTATGCATAGCTACTCGTTTTACTCATGGATTAATGTTTCATCTACTCAAGTACTCGTCACCCTAACCTTGATTAAAGAGATTAAAGCAAACAACTCCCCATATTTTGGTAACTTGGAAACTTTCTCAGAAACCATAATTTCTCCCTCCTGATGACAGGCAGAGCATGCTGTCTGAAACCATGAGTTTCCCCCGGTTCTTTTTAGAACCGCATCAACTCACAAACATGGGCATCGCGAGGGGGGGGGGGGGGCAGGGGGGGGGGCACAGAAAAAGAGACGCGAAGACAAAGTGGTGTAAATTTAATAAGTTGGGGGGGGCAAAATGTCCCTGCCCCCCTCTAAAACTGATAAATCGAGAATGTGTTGAGAAATACAAGCATTTTTTGGCAAAACATTTTTTGCCCCCCTCTAGAAAAAATCCTGGCGACGCCCATGCTCACAAATGAGAATTGTTACGTGGTGAAACCGTGAATCTTTATCTTATTTAAAAACGTGATGATGAAAATGGAATTCTATATGTACTACACCATGAAACCAAAATAAATTGAAATTTCATGACCGTAGGCTCCTGTCATGAAAATCAATTCTGAGGAGGTCCTTGTTTCCAACCGCCGACGTTCCGAGGATAATTGGATATTTGCCGTAAAATAAGGGGTCATGGAAAGTGCACTTTGGCTGGACAAGAGTGGAGTACATGGGAAAATTATAGTCATTGGGAAAGAGATGTAAGATTCTCATTTAATATCTCCCAGGCCCCCCCCCCCCAAAAAAAATACCAAATAGAAATCATCCAATTTCGAAAGCAAATTAAACCTGTGCATATTTATGGAAATACATGTATCACGTCCATCATGGACCATCGTGCACTGTTTGTGTGTTATTTATTGTCATTTAAGTACGGTATATTATTTGTTCCTACATTTAAAAAAAAATCTAAAAATCATTGCAATTATCAAATTGTTTCAGCAATTAAAAAACCTAAAAAAACAGACATCTTTTTAAAAACTGACAAAAAAAACAACTGAATTTCAGAGAAATGACAAAAGGGTAGCTTCTGACGAAGACTGATGTGAGACACTAAAATACTATTGTTCTTGGAAATGACAAAGATTGTTGAGACTACAGTGACTTATGAATAATTTATGATGGGAATATAAGCTGAGCACAGATGGGCAGTCCTGAAACAAAGCCAAGTAGTGACCATGAAGTCTGCTGGCCGGCGCTGCAATAGAGCTGTGACGTGTATGGGTAGCTGGACCAATGGCACTGCAGTCCGGGGAATTGTAAACTCATACGGTGCCAGCGTTTGTGATTTTCTGTGGCTGATGAGCGTGTAAAGTCTTGAGTGTCCGGTTGATTACTGTGTATCAACAAACTGCTGACCGCTGGCGCACGCACACAAGAATAGGTCCGGCACACGTAGGATGCTTCACACACTTGCCACTCTGGTGTCAATCTGTGAGGATGCTTTCTTTGGAGTGGAGACAAAGTCAGCTGTAACCATGGAAACAGTTTAATTAGGCGAGACTTCGTCCCTAGATTTTTCCAATGCAGACGAAGAGTTGGCCGTGTGCTGTGATTGAATGACATCCGTTTTAATACTGGACCAGGATTTGTGCGGTTACCTAATCCTCTTTGCGGTTAAGCACATTTGTAAACATTCCGCGCTTCGCTGATAACAAAAAAAAGTTATTCGGACATACAATCATGTGCACATATGAATACATTCATGTGTGTATGAAAAGGTACCAGCACGCTCACATATGGACTGGGTTTGTTGTTTTTTAATTGAAGCAAAAGGATAGCTAATTAGAGAGTTCGCACGTAGAGGCTAATGGTCAATTAAGTTAATTAATGCAGAACCTTGGATGCCAGAACAGTGTTTACTGCATTTACCAAGCTACAGTGGAATGACCAAGACCTCACGACATAGCTGGTGTTGAAAAACTCGACAAATTCTACCAGGAGAATTTCAAAGTTCGATATCGTGCCTGGATTTTTGACTTGTCAAACGACAACTGATTCCAGCTCATCATTGCTCCTTTCACAGTCAACACAGTTTACGCCTACAATGTACTTCTACAATTAGCGATCCGAGAGAATCAACGTTGCGCATCCGTTGACCTTCCGTTGCTGCTTACTCTGTAAACATTTTAAGATGCCAGCACGTACCGGTAGTGTCTCGTCGTCGGGACATTTGTGGAATTAGTAAACTGTTGTATTAACATGGAACTTTTGCCCCAGGCACTGGTGCATCAGGAGAGTCTCTTGACGCGAGAGTTGGTGAGTAATTTGCCTGCGCTTGTAACAGTGCAACTTTAAATTTTACTATATTTTGAAATTGTGTTGGGATGACTGCTACTTCAGTGAAATGCTCCTCTCTAAATAGGTAGTAGTGGAATTTATGAGTTTTGAAACAGAACTGGGAATTGATGACTTTCGAAACATAAATACATTTCAGCTTGAACAATAGCTTACAGGAACAAAGTTTGAACAATTTTCGGAAAGTGAAAAAATACATTTATGCTTCACTTACAAAACACTGATGTTCTTTTACATCATTTTAATAAGCTCTCTGTCAATTTCCAACAGCAAAGTGCAAGAAAATCCCAGTTTGCTGGCCAGTTTAGGCTGGCCCATGTTAAACTTGATCAGCGTATTTCGAATATTTGATGGTTCGACCAGGTTCAAGTTAGAGAAATAAAATACTAAATTCTTCGAAAAGGCACCGCATCACTTGACACTGTCCCAAGTACACAAGAAACCAAACTAATTTAATTCTAAGAAAGACACAGCGGTGGCTGTTTGGCCCTGTAGTAAACTGGTCCAGATATCAAATGTCCTTTAACTTTTTCCTTATTTAAAACACTTCATATTTGTTGTGCCACATGCGCGAACCACGACCTATAAAGTTGCGAGATAGTGTCCAGGTCGACTAATTGCATAGTTACGGATGCCTGAAACATCTGGCTTCGCACCAGGAATGCAAGAAATGAAATTCCCGTCACGGATAGCCTGCAATAATTGAGCTTTCAATGCCGAGATTTTGCCGACTGCACACCTGAAATCTGAAATTGTTCACACTCAATTATAAAAAAAAAGGCACTGTGTCAAAAAATTTCCGTCCCCTACTTTAGGAATTCTGGATACCCTTGATGTTTGTTGCTTGAAATGGGCTGCAGATGTACATGTAAATTAAGAACAGGCTTGGAATGTTTTGACATATTTATTAGTATGATGTAACTAATATACCTTACTCAGCCTATGTGACCTTCATTCGTGTTAACTATCTACCTTTAAATCCAACACCTGGGGCCAATTTCATAGAGCTGCTTAAGCACAAAATTGCTTAAGCACAAAAACCGTCTTGCTCAATAAAATCAGGTTACCGGCCAAAACTCAATGCGATTGTTATGCTAAGCTAAATACCAGTCACAAGCAATGTACATCACATGGAGTTTTGGCCGGTAACCTAATTTTACTAAGCAATGTTTTTTTGTGCTGATGCAAATTTTCTGCTTAAGCAGCTCTATGAAATTGGGCCCTGCAGGTGTGGCATATTTTAATTTACTTGTGACTGTGCAGCCACAATTACTTTCCATAAGGTTCGGTGGCCCAATTGTCAGAACCCTGACAATGCTTAACTAATCCAATATGATTCTAATGCACATGTCATTAAAAGTGCACCTGGGGCTTTAAGGTTATTAAAGAATGTATAAGTAGTTGACACAATTTGCATAGAAAGTTATGAGGGTTGAACAATAAGCACTTGTATGAATTACAATGCAAAAAAACCCTGAACAAATTGCTCATTAAAATTACCCTCCTGCTGTTTAAAAGGTCACAAACGGTCAGAGTTTCCTTCCACTTCCCCTGGTATACTTTTAAGACACCAATGGGTCACTTGACCAATATTGACCCAAGTAACAGCATGGCTCAGAATGCATGTCTCCATATTAATGAGACGGAATTAGCAGAGGTGATACGTCGGTGAAGGGCAAAACCCCATATTGAACGATTAAAATTTGTAATTTTCAAGCACACAGTACAGCTTGTGACACATGTTGCCCTGTCGATCATGAACTGTGTGTCCAAACTGTCCCACTGACTTGTTACTCCACATAATGTTTAGTTAATAACTTATTCTGATCTTATTTCGTACTGTCCTATCAATTTGTGATGAGAAAACCTTGGAAAAGAAATTGCACCTCATAGCAGGGGATTCACTGAGTAAAATGATGTATTAGATTAGAGTGTTCGCAGAGACGATAACAAGAGCAGAAATGAAGTTTCCGGTATTAAGTTATGAAATCCAATTTCTCAGTGTGTGATTGGGGTAAATTGGGCCGCAAGTTGCACCTGCCCACCTCATGATGGATGCAGATTAGATTATATAACCTGTGCAGAGCACACCCCGACGACCTATTTGATTGTGATCAACTCATTCCACACCACATGATAACAAAGTTATGACCACAGGTGGAACGTAATATCACTGATGAGATAAGGGGATATTGATTTGACACAGGACCAAAACTATAGGCAGAGTTGATAACAATCTGGAGCATATATTGAACACTGTATACTGAATGCACGTGTTACTTACACCTGATGAGTAGATACTGAACAAGCAAAGTACAATGTGGTTGTACTCCAAAGGAATCCACCTGCTGAATCAATCAATTATGTATGCAAATTATGTATCTTCCTCTCTTTCTTGACCTATTTACCACAGGGTCACCTGGAGCACCGCCCAGACATCACTTAGGGCAGCATCTGCCCCACCTGCTGAATCAGTCAGTTATGTAAATGATGCAAATTAATCATCCACTCCTTTTCTTTGGAATTAACCACAGGCACCGCTGGAGGACCTCCCAGACATCATAGCCATGAGCAGCCTCCAACCCATCACCACCGCCGCCCCTCCCTACGATGTGACTCTACCCCCAAATGTCACCTTGGAGCCCATGACGATGACGGATGTCCATGTCCCCACCGACCACTGGATCTTCCTGTCACTGCTCTCAATTATCTTTGTCTCTGTCATCGGGAATGTCTTGGTCTGTCTGGCCATCGTGACCGAGCGGAAACTGCACAGCGCCACCAACTACTTCCTCCTGTCCATGGCCGTCGCTGACCTCATGGTGGCGCTCTTGGTAATGCCGATGGCGCTAGTCAAGTACATAGCTGGTGAGTATTTGTACTTCCAAAGATCTTTATATGTCCACAAACTGTAGTAGAACTCTTGAGTAGACACTAATGTTATACTACTGATGTTACTACTACCTTGGCACAATGCAATCTTAACAAGTGCATCAAATGCAAAACTGAATTCTTGGACAGTGGCTCAGTGACCAAGTTAATCTAATTAGTAACAACTGAAGTGACAACTTGTACTTGAATCCTTGTTTTGTAGGTGTGTGGCTCCTAGGCCCATCCATGTGCAACATCTGGGTGATGCTGGATGTTCTCTCCTGCACTTCCTCCATCATGCACATCTGCACCATCTCCTTAGACCGCTACTTGGCCATCTGCAACCCCTTCTCCACACAGCGTCACTCCCGCTTCCAGACCCCAAGCAAGATTGTCATTGTCTGGATGATAAGCATCCTGCTCTGCAGCCCCATCTTTGTTCTAGGATTCATCTCTACCGCGGAGGTCCTAGATGTTGGAGTCTGCGCTCTGACCAACCGTCTCTTCATGATCTACGGCTCTATTATTGCCTTTTTCATCCCTTTAGTGATCATTGTGGTCACTTACAGCCGGACGGCCCACGTGCTGAACAAAAAAGCCCGGGCGTTTGCAAAACCAAGGACTCGGACTCTGTCACAGGAGTCCAGCGAAAGCATGAATCATAAAACCCCCTGCATCCTCCATAAGGCCCTGCCTTGCTTCTTCCAGTGCCTGGATGCCAACGCAAACAGTATCAACGAGTACAGCTCAGATGATTCCTCGGCTAAGCTCCCACAGGACGACGAGAGGCCGGCTTCTCACAATGACCAAATCAGATGTCTGAAAGCAGAGACTCTGACTCTCAACAGAAGTCCAAGGATTCTCCGGCATGCTGGACATGGGGACACAGCGCCAGAAAAGAAGGTCCTGGAAATGAGAAGATCCACCTCCAGGACAACACGCAAGGGGAACAGCTCCAAGATCAACACAGAGCGCAGGGCCAGCAAGGTCCTCGGGCTTGTCTTTGCGGCTTTCGTTATCGGATGGACGCCGTTCTTTGTCACAAACTTTCTCTACGCACTGTGCCCGTCTTGCAACATCGACCCCACACTGTTTTCCATCTTCGAGTGGCTGGGCTGGTCCTCCAGCATGGTCAACCCTTTCATCTACACCATCTTCAACAAGACCTTCCAGAAGACCTTTTGGAAACTCCTAACTTGCCGTCTCCGAAGAAAGGGAATTCGCCACCTCAGTCTCAAGAGGGGGACGTTTATAATCATAGATGTAAAGCCTCAGAGTCCGAAACTTGAGTCGGTCTAAAAATGATGCAAGAGATCTTATAACACTGTATACTCGGCGCTGTTAAAGTGCTTGCAAGAAAGGATGCTAACTTGCAATGCAAAATTCAGACTTGGAAAGATCCTTTTCCTACGATTTCTCTGGAAGCAATTTTTGAGTATAAAAACTGTATCAAGATGCTGTACAATCAATTCCTGAATATAATATTTGCCTTTGCATTTATGTATATAATACTACATGTATATATTTATATTTATGTATAATTTTGGTAAAAAAATATATATATGATCAGTCTATTGTAAATGACATACTAAACAACGTCAGAATTTATATAAACAGTGAGTTTTTACACGCTTTATGAATTGGGGAAAAAAGGGGGCAGGGCACACAAAAAAAGCTGGAAACAACTAACACTTTTTGAGGCATATAAACTGCCAAAAGTGCTCTGAACAATAACTTATGGACTTGCTTAGCGGAACGTTTATTCATTTTTCTACACGGCCAAAAAGTTATTCGGGGGTACTTTTTTTTCAGTGTTCATACTTTTTACTTGTAAATTTGTGCTTGGCTACAACTCAAAAGGTTGGACTGATCAAGCCTTACTTTTTTACTCAGGGTTCTAACACATTTTGTGATAGACCACCAAAGAGAAAGTTGCTTGGATTTCGTATCACATTTTGTTGTGGGGGTATCTCTTTCAATGCCTGCCCAGTTTGACCAACAGCGGAGTTAAGTAGACAAGGATTGATTTCAAGACTACGTGTAGAAGGGATTATGAGGAAATCACTCCATCCACCAGATAATTGATAATTTACTTCCTTGTCTGGGCACTGAGCACCTGACGGTGAAAGAGCCATTAGAAGGCAGGAGGAAATTTATACCTCTGATGACATCCGCACCTATCTTGTTGGTTTTGGATGGTAAAAGGCTCAACAGTGTCACATGTTTGCCCTTGGCATAGCTTTGGTAGGGACTGATAGCCAAGTGGAGCGCCAAGGTCTGGGCAAGAGTCAGCGCGAGGAATGAACTGGGGGGTGGGACTAGGGGAGAGAGGGGTTTAAAAAAAAGTAGCAGGGAGGGCTGAAGTGGTCTTTGGATTGTTTTTCATGAAACTCAATGCCAGACGGGTTCAGGCCATCATCTGCGGGTAGCACACCCTGATATTTCCGGCCTCACTCGCTGCGAGCGGGACACAGACAGATATTTCTGGCCTTGCTCGTTGCTTGTTTATCCGTCATCCGTTCTGAATACCGCAAAACCTTTGCGTGCATACATCCGACGTGAACTGGTTAAATGTCAGAAAAAAACTAAAATAAATTTGTGTACACAAAAAAGTATGTTCTTTGACAATCAATGTAATGTGCAATGTGTAAGAATGTCCATTGAATGGAGAGTGTGATAAGTTGTGTATTTTATTTCAACAATGTACTTGTGTATGCGCATGTGTATTATTTATTCTGTTTATGGATTTTGTTGCTGTTATGTAAGGCTCATTTTATGTCCGTAATTTTTTTTTCACTTGATTTCTGCAACATTTACATGTGTGTTATTTGTGTGTATACATATTCTGTCTTGCATAAATTTAAGGTTTAAAAAGTATTTAAGTGTTTTCATTCTTCGATTTAATGGTGTATCTTACAGACAAATGTGCATTACTTTATGAATTCTATTATTAATGTGATATTCAACCTGATAAAACCCAACAATTTCCAGAAAAAAAAGAGAGGAAAAGGTGATATAAAAATTCATCACAAAATGGATTATGCACATTTGTAATGCATGTACATGTACGTGGGTACAAGTACGTAAACAATCATTAAAACATGAATATATACAGATGATTATGAGTTTCAGGGCCACAGAATGTAAATCTTTTGATAGTTTCTTGCAAAAGTTTGACCCTGTACAGTGCACATAACCACACATTTTGTTATATTTTGTTTGTTGCCAGGAAGTATTTGTTCCTTTAAAACATCCTCAAACTGCTCATTTTTACAATTCAAATGTAACATTTGCATGTGATAATCTATGAAAGAACAGAATGTTGTATCAATGGTCCAGTTTGTCCGGAGCTTTATTTTGTATCAAAATAAATTAAAAGCTTTCATGAATAAAAACAACAGTAAAGGAGTTTTTGTGTCAGTTCATTTTTTTTTATGACATCAATTAAGGAATAAAGAAACGCTGAGAACCATTTAGCACACTTGAATTCCTGGAAATATACAAATTGTATTAAACTTTAAATGCCCTGAATTAAAAAAAACGGGGAAAAAAAATTGTTTATAAATCATTTGAAGAGAGACATCTAGGATTGACTCAGCTAACTTTTGAAATTATTTCAAATTACTCAATAAGTTGTAATATTAAAGTTGAACAACGAAATTGACTGGAGCAGGGTTGGAACCTCTGACCTCCGGACTGGCGTTCTGGTGCTCTACCAACTGAGCTATCCAGCCCTATGTTGGCGGTTCCCCAACTAATTTTAGAAAATTGGATGAGGCACAATACCATAAATTCCTCTTTTTTTTTTCAAGATAAACATTTTGAAAGCAACTCTACAAAATAATTTTCCTGGGAACAACAATTTCTTTTTATTACAAAATTAATGAGGGTAATAGTGCCAGGAAATAATATCTGCATGATTTTTTTTTTTTTGGGTCCTTGCCCAGAAATCACCTGATCAATTATTCCCCTGAAGGATTCTCATGACGATTAAGGTACTGACGTGAACTACGTGATTATACGTGAATAGTCATCTCGAGTGGATGTCTCGCAGCTCGCGTGGGCTAACCAAGGACAAAACAATTTTCCGTGGCATTTATATATCAAGCTCCTGTGCCAATCGTGACAATAAATCATGTTTACTGCACTCTTATAAAAAAAGTCTGATCAATTGGGACCAAGGTAGATATGTACAGTCTTCAAAACACTTAAATGACAGGTGTTACTTTTCGAATGATGCTTTGTAAGGTAACATACAACATTTGCTTTTGCTGTATTTTCAGAAATGGAAGGATTTGGGGTTAGTATTATAGAGCAAATATTGTTACACTGACTTATTTAAAATGTTGTGTTCATGGATGCTGGAAAACCAAGGAAAAAACATGCTGTAGCCTGGTTCCTTGACCCTCCTTCAGACGAAACGGAGCAATTTACAGACGGGGAATTGTCAGGTCAGGGAACCAGACTAGCTGGCTTGCACCTGTTCATGGGTGTGTATTCCGAATGCAAACAAAATGTGGACTAAAACTCAGTTTGGTAAATTGGGGGCATTATATTACCCTTAAATGAAATCTTTGGTTTTTGTCATTACACTTCTGACAAAATGGTTCAAATGTAGTCGACGTTCAATTCACATAACACTGCATTCAAGTCTGATATTGATGGGTTTAGAAATTGTTGAATTGTGTAATTTTGTCTTATTTTCAATCTTAGGCTGTCAAATAATGGGGAAATTGGTCATTACTCTTATAATTAAAAATCAGCCTTTTTTTTGAAGTAGTAAAAGATTTGTTTTTATATTCTTCAATCAGAAGTTGTACCCTCAGCTAAATAAAGATGAATATGATGTAAAAAATTTAAGTTTGATCTCAAACGTGAAACTAAAAAAATTAGAAAAAAAAGAAGATGTTTAATGTCACGTGTACCATGCACATGTTCCCAAACTAAGAACGATTCCTCGTGTTGTAGGCTGGCTTCAGGAATGCTTAATCAGCATTGAAAGGGATTCCCTAATTCCACGTCTTCATTTGAAACCAAGAAAAGGCAAGAATTAACAATTAAATCTGCCCGCAGCCCTTCGTCTATACATTTTCTGTCTGGATCGCAATTTCTGAAGAATAGTTTCACTCATTACGAGTCACGTTTGACGCGTCATGACGAGTCACGTTTTAGGCTCAATGAAAGGGAATTGGAAGGTTTCAAGGAACACTGCGAGGTCAGTTGTTAGATAAAGAATTTTGTTTTAGTTTTTCATAAGGGAATAAGACACTGGATATCTACACCATGCCTCTTATTGTCGACTCACTGCAGAATTATTTGGATTCACTGCGGATATCTTCCTGGAAAATGTACTTAAAGGTCCATTCAATTTTCGTTTGTGGAATAGTTTATTGTACTGTTCACTTTCATTTTCTGGGTTTTTTCAAGGACTTTTCGGGTTTTTTTTTGCAGTACAAATTTACATATTTATGACAAAAACGGCAATGCCATCTCAGGCGAAAACATCAATGTTGCAGCTGTTTAAATGTTATAGTTGCCAGAATGTTTTTCTTATGATCCACCAAAGAAATGTTTGTGGACAATAAACTTCAAAAAAAAAAAAAATGTTATTTTGAGTAGTGGAAAACATCAACAAGTGCATTCACACAAACCAGTTTTAAAGTCAAAGACAACCCCCGCCCCCCCCAAAAAAACCCAAACCAATGGCACAGTCTTCCATGTGCAAGATTGTAATCAGACTTGTGATATCATCGCAAGCAATCATGTTCTGAATATGCCCCCCCCCCCAAAAAAAAGGAGCACATTTCAACTCCAGTGAATTCCACCACGAATCTTTCGTGACATCACAATGTTTCATCATTGCATATGAACTGCTATGTGGTTTCAAATGCTGCCTCAATATCACACTCAGATACAGAGTCAGAATTCCTTCTTTTTTTTAGGGGGGGGGGGGGGGGGTAAAGATTTGAGCCGAAAAAATTCCTTACCTGAACAAGATGAATCCCAGCGAAGTCACGGCTGCCCGTCGCACGTCATCATCAACATCGCTGACAGCGAAATGAAGGAGCCTGCGGATGGCCTGGTTGTTGCCCGTGCCGCAGTACGCCAGCGCGATGGTGTACATGCCGGAACGTCGCAGGATTGGGTCCTTGTCGCGAGACAGACTCTCTATTAGGGTGTCGGCTTCTTCTAGTCGGCCGTACATTGTCTGAGATCGACAACGAATAAAAGAGAAAGACTTTGTTGGAACTTGAGTCTTTCTCATGCTTAATGTACTTGGCAATAAACACATTAGCACTTGTATTACATTGTATAACAGTGTATTACATTGTATTACATTGTATTTATTCCCTGATGGACCCATACAACCATAGAGTGCTGATGCAGTCTAGGGTGGCATAAACAGACACAGGAAGGGTTGCCTTGGGGCAATACAGGAAATAATGGGACAATCTATTATTTCAAAACATTCCAAGGTCTTTGAAGAGTTTGTCAGATGGAGAAAGGTCCAGCCAAGCAACACTGGGTTCCTGCACAGGTTTTCAGTCCCTGCCTGATTCCGTGGGTCTTCCTCAGAAAATTCCTCTCGGCTTTTCCTCCCACCTCTTAAACTGTAATTTCTTCTCATTGTCTTCTCTCTACAGGTTTCGTCAGGCTTTTGAGCTACAGTGCCTAGGGCACTTTTGAGGGATCCTTGGTTTCATTACCAGAAAGAGATAAAATAAAATAAAATAGTGGGGGATTTCGGAGGACTTTTGCTTGCACACAATTCCTTGGGAGTTTAGTTAAGGGATAAAGTATTACTCACCAGGGCAATACCGAGACAGAGACCACGTAGGATCTTCTCGTGCTGAGTGTCTTGTGCATACTGGAAATATAAAAAACACACAAAAATACAGTCACAGTATGATCAATTGTCAATCCAGCTAAAGAATGCCTACACTTTTAGACTAAAGTTCCTTTGTTTCAATAGTCAAATCCAGGTTATCCAAACTTCACAAATCTACTTTTCATGTAGCAGACATTCTTCAAGTTCAACTGTTTGTTCAGGATTGTCCTTGGATTACTTACGCTGACCATGTCTTCAATGGCTGATGCTGACTTGGAGCCAATCATGACCAGGCCCATAGCTAACCCAGCAGCCTCACCTAGAAAACAAAATCCACAATAATTATTTCAGTTAGTGAGATTCTAAAGATACACTGGGCAGTCACGATTGCACAGTGGTAACGTGGACTACACAATGCAGCAAATGGCTCTTGCTTGAACCCAATACATTGTTAACTATCACCAGCTTTGAATACTTTCTGGAGTTTAAGATTCATGTTTATGAGTGAGGGATACATTTGGTTAACTCTAAATGGTGCAGCAGGTCCTCGGACCACAGTACACTTGTGCTTTTAAATTTGCTGTTCCTTGCCTTTCTTTGTTATGTTCTAAGAATGGCTAAATAAATTATAATAATAATAATAAAACAACCACAAATTCTTCAAAATCCACATCCTGATTCTGAAAGATCAAGAACTGCAGACAGCCCGATTGTTGTTACTGTCCCTTTTTTGTTTCAAACCTCAAGGGAACAGGTTCAAAATTTGACTTAAGCAGAGTTTTGAGTTAAGCAGGGTTGTATATCATTGTTATACTACTGAAGGCAATGGATTCTTTGTTTGACTTAACAGTTGTTTTGAGTTATCAGAGTTTGACTCATCGAGATTTCACTGTACAAATAATGTGCCATTCCTCCACTACGGAGTGTTTGATTTTTAAGGGTTCTTCCTTTTGAATGCTTAGGAAGTTAGTGAAGAGTTTATTTTATTGGAAATGTATACCGACCCGTGACTGCATCATCCTCGTAAAGATTAAACTTCAGCTGTTCGTACACATCTTGCCTTGCTGTGCCCATTGCTGCCAGGCCTAAGCCCAGAGAGCCACCATGCCGTACCATCTACAAAAAATAAATATTCAGTACATCATGAATATGTAACACAAACATGCAAAATTTGCAACTTTAGCTGCCCATTGACATCTTGCCACGACAACTGAACTCACCCCTAGACAGCCACCATGCCGCACCATCAAAAAGAAATGAATACTCAACACGAATATGTAATACTAAAATGAATATGCATATTAAAAAGGCACATATGTTGTTGCCCATATGTTTAGTGGGCGGGGCAACAGAGCAGTCATTTATTTGAATATGTAATACTAAAATGAATATGCATATTAGAAAGGTGCTTGTGTTGTTGCCCATTTTGTTTAGTGGGCGGGGCAAAACAGATCAGTCAGTGATTTGAATATGTAATACTAAAATGAATATGCATATTAGAAAGGTGCAGGGGTTGTTGCCCATTTTGTTCAGTGGGCGGGGCGAAACAGAGCAGTCAATTATTTGAATATGTAATACTAAAATGAATATGCATATTAGAAAGGTGCATGTGTTGTTGCCTATTTTGTTCAGTGGGCGGAGCGAGCAGTCTACTACTCACATCTGTTGTTGCCTCTTTGAGTTGCCCCAGCAGATACTCAATGATGTTAGCGCCGTGGTTAGCATGGATCAGCCCCAGCGCGTACAGACCACCCCCTTCCTGGTAAGCACTGCCAGGCCCCGTGTCTTTAGGCAGGTAGGTGGACATCAGGCTTAGGGCCTCCTTCTCGTGGCCGCGGTGGATGACCCCTAGGCTGGCCGTGGCCGTAAACTTGGCCCAGTTGGTGGCTCGGGATAACCAGTCCAGATTATCTCTGGTTTCCAAAAATTAATAATAAAAACTTATTAATATATACTACCACTAAAGATTTATTTTGTAAAGTTTGAATACTGTTCCCCAGTGCTCTGTAAGGCCATAGAAAGAAAGGCAACTTTATGCTGGATTTGTCAAATTAAGCAGCAAAATTTTAAAAACAGCAATTAATTATGTAGGTAAATTGCAACAAACAAAATCACTTCACAATTTTAAGTATTCTGGAAGTTGTTTTGACTTTTTTTTCAAGCTTGAAGCGAAGATAAAAGTGTCGGCCAGGAATAGCTTGATGCTAAGGACTTTTAGCATTGACCCAAAGATTTATCAAACTCTTTATCAGGGACTAAAAAATTAGGGGACATCAGGAATTTTCAGATAATTGCTCAAATTTGCTAGTTGCAGTTGTGAACGGACCACATCGGCACGGTGTAATAAAACACAGACTGACGTCCTACCGCAAGAAAGAATCGCACGTGGTGCCACAGTGCATGAAGGAGTTGGCAATGACGGTAGCGTTGTGACATACTGAATTCCTCACAATATCCTGCCGTAGAAAATACAACATAAAAACCAAACAAAAAATGAGTGAAGCGTCTCAACAGTTTTCAAATTGAATTGAAAACAGACCGTCACAGGAAATTAGAGAAAAAGGGGATAGGCATTGGAAAATATGAATTGGTACAGGTTTTCTTCCGAGTCTACTTAGAATATTATTCTAGTGAAAAGATATAACCTCCAAAAATCCTAGAGTCTTCAATTTCGATCTTAAAACCTCAAAAACAAGAGACGACTCAAAACCGATTTAGATTGAAATTTCTGTGATCTTTACCTTTGTGTTTTTCAGGATTTGTAGGTCTGTTTTGTTGCTGCGTATCAAGAACTGTAGGTGGATGCCTATGGTAATGCTCCCACTGAGAATCTCCATCAGCTTGCTCAGCCGATCTGCGTACACCTTGTCCTCCTCCTGAGAATGCAAGGAGGATATTGTCCATTTTTAAGAAGCCTGACAATTGGATGTAAGATCTGAAAGGTGCATTTCCTTCTATACTGATAGAATCCTTGGCTCAGATTCAAAAGTCTGATTTCACACAAAAGTCTGAAAAATCTCATGCCTGTAAAAGGCAAGAGAAAGGTTGAATTTGGTGGTTCTTTAACAAAATATCGAAACAGGGCAACAACAGGTGTTTTTCCCAATTAAAAGATTGGCTAGTTTACCTTATGAGCAGGTGCAGGGCCATCCACAGATGTGCCTTCATCAGCTGTGCCATTTGTTTCTGGTTTTGTATCATCCGTCTCCATTTCTTCCCTGGTGGGTTAGCAAAGTGGAGAATAAGCATGATTGAATCAGGAACAGGTTATACAGGTTACCAATGTGGCATTTGATTTGGCTTAGCATACAGATTTGTTAAGCAGGTTTTTTTTAAGCTTAGTCCTATTAGGCAGAGATATAGGACCTTACCCATCTTTGGTCTCTGTTTCTGTCTTACTCGTTGTGTCAGAGACGGGACCAGAGGAGCGAAGTGAGCCCTGAACCCTGGCCAAGAACTGCTGAGTGGCGCTAGCGTACAGGTCAAACCCAATCTGATATGCCATCAAAGTCTGGTCCTGGGAAAAAGAAATACAATTAATTCTAATTTTCATTTTAATATTTGTTGGCGCTGTACCAACATGACTTGTACCATCATGGAGCAAGGAAGCATAGAGTGTCCTTGTAAGTTTCATTGTATATTTTATGTAATTCAGCCTTTGGCTGCAATATGATTTTTAAGCAATAAACCAACTTATAGAAGTCTGCTAAGCACGGAAAATAATTGCTAAGCAAAACCAGGTTACCAGCCAAAACATCTTTTATTTAACACTGCCTTTGGCTGGTTCTATGCATATTTCCACTTAGCACAAAAATTTACTAAGCAACATTTCTGCAAAGTAAGCTTCACGACACTACACTCCATGTACTGACTGGAGAAAAAAATCACATTCAATTACGAAAAATTTTAACGCAAATTTATTTTTGTCTTCAACATTTGTCACATTTCTAGCGACTTTGTTCAGAAGTTGTGGGATTCCATGACTTACTTGACTCTCCTTGAGGAGTTTGCTGAGGATGTCTGCGACAGCTTGGGCATCGTCAAGAAAGATGAGGCACTGGCAGACGTTGATGTAGTCTGGTACTGCCAGGTTCATGTACAGACGCAGGAGAATGCGTAAAACCTGAACAGATGGAATGAAAGAAGAGTGAGAGTTATCAGCAACGGCTTGAGCTGAGTCTATAGGGGTTTACGAAACTATGGCACTGACTATGGTTCGCCTCCAGCAAGATATTCATGGAAGCCTTCAACATTTAAACATAATGTCTTTGAATCTGTTCTTGCACACATTCTAAAGTCCACCCAGCTTATCCAACCATAATCAACTTGACAGTGAAAATATTTCAAATCTTCATTTAACGAAAACTCACCTCATTTCTGAACTGTCTTTGTTGGAGGAGCGCCAAGACGACTTTCAGACTGTAACTGAGCATACCGCCAACATCATCCTGCGGAAAATTTAAATTTTACTTCTCATTATCCTGATTCAATCAGGGTTGTCAATCACAAGCCAATTAATGAGGAATTACAACCAAATCACAAATCAATCACAAATCAGTCACAAGCAAGTCACAAATCAGTCACAAGTCACAAATCAGTCACAAATCAGTCACAAGTCAGTCACAAGCCAATTACAAGTCAGTCACAAGCCAGTCACAACTTAGTCACAAGTCAGTCACAAGCCAGTCACAGGTCAGGCACAAGTCAGTCACAAGCCAATCACAAGTCAGTCACAAGCCAATCACAAGTCAGTCGCAAGCCATTCCCAAGCCAGTCACTAGTCAGTCACAAGCCAGTCACAACTTAGTCACAAGTCAGTCACAAGCCAGTCACAAGCCAGTCACAAGTCAGTCACAAGCCAATCATAAGTCAAAAAACTTTTCAGACCTTAGGTCAATTTAAAAGTGACAGTGGAAGAACGACAAAGGAACGCCCAAGTTGTAACAGTATACTGGATGACTTGTGACTGGCTTGTGATTGGCTTGTGATTGGCTTGTGATTGGCTCGTGATTGGCTCATGATTGGCTTTTGATTGGCTTGTGATTGGCCTGTGATTGGCTCGTGATTGGCTCATGATTGGCTCGTGATTGGCTTGTGATTGGCTTGTGATTGCCTTGTGATTGGATTGTGATAGGCTTGTGATTAGCTTGTGATTGGCTTCTGATTAAACTTGTGATGCCAGTTTGCAGTCTTACCGCTTTCATGATGGCCTTCTCAAAGGAGTCGATCCGCCGCGTCTCCAACGCGATCCCGACCACCTGCTTGAACTCCATGTCGTCATAGCAACGCTGGAACATCCTGTCCACGACGTTCTCCAGACGTGGGTCAATGTCTTTAGGGTCGTCCACGTGCTCCAAGTTGTGCACACGCAGCTTGGTGTAATGGTCGATGCATTTGGCTAAAAAAAAGAAAAATTTATTGTCAGGCCGTAAGAATTTTCAAAAGCAAAAAATTTAATTTGATTTTGGACTGTCTACAATTTGATGTGAGATTAAACAGGATTTGGAGGAAAAACGTCAATCTCATACAATATTGTTGAACATAGGACAATACCGAGAAAAAAAATCTTGGGAGTTTAAATTAATTCTTCATTAGTTTTTTTTCTGGGAAAAAAATGAGTGTACAAAATAGAAGAAAGAAAAACAATCAAATTTCACTTTACTCACATATTGTGGTGTCTACATATTCGGAGGATGCATTCACGTCAAACAGCTTCCCTGCACCTAGAGCGTACGTCAGTGATTCCTCAAAGGCTCCTAAATGATAGTAAACCTGAGAACAAAAACACAAAGACAACTACAATGGGTTTAAAGGGAATATACATCATTTGCTTTTGCTGTAATTTTCAGAAATGGATGGAATTGGGGGTTGGAAATATAAAGCAAATATAGTAACACTGACTTTTTTGAGGTTTTTGGGTTCAAAAATGCTATAAAAACCAAGAAAAACAATCATTTCCTGTAGACTGGTTCCCTGACTCCATTTAAGAAGAAACAGAGCAGTTTACATACATTGGGGAATTGTAAGGTCAGGGAACTAGTCTAGCTGGCTTGTACCCGTTCATAGGTGTGTAATCGATTGCAAACAAGTGCGATGGTCAATTGGGGCCAGTATTTGAAAAAAAGCCAGTTTTTTTCCAACGCTGGTCGGCCGATCAGCTTTGGAAATTGATACAAAAATACCACTTTTCTTGAAAATGACAGTATACCAGGTGCCATGATTTTACAGGATGCTTTACACTGTCCTTCACTAACAGTCCAGCAAGGTATTTCAAAATGATTTGGTAGTTTTATTTTTTGATGTTTGCAAATGTTGTATTTTCCCTTTAAGGAAAAGGAACTCTCCTTCACTTTGCCTCTTAAAAAGTAGTTGAATAGTGCGTAGAATTTTTAATATACAAAAGGTCTGGTTTTGGTTATAATCAGAACTTTAATTAAAACATCGATACTTATATTTTTGTCATTCAAGAGGGCATTATTGTAGCATTTCCTCACCATTAATGAGAATCATATTGAGACAAGATTTACCTTAGATGCAACCAGTGCAGCTAGTTCTCTTTCTGGAAAAGTGGTGTCTTCATAAAACATCTCACTGGAATGACACAAGAAGAAAATTAAAACATTTTAATAATTCTGACGTCTTGGGAACAAAAATTGTAATTTTAAAAGAGAATTTGCTTGTTTAACTTGTCACTATTGTCTGTGTAATTAAACATATAAACTACATTTATAATTAACTGTCCTGAATCTTCCAATTTTGATATTATTTTTCACACACTCTAGGGAATCTGGGTTAATTAATTTGAAGTGTTACTTTCCGTTTTTTCCGTTAATAAGCCGGCAGATCTTATAGCGCCCTCATGCACATGTATACAAGTAGGCCTACAATGTACACCATTTAAGATATTAAATTAGCATTTCACGTAGAGAGAACGCATGGCCGTGGATAGCACACTGCTCGCAAGCAACACCTCGCACGCTGCTCGCAAGCAACACCTCGCAAGCAACGCCACTCGAGTTCGAGTACCAGCGTGACCGATTTGTTTTGTGTCCCAAAATGTAAGAATCGTCTTCTTTTGTTGTTTTAAATCGAATCCTACATTTAATTGCCGAAGTATTTCATCTTCTTTTTCTGATTCGTGGCTCTGGAGTATTTTATTTAAAGGGAAATAAAGTCCAAAATTGTAATAGGTCTGATTCCCATCTCTTTAACACGAAGTCACAATGACAATGTTAGAGTGGAACCAGACTAAGCCTCATCATGGTAAAAATTTCTAAGTCACCACAAAAAACAGTCGCTGCGCGTGTTCAGTGCCGCGCCGGTACAATACTGAAAACGATCGGGGACAGGTTCATGGTCAAATATCCACTGCCTAATTAAGTTTTCTAGATATTAAAAGTTGTCCCCCCAAATTTTACATTTTTTCGACAGCATCAGCGATCTCCGCCCAGAAGTCGTCCACAAGTAGATTGAGTTTCTCCAGAGCAAAGATCTAGATGGAAATCAAAAGACATATTTTGGTATCAAGGGATATGTTACTCAAAAAGTCAGACATCATAATTATCATGTCTCTATTTTTTCTGTCAGAGGAATTGATAAAACAAGGGCAGATACTGTAAAAGTAATTTACATTAAAATATTTCAAGATGAATTGAAACAAAGTTTTCAAGAGAAAATTTCCACAATACCTTTAGCTTTGTATCTGGTTCATCAAGGAGGGAAATAACACCCCCTAAAAAAAAAAGGAAAACGAAAACAAATTGTAACAGACTTTAATCCACAAATATCTGGAAAAAAAACTTAAGTTAATGATGGATAGAGAGGGTACAGAAACAGGAAAGAATGCCGTATTCAACTGCCGTTTGTTTAAGCTGCCAACTACAAAACTGAGTAAGGAAAAAAAACCTGAAATTTGTAATGGTTAAAATTACCTCTTATTAATTTCAGATTGGAAAAATGCATTATCTTTGTAAATTGAGTCAAACGGGAGAATAATTTCCACTTTTGTTCTACGATGACTTCTGCTGCTAGCACAGAACTTTGAACACAACCAAAAAGCGGTAATGTGGTAATTGTGTAGTTTGGGACACCTCCCTTTTTATTTGTACTTGTTCCGTTCAAAAATGATGTTTGCAAATGAGTGTCAAATTTTCCAAAATGAATATTTAAGGCCCAAACAGTCTTTTTTATTTACATTAACTCTAGGTTTTGGTAATTTTGATTAGTATTAACTGTTACTAGTATTATATCAAGGTCCTAAAATACACGATCATGATTACCCAACATGCCCAAAGAGCTTTGTTTGCATTCCTCACAAAAAATTCCCAAAAATTGCCCCAGACCCAGTAAAGTAGCCAGGCATACTGACAGAGATAGTCTTAAGAAAAGAGAGAAACGCCAGTAAGTAATAAGCTATGTTGATTGTAAAATAACGAAATGGGTTAAAAATCAGAACGATTTAAAAAGTAACTTGGCATTGGCAATGACAGAAGTGAAATTATTGAATGAAAAGATTAGAATCGCACAATGGTGCACAATGTACATGTGCAAATGCCAATGACTCAGCGAGACACGGCAAAAATGCTCCACATAAAAACACGGTTATTTATTTTCCTCTAATTATTCTAACACATATTTTTAAATGATATAAAAAAACCATACCTGCTGATGTCAACTTCATTTTGTCGTCAGTACCGCGGTTTCTTAAAGTGTTGAATTCTTCAAATTTGTACAATCATGTGTCCCTCCGGCTTCCAAAAAGTTGCAGCCGAAAAACAAAATGGTGGATACTGACTTTGGTTGACCAATAGAGGGCGCTAAATAAACTTTGCAGTGTGCATTTTGTGGATGCACCCCGTCATAAAATTCCCATAGACACCAGTGCTATACATGCCCATATTTCAAAATTCTTTAAAAAATACTCAGAACTCTCACAGGTATTTAAGCTGTACAGGAAAAGGATGATCAACATGTCATCTTTCATTTTCTTTTCAATTTTTGGTGGGTTGACCATGGACTTTACGAGAAATTCTCACCAAAAGAAGACGACCCCTATTTTTCCCAAAGCGGAAAAGTATAGCCGTCCTGAAAAACGATCCCTCTACGACGTGGTAAAATAGCTCCACTTTCGAGCCCAAAATGCTCAGAATTGGAAGCCCCAAGTCCGGACCAGAGGTTAATTGTCATATCTCTTCAATTCCCCAATTCTATGGCTTTCAGAACTCTCTAATACAGAATATTCTGAGGGTATAACTGTTATTCATGTGCTTGGCGGATGGGTTTAAGCCTACAGGTGTGCACCCTTGTGTGTGTCGTCGATATTTTTAATTTTGCACACAAAAAGTCTAGACGAATTTAGTTTGGCAAAGTCCTGTTCATCAAGTCTGACTCCAATAAACCACAATTTTGGGTCATTTAAAGTGGAATTTCTTGGTCTAAATTTGTTGCAGATCGTTGGTTGCAAGCGATAAGGGGTTTGGGAAAACGAGCTTGACACAAAACTAATTCGCTCTCTTGTAGTTAGGCCTAATCCCACTTGCCTGCGTGGGTTTATTTTCTTAAAATATGAACTAATTTGAAATTTTACCCAGCACTTCCGGTCCCACCTTTAACACCCCCCCCCCAACTTTGCAAAGAAACCTCGTAGGACAGTAATAAAGTAAAAGTTTTCCCATATAATTCCATGTAGGAGAATCAAACCACAAACAAAACGTCAATTGTTGTAAAACACCCATTATGGGACAACTTTAGCGTTTATTTCCCAAACCAATAACAAGAACGTTTTTACAAAAGTTACAGAAAAATGCTTTAATGTATATATATATTCAGTTATGTGTTTGAAAGTGAACGATGAAAATAAAACTTGTTTGCTCTCATACAAAACAATCTCCGACCTCGATCTGCAATCAAAATTTGGCATAATCGTTTATCGAGTTTTTTCTTACCATCTTGCATTTTAGGTGCTGCTGGTTTTGCAACTATTCCTTTTTCATAATTCGGACCTACTTAATTGAAAGCCATTTCTCAAATCTGGGCTTCGGTTTCCGCTCCGGCTTCTTCTCAGGGCCCGTTCCATAATCATCTTAATATAACCTTTACTATACGAATGAAAACTCCAAAATTTGCCCATGCATCAGTGAAAAGATTTTGTGCACCAGAAGGCAAAATATAGGTAAGCCTAACAGCAAAAGTGAGGAAAACACAACTTTCGGCTGCAAATTACGTATAGATCTGAATGATAACATGAACAAAGTAAAGTCCCCTTTAGGTCTCGTTAGCCTTTTATGGTCTGACACGTGGCCGTGAGAATTCATACAAACAATGAGCAAGAACTTGTCTTTTCCTTACTATATCTGGGTAAGTTAAATCTCCATAATGTCTGGGACACTGCATTGAAACAAAGACTAAATCTTAATGCGTTGGAATACAAACTGGTGTCACGTACATAAACGTCACACGAATACCGCTCAAAATGATAACAGTGATTAATAACATTACTAGAAATATTTGCGTAATGCGTGATTAAAATTAATAGATATCTTTGCTTAAAGCCCTGGAACACTGAACATTAGGTCCAATTTTTTTTTAAGTTTTAATGATAAGTGCGATAAATAGTTCGTGCGGTCCTATAAGCACAGCTTCTTAATATTTTGAGAACTGACACGTTATAATTAACGAGGAAGCACAGAGTTTAACAAAAAGGAAAAATAATTATCCTGTCCCGCTATCCTCTCTGCATCATCCAACGAGCCATTTTCCCACTCGTTTTCCACACAAAAAACCCAAAGAGGTTATTAACGGATTAAAGTAGAAAAAACCCAGATTTACAAGTAAAAAAAATCAACTTCTGAAAAATGAGAAATTATTACAAAAATATTGTATACTACTGTGTAATTGACAACCTTTAAACAAAAAAGATAAATTGCATTTTAAAAACAAACTTTGCGTTTCATGATTTCCTCGTTGATCACTGGTTGCCGGCAGCAGCCTCTTTTCATGATACAACTGCAACCAATTAGTACTGTCGACGGAGTCTGAACCAGTTACCAGTAACTTTTGACACTCGGGTCAAGTTTCAAGTCTCGTAGACTCACGCGAGAACGCGTGGTAGTCGTGCTATACATGATCCATTTTCATGACTTGTGAACCTTATCACAGTGACGATCACCAAAGTTGTGAAATCTTTGGAGCGATCGTTAAGTTGTAATTGTAAGAAGTACGGCTATAGTTCCACCGTTTAGAAAACTAGTTTTGAAAGCACCATGAATCACATGTAGTCTTCCCAAATCAATTTCAAAAATGTCAAAATGGGACGTCAAGAAAGAATTATTATCCTCTGACGCCATCTTGGTCATGCACCCTTAGTACGTAGTGCACATTGCAATGGAGCTGAACACCGCATTGGAAGCACCAGCCTATTTGGTCCAGTAGCTTCCTTCTGACTCTGATAGACTTGTGCATAAAGCATGGACACCGAGTGATGACGCTTTGTGTTGAAGATTAAAACAATCTCTGCCTCATTTCATTGGGCTAAGTTGGAAGATCTCTCAGGAAATCATACAATTCCAAGTCAAGACCTTTCAAATCTTGGCAAGGTGTACTTTTCCAACTCCAAGCATCAACAAGCAGGAACAATGAAGACATAGAGTAGATCATTAGACTACCGAAATCCCGGCAGAGTGATGAATAATGCAGACAAGCCGACACTTGACATCACCTTATAATGAGAGAAGCAATTTTCCCCCTAAATATAAACCTCTTCAATTTGAAGAGTTTTCCGGAGTTCGCTCGTCAGTTCAAGCAACTCCACGACGTGGTCCCCTGACGTCTCGTCGAGCATCATCCCTGATTTCTCCGGAGGGGTACAGTTCAGCTGCGATCTGCTAATGGCCGCCGTGAACTCTGTCAGGGTCAGCGTGGCACTGCGCATGCTCCGGTTGCTGGCCAGAAAGTCCGCGCGCGTGGTGTTCAGTTGGTTGGTGACGTCAGGCAGCAACAGCCAATTGCGAGGCCTGTACAAACGAAAAGAATGGTTCGTTTAAACAAAGAGAGTTTACTATTGGTCAGCATTATGATTGCTTCGAATTCATCTAGTAATCTTTGTCCTAATTACTCAAGTACTTTGAGAATAAAGACTAGCTGTTATACAATGTATAAACTTTGTATTCACAAATTTGATTACAATTTGGTACAACTTGTCAGTTTGATAATACAGTCACATACCTTCGGTCGTTTGGAAGACTAAAGTTGTAGCTTGTGAGATGCGGCGTGTCACTGACTTCAAACAAGAACTCTTCTTTACTTTGTTCTCTCTTCTCCTCCGGAACGTCTTGAAAGATATCAGATACCGGCAGGCCATTTGCATCTTTATAGTGAAAGGTGAAAAAAATATTATAAAGAAAAATCACGTTAAAACGACCGAATATAAATCAGAGAATTTTATAAAAGATGGGCTGTGCGTATCAAGTGAAGCAGTGATTTAAAAGTCACATAATTATACCGGTACAGAAGCGATTTTGACTACTTTGGCTTTGACGTACCAAAAGAATGTGTTCCGGTAAGGTGCCAGCGCAGGTCCAGATTGCTTTGATACGGATCACCCTCGTCTAGATCCCAGTCTCCATTTATATCGCTGAGATAACCTGCGGAGGGATACGAAACCAATATGCCGGCGTGAAAAGTCGAAGTGACAAAATAAACACCAAAAGCAAGCTCAACAATTTACTAAAACAACATTATTTTTACGTAAAAAAACGGCGAAGCTTGTACCGCGTGGCATTGGAATAGTGGCTAATCTCTCATTGCAATAAGAATGTGACGTCGAGACATCACAAGAAACCATAAAGTCACGAATCAATGTATCTACATTCAAAATACTGTCACTTTCATAATATTATTGCTGGATGATGCGGTAATTTTGTAAGCCATTTTGAAGGTTCAACAGCACGTTGCCATGACGACGGTTTTGTTTTGCTGATTAACTCACCGATGATGAATGTTTTCATGGCTTGAGTCCGCGCCAATTTGATGGTCGTCCTTCCGGAGTAGGTGGAAATGAGTGGATCGGCGCCGTACGTCAGGAGCAGACGCACCAGGGCCAACCAGTTGTTATCAACCGCATCATGAATTGGTCTGAGGGAAAAAAAACACTTTTTGAAGAGATTTTCTGATACAGGATGTTAAAAGACTAAAACTCCAGAAAAAAAGAAGAAGAGGGGGTTATTAACGTCAAGTTAACGGGTCAAGTGGACAGGTGTTAAGTTGACGTTTCGGACAGGATACTCTAACCGTCTTCGGGAGACATTCTCATAATGTATCCACAAAAGAGATGTACATGTATTTGCATTTTCTCTATTTTTTTTGTTGCTTCACAAACTGATATTTGTGTCCCTTTCCTATCCGGCCGGTAAATCACGCTTAATTATGTTGAAGTACACGTACTTCAACAAAAATGTTGACAATTTTAATACAAGCTGATCTAAAGACCTATACGATGTTATGACATCATGTTTTGTTACATGTGCGCTTTCTTACGGCAGTTTGGTGGATCTCGTCCAAACCTGGTTCCCATAAGAAAGCGCACCGGTAAACAAATCTTGACGTCATTACTTCCCAGGTCCATTAAAATGAGTTGACTCCGTCTAGGAAAAAGCAGTTATCACTGTGTTTAAGAACCAGTTTAAAAGGACACGAGGTTCGGTGCGTGAATTATGGACACGGTGTGCGCATGCATTCATGCGTATTATGACGCGCGCAGTACGCACGACCATTAAAACACAGTAATCTGAATGTGCACGGCGTCTACGTATAGAGGAATGCAAGTCCACGGCTGCAATGGTGCTAAAACTGTCCTTCAATCTCTCCTTATCACCGCTGAGGGCGTATTTAGACCTACCTCGTGCCGTCTGACGCACTAGCATTTACGTCCGCACCATGCTGCAACAGGTACAACGCGACCCGTAGACGCCCGTGCACGCAGCACTCGTGCAGCGGCGTATACCCGGCGTTATCCTTCGCATTGATGTCAACCACGTCATAATCGATACAGTAGATGGCCACGTCCTGATTAAAATACAAATATCGATTTCTTAATTGATACCATGCACCACAAAAGCTTGAGTGTTAAATAACACCAATGTGCTCAGTAATTGGCAACGTCCTCATAAAAATATCGATATTTAATTGATAATATACGCTACATACCTTAAACACTACAAGTGTTATTGGTCCTACATGTAAATGAAAATACACCATGGTTTTATTCTCACAGCATTTGTGATGTGTACATGCTTTGTTTATGTCTTATCGATTAATTATTAATAAATTTAGCGAGAATTTCCAAACATTCGTTCATCAAGTCGATAAAATTTGGTGGTCAATTTAAAAAAGAAGAAGGTAATTTCGATCGAACATGTTACAATTCATCATATTGGATTTAGTTCCAGTTACTTTTACTGAATTTTACAACGAAAACGAAAGCAATTTTTCTCTGTACAAATGATAACCACAACTTATCGCTAAATCGCAAACAATTTCTATCAAGAAAAAATGGCGGCACGAAATTTAGTTTCGGTTTCGAGAGTATTTCATCATTCACTCGGTGTAAACACACCGATTTCCTGTGGGTGTGCATGTAGAATAACCGTAGTAATTTACCCAACGAATTTGCAGCACAAGAAATTAAAAAAAAAAGCTTCAAAAGTCCCTTTAATCGATTGAAAATGCAGCTGCATGCCCTTTGCAGGAAGGTCAAACGTGTATGCCTCTTTGTACGACTGCAATTCGTTATTTACCTTTTGGTACAATGCATACGTATGATTTATTTTGCAGTGAAGCACATTTGTTATCCCGTTTTTATATCCTGGTTCAAACACAATATGTAGTTCTCTCATATCAATGAGGAAGGAAACTGGTATAAATTCAACTTGCAGAGGCCCCTAATGTGGGAACATGACACAACAGAAATACGGGGAATTACTGAAGCATACGGCGGCTTTACGACCCATTGTATGTGATTCTGAACAGGAATTGATGGAATCGGGAAACTTGGCGAGGGCAAACCACTGAGGTCAACGCGCGTGTGAAAATACTAGAATACATTGTTGAAATTAAATTCGTGTATAGGCCTACGGTGTAGTATTTTTGTCATTAAAAAACCTCGTCTGTCAAAAAGATACTCCACAGTGTTAAAATAACACTGAAATAAATATTGCGTAAAATATAAAATGTGCTTGCTTCATGGTAAAATATGAAAACGGTCAGAAAAGAAGAGAAATTCGAACTGTAAGCATTTTTTCCAACTTTCACTCGGGAGGTAACAAGCTCAGTATAAAGTGTTTATACGTCGGTGAAGGGCAAAACCTTATTTTGATAAAAAAAATATTCACACAACAGAAGTTAAAGGCACTTAAAAAAGTTGGATTTTTTCTAACGCAACAAAGCCATCAGTCGATCAGTTCAGAATATTTGTTTCGAAAATTCACCTCAAGATAATTATAGCAGGGTTTCCACACACAGATGAACTACGATAGCTACAATAACATACGTATACAGAACCTACCGATATAGACCCCCTGTGTCATATATTATAGCAAAACCTACGTTTTACACCATAAACACACCACAGACACCTAGGGAAATAAAGTCGATATCGCATTTCAAACGCATATACTGAGGCGGCCCGACTGTGGATAATCCTGGCGTATAAATAGCCCTGTGTCAGCAAACGCCAAAAAAAGTGTTTTCATTAAACCGCGTAGATCGAAACTAGAGTACAAAGGAGTGTTTACTTTATCATGTACGTACGTACATGCACATGTATAATCTACTGTACAAGACTTCAGGAAACTGAGGATATTGAAGGTGGAATAGGTCAGAATTTTACATGAATTTGGCCTTCAATTTAATTATCTGTCTCGTGATGAACGACAGCTCATGCTCCGTTTCCGTATATGGCCGCAAAACAATAGAATTCGGTTCTTGAGTCATGTGTCAAGTAAAATATGACTAGTCAGGCCGGTGTTTATGTCCTGTTTCCTCAGCATGGGCTGACTGAGAACAGTTCTTTTCCGACCTTTTAATACAAGTGTATTTATTACGTACAACGATGTGTTTATTTTTCATGGCGGTGTACAGTGTACAGTGTAGCCCACTGATATACTCACGTCATAGGCCAGCCTGGCGGCTCGGTGCAGGATCGTTTCACCCAACTTCTTGTTGACCATTAATCGCTTCATCTCTGTCCAAAAAAACCAAACATTTTGAAGGAATCAGATAAGGTCGACCTGGAGTTGTTGCAAATGTCAAAAACCAATTTTTCCCATTGATCATGAACATTCATCATGAACATTCATCACTCCGTTCATTATGGTCGATCATGAAATCCCATTGATCATGAACAGCGAACGTGCTCATATCCAAGGCAAGTAGTAGTCCTATGAATTATAAAATTGACGGTATTAAAAACTTGGAAAGTATGATGTAACGTGCGTGGGTTCCTCATCTTTTTTTGGGGGGGGGGGGGCGGGAGTTGGAGTGCTATCCGCTCCTCCCGTTGGTTGTGAAGGGCTGTTCGATATCGGTACGAAAGTGAACGCAGAAGCGAACTCAAAAGCAAATTCGTTACGTCACAACAAGTTTCCGCGCTGCGATTTCAACTCCGGCGAATACCAACGCAAGCATTTCGCGACGTCTAATTCGTTTCTTATTCGCATTCTGCGTGAAGTACGAATTAGACCTTAATCCGGCCATTTCCATCACCGAATCTTCACGCTCACGCGCATGTCGCACGCGTTCTTTATTTTGATGCGCGTGTGTAATATGAAAATCCTATTGGTCGAAGGAGCACTGAGTGCGCGTGTACCACACGCGTGCGATAGCCGTGGTGCCATCTTATTAAACTTTGGTCTTTACTCACCGGCAGGGGGCTCTGGTCGGACCACTTTAACGGGACTAGGCTCCGGTTGGCTCGCGATGGGAAGATTCTCAAAGACCTATGGCATAATTGCAATTAATAAAAAGGTGATTATTAAAAATGATAATTAAAAAATGATTAACATAGTAAGTTTTTACACACTGAAAAACTTATATAATTATTACTATCAATAACATCATGCTTTATTGAAAATGTAAGTTCATTGGAACTTGCCTAAGGCCTTTTAGTCAATGTAGGCCAATATGTTGACGCAATTTTGACAAAATCCTGGACTTCAAAGGCCTTAGCAAACACCTTTGACAAATATTGCATACGGCAATGAAACATCTTCAAATGGTATCCCTGTGTTTTCCCCGTACCTCTGTCTTCACAGTCACGCTGTCATCATGCCGTACATCGTCCTCTGTAGCAGGGCCAATATGTTTCGCCTTAAACTTTCGCTTTCCTCCTGGCTTGGCCTCGATGTCCTTGTTCTCCTTCCCAGAGTCCTTGCGGTGCAGCTCGTAGGCCGAGGACGTCATGAACCGCATCTTGGTGTGGTTGGTGGGATCGAGAACGACATGAAGGGGCGCGTCCATCCCGGGCGATTTAACCACGCTTTCACTCTCGGCCGAGACGTCGGTCTTTTCCGGAGCTTCTCCGGAAGAGTTCCACTCGCCGGAAGCGTTCGGTTTGCCGCCCGGCGCCATCGATTTCTCTGTCATCAAGGTGTCGTCGTTCGATTTCTTGGTGACATCTTCGGTACCTTTACGGCGTCGTCCGGGCACATTCTTACCCTTCACGGAAGATGCCTCGTCTTCTCCACTCGTGGAACCACTCAGAGATCGCTTCTGCCGCTTCCGTTCCAGGTACTTTCGTTCCTCCTTCTCGATTTCCATCTCGTAGCGGGCGTTCTTGTGGTAAACCTTTCTTTCTCTCGCGCTCGATCCTGTAGCGATGCAAATTGTAATTAAAAAAGATTCCAGGAAACGTTTTTAAAAAGCTTTTAAAATACGTTCGAAAATATTTTTAACTTAAGTTTTCCTTTCTCTTTTTTTCTTCTCTTTTTCCGCGTGCCACTGCCTTATCAGATGCAAATTAGCAAACGATCCCAAGCAATGCCGTCGGTCGAGTAGTTGAGACTGGTACGCAAGCAGTCGTAGGTTTGATTCCCATTTCAGCAAACTGAAATATTTGATTTCACTTACTTGTAGCTAGAGAGTGTCTGGTTCGTTCTTCAAGCACCATGGGAACGAAGTCTTGGAAGGAGCTTCTACCGCCTTGGTTTGTCAAACGGCGCATCCCTCGTGAGAAGGTGCGCCGGTCCTTGTGCGAAGACAGAGACGACGAGAAAACATCTGCTTGTGAACCAAATAAACAAAGATGAGATATAAGGGGAAAATGATACTGCATATTTTTAAATACTATTTATAGACGCATCTTCCAACAGATAATTTTCACTCAAGCAAGTTTGTGCACATATATTTCGTTGGTACCCGCTATGACTTTTGAATTTTGATAAGAACCACTTTTCGTTTACCTTTGTGAGTGTGATGCTTCCGCTGAAAACCCATGAACTTCCGACCACGCCCCCTCCCCTTTCTGAAGATCGGGGAGTGCTTGCTGAACATGAAGCGGTTATGTTTCTTGTTGTTTGTCAGGGGGTCTATCAGGGGGTCTGTCTGTGTGTCTGACGGAATTCCCTTTTCTCGTTTCTCCATTTCGTTGAACCGTTTCATCGCTCGCTACACGACAGGAATATTAAAATCACACAAAATGTTATGATCATTCCTCGTATTGTTTTGTATAACACTTCCAACTGAATATCCTTAAGTTCGATCGCGTTCGTAATGTTTTTATAATCCATCCATAGATTTACATTGATTTGTTTTTGAATAATATAGTTGCTGTGATTGTTAAAGATTTCAGCGAGCGTAATCAACACAAATTGTTATAATCGTAATAATACATAATAATAATAATATTGTTTAATGAATTTTCTTACTTGTAACGCTCGTTCCTCACGATCCAACAGCGCCGGATCCGTCGACGGGTCAACACTTTGTCTTCTCTTTGGTATTGCAGCGACGTAGCTAGACGTGTTCTCAAGACGACTGATCTCTAACGATCGTTTTCTAGAGGAGCCCTTCGACGGTGTGCTCCTTCCGCTAGAGGGACTGACGGTTGAACAGAGGCTAGCAGCTATAGATGCTGGCGAGACGGCAGCTGACGATGGCACGGCTGAGGTTTGGACGTTCATGGCGGCCAGGAGTTTCTTCCGGGGATCGTGGGAGAACGTCTTCTCCGTTGGAGAGAATCTCAAGTGATGGGGCAGTGATGCCAACGATGATGTGGTCGAAAGCGTTGCGGGTGCGCTACCCAACTGAAGAGCTTGGGATGTTTCCGCGACTGTTGTGGAGAGATGATAGTTGGTGAAGAATGGTGAGGAAGTCAGGAAGGATTCTGTCTGTTTGGTCGACGACAAGGGATTGGTAGATATCACAGAGGCAGTTTCGGATTTGATGAAGTCGTTGGTTGTGGAAAAAGGAGAAGGTACTGTTGAACTCCTGGCTGATGTAATTACCGCGCATGCGTTTGCTACCGGTGCCGTGACGGACGAGGAAACCAATGGAGACTCCTGAACCCTTACGAGTTTTGGCGGTTGATCTTTCAGATCAATCAATCCTTGAGGCACTCGTCTAAGCTGTTGAGTGTCAGGATTGAGCTTCTTAGGGCTCGAGTCTCGATGTTTCTGCTCCATGTCGGGCGTATCGCCGGGGATGATTGGCATATGAGCTGCTAAGACTGCTTCAATTGCGTCACTCATGGAGACTGTCCTCCCCTCTTCGTAGGCAGAGATTATACGTTTACTAAAAAAATCGTTGACATTCCTATCGATTGTCTTGGGTTTCTCCCTACCTATCCCACCGCTGCCACCAGTTTTGTTGTCAGAGCTTCCTGGAGCATCTGGTGCTGGCGAGGAGGAAGGAGAGGTCAGATCAATCACGTCTGCATGTTGGAGTTGTCTATGGGCCTCCTTTGCTTGATTACTATGCATCTTGCCTTCGTACCAATGGCGTTGCAACATCAACTCAGCAAAGATGTTCCTGTCATCGTGATTTCCGGTTGGCTGGATTCTCTCTCTCACCCGCTTGGGTTGCTGAGCCTTTAGCCTGTCCATACTTGCTTTCAAACCGTGCCCATGCATGCGCCTCTTTCTTGGCTTGTCCAAGGGGGCTCTGCGAAACTCCTGGAAATAACGATGATAAACATCACGCTCTTCTTGCATCCTTTCCCTCTGTAGTTTTTGTTCTCGTTTGCTCTTATCCACTGCAGCCGCTTTTTCTAGGACGTGTATGTCGATTTTTTGCTGAATAAGAGTCCCAAACCTATCCATTGTATTCGGTACCCGTTGATCGGGTACAAGCTGCTCCGGACTTGTCTCGTTCAGATTAGGGGGTGACTCGTCCTTAGCTCGGAGCAGTTTCTGAACAGCTTCGGTGTCCTGTTTGCGCGAATACAGGGGAAGGGTGAGTGCACTGTAAAACATTGGAGAGGATGTTGGTTGAGGTTCGACGTTCGAGGAAATGTGAGTAAGATTAGTTGCCGATTCAGTAGCGAAGCAGGGTGAGTAGACACTCTGCGGCGTCAAAACCGGCATTGTTGGAGACTCATTGCCGGATGAATTGGATTTCTTAGGGGACGAGCATGCCTCGCTCGTCGGACATTTTGTGATATTTGCTGCATTGCTGACTTGTCGTACTAAAGGCACGGGGTTAGACTGCCCCGTGTATACATCGCCTAAGTGGCTGACGAAAGCACTGTCATCCGGTATATCGACCCTTAAAGGTCTCGCCAGCTTCTCGGGCAACACAACCTTGTTGTTGTTGTTATTGTTTGTCACGTTGTGTCCACTCGCCGATGGCTGTTCCGGTCCGTCCAAGGGTTTCAATAATTCGTTCATTTTGGCCCCGGCGGCTATGGACGAGGCGACCAGTTTGAGAGGCGAGGTGGCGCGGGCATGCTGGTGCGCGCGGATCGGTGTAGACGCCACGCCCGTTGAGTCTAATCGCAGCGGCGTCAGGCCAGCATGAGAGACCAGAGTCGGTGGGCTAATGCTCTTGGCGCTGCGCCGTCGGGTGTGGTAGTGAGCTCGTCTCAGGTGTGGGCTAGTTATGGTAGAGACTGGGGTTGTAGTGTGTTTGATCAAGACGCCATGCAGACGATCCCCGCGTGAAGACGCCATGTTCGGTGCAGCCATTGTTGGTACCTCATGGCCGGTTACCATACGAGGCGCTAATCGGTGACTTGGGATATCATGAGTTGGTAAACCATTCGCTGGTCCTGCACCACCCGTTGCCAGCACTCCTCCATGCACTGGTACTGCACCATGCGCGTGAACTACTTGTGCTCCATTGGTGCCCTGTCGTAACACTTCTTCGTCCGGTTGCGGTACGTGGTGGTGATGGTGGTGGTGATGTATGTGGTGAAACACTGGTGCCCCGTCTGCTTTATTCGTACGCGGTCGGGAAGGCGTCGATGTTGGCACTGGGGCTGGATGACTGGTACCCGCGCGGGATGCAATAGACCGAACGTCCGTGATTCGTAATTGGGATTCAGACTCCGGTTGGTTGATCATTGAAACTGCGTGACTTCTTCCAGGCTCATAAGCTAACAGCGCAGCCCTACTGCTTGCGTCTGGGTAAGTCTTAACACCCACAGAGGTAGGGGGATTGGAAGACGGGGCAATTTTCAGACGCTCTGTCGAGAGTTTGTCCAAGACGGCGCGCTTCAAAGGAATGTCCGATGCGGAGCGCGCCAGGACGGGTGGAGGCCGTTTGAGCGCAGTACGGCCCAGTCGGATATGTGAGGCCACGCTGGCTGAGGACGAGAGCGGGTGGAGATGACCTTGTGTCATCGTCACCTCCTTAGAGAGGACTGAGTGCTGACCATGCATTAGCTGACTTGGGTTGATGCCATTGCCATGCCGACCAGGTTTACTGTAGCTCATCATGGGTGGGGGTCTGTACATAGTCGGCGCTGACGTAACCTTTGACGTCACATCGTGTCCATTGCTCCTGACAGAGTGCGACTGCTTTGCAAGCATTTCGGCGTTCGCCATTGAAATCAACCTGGGATCTACCATTGTCTTTGGCGGCCTGGACACAGACAGTCTCTGCGACTTCATGGATAAATCCAGCGGCTTGCTGAGGTCAATGTGACCGTCCAATGACGGGTGGGTGACCCCGGCGTACAGGTGGCCCGGCACGGTGTGTCGGTTGACCAGATTTAACGGGCCATCGTAGAGGGGATGGCGGGGGAGCTGCTCGGCGAATCGCGGAGGCGGCCTCGGCATTCTGATGCGTTGTGGGTCGCCGATGGAATACAGAGGCTTGGCCGCAACGGCTGCATTGAACTGTGCGCACGAAACGAAAAAAAATAAAATAAAAGAGCTTTATGTAATACACTACCCAATGTTATCGTACAATAATCAATAGCTTCCGAGTTACTGCATAACTGCTATTCACAGGCTGCTGTTATATGGATTATTGGACCATTCGTTCGGAAAAAAATACGCGAGAATTTTCTGTTGTCAGCAAAAGGTCGCAGGGCAGTTCTGTTCGTATGACCCGTACCTCTTTCGATAAATGTTGGTTAATTGCTTAATCGATACGGCACTGTGAATGCTGGCCAGCGTATTGCTATATCCATATTCCACTGTATAGTACCACGCCAATATCAATTGAGAGCGGACTTTGAACCGACACACTAGTCTTTGTCGTCATTTTAAAAATAATAAATGATAAACGCCGGCCGTTGGAATGCGTTTCACCGCTTATGCCCATATTTGTGGACTTTACATTCTAAACGATAATCAAACAACTGACATTTTGTACTTCCGTTGGTAAATATCTTGAACTGCCTACATAAGTTTACTGAATGAGGCTATAGATATCTAAGTTCGGAAATAGACAATCAAAAAAATGCACGGGGTCAAACCTTTACACATGTATTATCAACGGTAATAGTTCGTTTGTTCAAAATTTAACAAAACTTTCATTAAGGTGGATTAACTTTTTTTTCCCACGGATTCACAAAGATTCAAATACACGTAGAAACATCTGCTACTTCATTTTAAGCAAACAGGCACTGGTTCCAACTTGTGTATGCATGCATTCAGGACATCCGGGTACCGGAAAATTCCCCAAATTCAAGGTTAAAATGTGTACAAAGCCGGTATCAGACACAAAAATATGAGAATATACCCAATTTATATTAAAATAACCCAATTACAAAAACAACCTTGGAACCATTTTGATCAATCTGCTTAGCTCAAGTAGTCTTAATCTTGCCAAGCACTGGCAGACAAATTGACATGCTTCAGCCCTCAGATGAATATTCTTTAATTTGTCGCTTATTTTTTTGCTTAGTTTTTATTTTCTGCTTTCTACTTGTTTGAACTGACATGCTGAAATGCGGTTCTTCATTGAAAGGACGCTTCATAATCACCGTGCTTACTTTGTGCTGCATAGCCGCAGCCTCTCTGTGATACATTAGATTGGCTTCTTGCATCCCTATGCGTCCCTGCTCGGCCAGCCTAGTCGAAGCCAACTGCCGGAGCCGCTCTCTGAAACACACACAAATACCAAAAATATATTAGAAGAACGATACACTGTATTTATATATAGCGCAATAACCATTATTGCTATAGTCTTCAATTAATTTACAGCGAGGCAGTCACTTTGGAAAACAGGTGGTTACGCTAAAAATAGCCCTCCAAGCAGCGATTATGATGGCACCATATTCACCCAGCCAAAAAACACCGTCGTTCCAAATTATCGTCATTTGCTGTATGGTGCGATCTCATTTGGAAAAAAAAGCAGCAAATTCCACAACAAAAGAGACTGCCGGCAGGGTTTGACAAGATGAATACGCAGGCCGCTCAACAAAGTACATTTCAACGCGGTCAGGGCCGTTTGCATGCATTGAAGAACCGATTTCCCAGTAGCTCACTAGCTCCACCGCGGCAAAATTGTACGACCGGTACAATCTCTGTCCTGATTTGGAAAGTTACTGACTCCAAAACCAAAGTTTCTCTGTACAAGTCATGTACAAAATTACTGTGTTTTGCTGAGACAACCACTCACGCAATAAAAACACAGCAACGAACAGTACTCTGTAATTTATACCGTTTATTCTCGATTTGTCCTGATGACGCCGCGAGCACAGCCACGCCGTCCGTCACTATGTCTATTAATTAAGCTGACAGAATGACTATCCATAAAATTTCTGCTTCGTCACAGACTAATACGGTGCTTTCAAAGAGTAAATGTACGCCTGGGCGTAGTGACCCGTACTTTGATGCCAACAACACAAACTAAAACAGGAACTTTCCTGACATGTACAATATTAGCGGTACATGCCTAAATAACGCCTGCATACTCAAATGGGTTGTGATGTAGAGTGACATATATTTATACGCATTCGACAGATATCATTTTTTTTGGCACAGACATTTCCAGAGTCGACGATTGCACCCACTGGTATCAATATCACGTGGGCGAGGGTCGTAGAGGTCGAAGTATCCCAACCGTCGTTTGATAAAAGAAAAAAGGGGAAAAAAACAACCATGGCTGACAAACAAAATAACTCAATTACTGCAGGAACTCGCTGGGCAATCAACCGAAAATCAAACAATCAATCAAAAGCAAGAGAAAGAGGTGAAAATATAGTGGTGGGAAAAGGGCAAATAACAAACAATTTGCTTGATATTTACACGTATAAACCACTTTTGGTTCTCTCTGTTCGTAAAGTTCGCTTCAGGGTTCAGGGCCGATAGCCCCTCCCAACGAAAATATACAGTGAATAAAATCAAATAAAAACTGAAATGTACTGAAAATAATTGATAAACCAAGTACAAACAAGATGAATTCAAACTAAACGCAAACTGAAGAACTAATAATCAACAAAATGTCATTGCGTTGTGTAAGATCGCCTTTCCCCCAAAAATGAACAATTTTCGGGCTTTAATAAATTCTCAAAAACAAAAGTTTTTTTGAGAAAGATTGTTATAACCAAAAGGCGAGCACACTAAATTTTTCCTCTTTGTGGTGTTTAAAATCCAGGTTCTGAAAATGGTAAGTTTCCTACAAAAAAACCAATAATAACAATTGTTTTTTTTTACCGAGTGCTCCCCGACGCCATGTTCGTCAAGAAATCTCTTCTGCACTTCGATGCTCGTCATGCAACAAACTCAGTAAACCAATACCTCAACTACTCGATCCTTTCGGGTATAATACTTGATTAATCGTTTGCTTTGGCATTCACGCAATCATACTAAGGAACCGTGCGAGGCTGTACGTGTATAATATATGAAGATTTGTCCGTGACCAATAATGTTATATCACTGAAGGATTATATCACTGAAGGATAGGGCGAATGAAGGTCATTTGTATAGCGAAGCGAACAAAGAACTCATTTACATATTTACAATATGGTTTGCGTCAATTTCCAAAGTACCAGGCATTTTTTTATTTCATAAATTAGTCATTATTTTGTCAGGCAGAGTTGGATTGGGTATAGATGATTTTTTTTTCACGTGATATTTATAAGAACAGAAGCTTCGAATGCAGTTTGTTGAAAAAAAATTATCACAATAAGATGTTTTTTAGGATCGTGTATTTAAGGATGGAACTAAACCATGGTAGGTCTAGGTACATTTCTGGACGTACATTTAAGTGCGTCAATTTTGTAAGTGATTGCCTCCTATGTTTCAATTATTGTATAATAGCACAAATGTGAGGAAATTCGAGTGAGCCCAAAGTTCACTTTGAAATCAACGTAAATTCCAATTTGAACATATACACCAAGACTGACGGTTTACGCAGCACGGTCGGATATAAACAATGTGGATCGTGCAGAATTACTTTTAGTTACCAATGATTCAATTTTTTTTCCTTCAAGATTGGCTTATGCCCGTCACCGAGGTATTTTATAAACACTATATACTCAGTGTTGTCCGAGTGCTTGAGATACAAATTCACAACCACTCGGGTGAGACTCGAACCCACGACCTCCTGCTTACTAGTGCAGACGTCTTACCACTCGAAAACCGAGCTTGCCAGGGCTGGGTGGTTGGTTCGAATCTGATATAGCAGCGGGCACCACACCCAGACTGTTCATATATATATGAATGATTATCTAGTTTTTCGTTGTCCTACCTTGTGAGTTCGCCGTTTGTGCCGACTACATACTCCATTTCCTCTCCCATCGGTCGGCCCACGTAATGCAACATGTCCTGGCCGTGGAGGTCCCCGTTGTCCTCGACTTTGTACTTGGTCAATGCCTCAGGAATCTGAAAGGAAAGGTGTAAAAAAACCAACACAATCAATTACATGTACTAATTGAGGAGTGGGAAGAAAGGTGGTATAGCGGTACTTTCCTCGCCTTCCCCCGCCATGACCTAGGTTCGAATACCGCCCGGGTTGACTTGCGGATTGGGGTTTCTGTCCCTGCCTGATTCTGTGGGATGTCCCTGGAACATTTAGTTAGGGGATTTCCCAGCCTTTTTGTGCTTGCGAGGACATTTTTTCTTAATTTAAAGAAATTACCAGAAAGAAAAAAGGATAGATATCTCGTTGCAAAAATTGACAATACTTTACTCAGCTTATTTCTGGGAAAATCAAATTAACTTCGGGAAATGTATTTTTTTCGGGAAAATTTCTTGTGCCGTATCCTGCACTGTCGTGTTAATATAAGTTGCATTAATTCACAATGACGTCATCGGGAACGCCCAGATATCGCAGCGCTGATAATGGAAACAGTGTGTCAGGGGTCGATGGCAGACAGATTGGACTGACAAAGACGAACATCTAAATTAAATAGCAGTTGCCGATTGTCTGCGACAACTGCCGACGACCACATGATCATGAATCAGATCGCCTTACGTAACATGTTAAATCGGTCTTCAGAACGGACCCTTCCCTCCGTCAATCAAACTTTTAGTCAGGTGACTACGGTAGTTCGATCCAACTCGGTCACCGTGGTTGTGAGAAAATATACACACGCACCACATGTGGGCGGAGCTTATGGCAAAATCACGAGATCACGAAACTGGACCAACCCTTAAATCTTATCTCCCGAGTCCATCTTCAAACCTGAAGTTCGATATCAGATCCCGAGTACATCCTAAATACGCCAGCAGCCGGGACACAAAATATGTAAAGCGTGGAATATAAAAAAGGTCAGTTGGACCAGGCGACTCATGCTAGCGCGATGATGAATCACCGTGTGTGCTATTGTTGTAGCGAGCGGCGGGCGGCAGGTCGCGCGGGTAAACGCTGAAAGACAGGTAACAAGTTCACGGTAAACGCCTCTTGTAGATTGCGTGTCGGCTTGGCTTACAGACAGATAGGCTGGTGTTCGCTAGCTGCTCGCAAAACCGGAATTTAAACAAAAAGTGGTATGGATGATAGAATTAGGTTTATCAACACGAACCTCTAGCTCTTAAATGAAGAAACGTTGGTTCTGAGAAAAAAAATAAACTCGAACCGCTGGTTCTTTCAGAACGAATATTTCTTTGTAGAAGAGAAGTAATAATTGAAATGATTTTCATCCGCAAACTTCTACATTTTCGTTAAAACTTATCAGGAACTTCTTGTAGAATCCGTGTGCTTTAAAGATCCACAATAAACCCGACTAAACCATGTAAACTTCAGGACCTAGCACCGAACCCGGAACTACACGACTACCACTGTCTGAACATATTGTTATGCAGTTCACAGACAAACAACAACAGTCAAGTTAGGATCATTCGTGTGAGGCCATTAAAGCTTTACAATAGGTTTGCGTGCATGGGAAACACATTTCCTTCCTTAGGCCAAAAAAAAAAAGTCTCCGGTTTCTGGTATGCGGGCGCGTCGCCGTAGCCATGCGCGTCGGCAAAATGAAAAAGTTTTTTTTTCAATGAAAGATGATGTCTCAAAACCGCCAAACTCACTGGTTTGACTGGAATCCTGCTGCTGCACAATTTTAACATGTTTTTAGATTGGGTTACGGTCGAGAATAAGCTTTATGTGGCCTCTCTGGACTCCCATATATTTGCACTAAGTTTAGTCGGGCACCATTTGCAGTCATCAGCAGACATTTGAAGCAAAAAAATCAGGTAAAAAAAAAAAAAACCGCGTCGCCGCACCACTTTTTGGGCAAGCTCCATACCAGAAACCGGAGACTTTTTTTTTGGGCCTAAGCTGCTTTTTGTCACTTTTAAACTTCGAGGGGTGAGGCGAGATTTTTTTGTTTGGGGGGGGGGGGGGGGGGGGGCCCCACCATGCTTGACATTCCTCACGCTTCATTGGTTGTATTCAGCTGCACGGTGACGCGGCGAATTCAACTCATGCATATGCAACAGGTCAAGTTCGGGGCGCCTAACATGCAACGATAATTATACTTTTTGAGTCACAAGACACAAGACAGAAATTCCTCCAAATTGATGAAATGTTTGTGTGATGCGGTTTCCATCAAACCCCATTGTTGTCAAAGTTTTCCTTTGAGTGGTTTTGCCTCTGACGGTGTAGTGGGAAAAACGGAACTCCGTAAATACGGAGTCCTTGACCGACTCAGTCTCACGTAACTATATGAAAACACTGCGGTACTGCTGGGGGTGGGATTAACGAGATTATACAGGAGGATGTATTTGAGCCGATGGTAAAATTAGAACACGATTAGAGAAAGGAAAGCAGATCGAATTAGGGTTATATCACTCCGTAAATGACCGGTATCCGTTTCACTGAAATAGTGGCTTACCTAAGCTGGGGGGGGGGGGGGGGCAAGGCCCCTTCGAAGCAATGCAACACCCCTTCCTTGTGCCCCCAGCCCCCCCCCCCCCCCATGCTCAGTTATGGGGACAAGACAGAAACGAACTTTGAGTTGTTTAATCCCCACTGGGTGCCCCTCCACAAAATCAGCCCCCCTCTCCTGCAAAGTGAACCCCTGTTACGCCAGCACTGTTCAGTCAGAAATACTTTTCGTTGGTACAGTTTATAGGACGCGTCACGGCGATCATGCTCGAATACCGCGAACAGTCACATGTCCAGTGTTGTTCGTTAGAGGAAATCGTCCTTTACCTTTCGTGCGACATGCGGTTACTTTTGGGGGGAAAACAAGTGAAGGATAAAGTCTACTGATTTCAAGGCAACTACTGTGCTTTGATGGCACAGATATTATATCAAAATATTACTCAACAGAAAGCAAATGATTGATGGTGTTTGAGGACACCTTTGATAAACTTTGGGACCATGAAAATTATAGTTTCCATTGTCCCCCATGCGTATCTGATCCAAGCAAAATTGTTTAGTGTTGGTATACACTGCAAAAGACTCTTAAATACGTTTACTTTTCAAGTTTCCTGAGGTCGCAAGTTCAAATCCACTCAAAGCCAATTATTCATAACTTTAAGTTTGGACAATTAGGCCTAAGTCGGCTCTGTTCAACCTAAAATTGCAACCGGTACAAAATGAGATTATATAATTACCGATTGTCAGGACTGTTGCAGTGTGGGCCCTCCTCCCCCTTCCTGCAGGCACTAGCCCCGCCCACAGGAGTTAACTCAAAACCAGACAATGCATTATTGTCTTGGTTTAGACCCGGGGCCCACGAATCTGTGACGAAGCGTGTCAGTCAAAGTGCAATACTCTACTTTCCGTCGACCCGAACCTAAGGCTGTCAACAATAGGGTGAGGCGTGGGAGTACAGGTGCAGAAGGTGTGACGAGCGATTTTTAGCTCGAAGTAACATTTTCATTCATCATTACCTAAACTGAACGGCATCTTGCACTTACAAATATGGGAAGCATGTTCTATTAATTTTGACATTTTTAAAATTTAAATTGATTATATATCGCTAGAGATCTGCAATTAATGAATCAGTATCAACCATGTGCAACGAATACTAAATCGGTTGGTGTTAATCAATAAAACTGTTTTCTAGTTTATTATCACAACAAACGACGATCTCGGTGAAAAATGTTATTTCAAAGATCACGAACGCGTCGACGAATTTCTTAAGTAAGCGATGGTGTTCGTTTCCGCTGGCTGATTTACAATCCCGTCCGCTTGAACTACAGGCATAAAATTGCATGAGTCATTGCCGACTCGCGATGCTTCAATCCATTACGCGCGATAAACGCTAATATCGCATAAAAATAAGGCGCAGCCGGAGCACGCACCAGACAAAACAAATCACTCTGGGTCCCGCGGTATGACCGAGATCGGAACGAAAATCGAATTATCGTCGTGACACATGGATCGCGTTTGGACTTCACCGTGCTCGACAGATGGATTACAACCGCGCATGCGCTGTACGACAAAGTAAGCGTCAAAGCCATAGGCATAATAAGAAAGGCGATCCTGATTCGAATGAAAAATTAACGTAGCCGCTCAAAAAAAAACACAACAACAACAACAACAACAACAAAACACACACAGGTGTGTATTTGCCTGCAATCGGGGACCCCCATATTGTCCCTCTTTTGTTTATACTTTTTTAGGAAGACCTCCCATATGTTTTGTACACGAATCCAAATTGGGAACCTGTCGGGAATTGGGGACCCTATTGTCCTCTATTGTTCAACGTCCCATATTGAATGCAGAAACAAACATTCACACGCCAAACGTTTCAATCTTCTGACTAGAATCATTATAATTTAGCCTGATGATTATCAGATACACTTGCAATAAGCAGACCATACAGTCATGTTTTCCTATACGTCCGAGGACAATGCTTTGTATTTCCCTTTGTCGCTGTAGTATAACACTCTCCCATAGACTAAGCACATAACCGTACGATCAAGGACCGCTTTCAACAAAGCCCCAACGTTCGAGGACTGAAAGGATCTTTTGGTCTCCCTTTTTGTGTGTCGGTCCACTAGGGTTATGTAGTATAAATGTACCTAAATTCATGTTTTGCTACTTTATACAGTCAAATTTGGAAAGAAATTAAAAAAATGTTCCACGAGTTTGCTTGCAAGCTTAACTCACGCAACGGGTGCATGCTTACGATCACATACTAAAACACCAGTCATAAAAACGACATGATAACATCATCACGGTAATATATCGACTGTATGCTTGGATAGGTTTTATGAGTGCTCCACGACTTCTCTTATACGGGCACATTTCAGGCATTGAGTTTACGTGCTATCATCATATCTCAATACCACTCTTAAAATGGCATGACAATCTTCACCAGAATATCGACTGTAGATGGATAACAAGCCCACTGAGTCGGCATTCGGCATTCAGAAGATCGTGCATCGCCTTCATGCTCCGCTGATTATAAGGAAACAGCCGGGCAAGG